AGTCTATTCTCTTCAAAAATATTAATGGAAATGGCCTGATCATATTAGATGCATATTTTATGTCACAATACAGGAATAGATTACACATTCATACTTTTACAAAATGTATACTACAAGTGTACAGGGTGGGGCAGAAAGCATCAGGGCGTGATGTCTGTCATCTGCTCAGAAGGTGCCTCTGTCTTTTGAACTTTGGGGTTTACAGGCTGCAAGTCACCCATGATGTGAACCAATCAAACAAGCTTTTCAAATGTCTTTAAAAATGTACTGAAAGACAGAACCCAGGTTTTTCATATTCTGTCTCTTCTCTACCACCATACTCTAAAGTTTCAAAAATCACGATAAAAGTAAATGATTCTATACAACTATGCTTCGCTACAGAATATTATTTGACAGTAATAATACCTGACAGAGCAGCTGGACTCCCTTTATAAAATCCCCAGCTATTACCTGATTATGATTTTGCTGGTCATGTTCATTTTAAGATTAAAAACATATTCTCGTCTCGTAACTTTAGAGTGTTTAAGGAAAAAAAACAATTAGGAATTTAGACGAATTATGGTGTAGTCAACAATATGGTTTCTTGGTTGTCTACGTTTTGAGTCACAAATTGGCAAACAGAGACCTGCATTTAGCAGCCTCTCAGCAACACAGTTTTGTAGGAGAGGAAAAAAGATGGACATTCAAGTACAGTGTATGTTACTAACGTAACACTAGCAAAACTATTCATCATTTGGATTTACTATTTAGAGATAGCAATACATATTAAAATGAAATATACTCCACACCCCTATTTAGGAAGGGTTATGGGTCTTGAATGAACAGAACAACATTAGTATTCTCAAATGTGCCTGCACAGTGTTACTGTATCTTTCCCAGGACGTTTGAAACAGATACCCTATTTATTTGAATGTTTCTATGGCCTCAGGCATGATATATTCTTTGAGCTTCCTTGCAAATTAATACTCCATCAGGTTGCATGGTACAGACACCTGCAATACAATTCACACACAGGGGCTTTTCCTTTTTTTTCTTGAAAATGAAGTTTCTTTAGGCTTTTCAACATACTTGAAAATGTTGACTTTTCATTCAATTCTATGCCACTTCATATTGCATTTCATTCATAGTGTCAATGGTTTATAGTGTAGCAGTCTGATTCTTTGTTTTATTTTCTTGATTTAAAGAGAAAAGTTTTTTGAAGGCAAAAGAGAATTATAATAACAGCTACAGCATTTTTGTGCAACTCCATAAGATTTTACACTGTATGGGGTTACCCCAGGAGAAATTATATTTCCTTAGCCTTACTGAGCCAACAAAATTAACAATAACTTTAGATTTTGCTGGCTAGTATTCTCTGAAAGGATATACTGCATTTTTCCAGCATACATAAATTACTATAAATTGTTCTAAATAAGCCTAAAAGTCTTTTTAGGATTTATGTACTGCAATCACCAATCAACAACACCATTGTTATGTTCTCAAGTGTTTCAAACTACAAAAGGCAAAAATAAATTAAGCTTAACCAGCACATCAGTAGCCACAGGCTACCAGATTCCTGAGAATTTCAGTGGTAGTGTATAATTGTACCTATGACCCAGGGGTCAGATTAGTCAATTGTCAGGATGTAGGAGTTCAACATGCATAAACAATGTGGAGCTCACAGAAACATAAAACTCTAAAACCAAGCGTATATAAATATGTTTTTTATTGGGTAAGGTAAACAACTATTCAATCTGAAGGCAACATTAACAAATAATAAGGCCAAAGAGCCTTCTTAAAGAATTTTCATTAGATTTCCATGATGATAAATACAGATTTATTTTGTGTATGCAAGACTTTGCAATTTTCCAGTTTTTAAAAACAAGTTACTCCAATGAAGGAATCACCTGGCTTTGACAATCTAAACAATACATATAGATACCGTATATGAAAATAATATGACATTATATTTGGCCATTTCCTTTAATCACACTCATATGGCGAATGCAATTTTAATTCTGATTTAGGGGTGCAAATCGCCAAAAAAAAAGACTTCAGTTTAAAGTCAAGGAACATATTAAGTGGGACAGAATAAAATAAATACTTGCTCACACCCTAAAACATTGACAGTGTTATCAGGGTTGCACATGCAGGATTGCAGGATTTGGCAACAGCTTTTGATCATACCATTTGCAAACTGCTGCTGGACAAGCAATAGGCAAAAGAACAGAACGTATATGTTTCAAAGTTTCAACACACATGCTTCAACTTCAGTGGGTCTCCCCCAGTTGTTAATGGCAGCAATTCAAGTAACAGCAGGGCAAAAAAGGCAGGCAAGCAGGGAGCATTACATTCAAAGAGCTGAGCGAGTGACCGGTGAACTAATGGAGGAATGGTAAAACCATTATACTTTGAAATGAAAGGGCTATTAGCTAAATGCCTTACGTGTCCAATTTTCATTTCATAAGTGAAGGTGAGAGAAAAACAATACACTAAATCACTAGAGAAAGCCTTAAGTTGACATCTGTCATGCCATGACACAGATGTCACATGTCAGAAGCTGTAATAGACATTTACCACTGTCACAAAGAGTGCTTCTCAGAATGAGATTGCTTAATTCATAGGACAACATGTGGCACCCCAGGAGATCCCAGCATGCACTTCCTTCAGAAAGCACAAATCCCACTCACTAGTGTGCAGTTACATTTAGACAAGACTGTCAGTCCACATAAACAGCAAAATACTTAATGTATTAAACTCAATAACTGCAGAAATATATTGAGAATACAAGCAATACAAAAACATCAAAGTGTATATTTTTTGCAGTTGGATTGATAACTACAGCACAGCATCTCTACATATTATGCTTTAAAACACAAATTGTATGATGGACAATGAAAGTACCATTGAAGAGCAAGTAAACAAGGCTGTAGACAACAAAGAGGCAAAGCACACAGAAATGTTATGATTTAAAGGTCAAACCAGTAAAATAAGTTCAAATAGTATTTTTTATATTGTTGGTTCAATACTTGTCTTTCAACTATTACTGAGCATCATTAAACTACAAAAATACCTTATCTGTAAGAAAGAGTAATTATCCAGTTTCCTAGTAAAGAAAATAAATACACTGCAAATGAAAATTAAACTGACTGAAGAACTAAAGGGCGTTTTAAACTAATCTGTTTTAGATTATTTCAAATCCCAGTTAACACAGTCATAAAAAATCTAACTTTTATTGTAATTTGAATCCTTGTAGTATGTCTCCTCCAATAATATAAGAACAGTCTCTTATTTGTCTTATAGGTTTACAATTAAAGAAACGTTTACAATTTCAGTAAAACACACAACGAGGAATTGCAATAAACGTGCACCCAGCAGTTTCTTATTTTCTATTAGCTCAACTAATTCTTACAGTCATAAATTAAACAAGTTTTCTTTTTAAACATATGATCCACTACAACAGCACATAGGTCACGTCAGTTCAGATAATGGATCTGATTTAACCTTAAGACTTCATTATGCCCATAATGATCACTCAGGCCTAATCCCTCGACGATTGTCCAGGTGACAGCACAACCATACAGATACATATCAATTTATCTGATAACAATAACGGAGAACCTAAATTCCCATTTGATATGCTGTCAAATTATTTCAGGGTTCATGTCTACATGACTAATGGTATCTTTGCGTTAAAAAAATAAAACAACTTAAGACATTTAAAAGTCATTTGATAAATCCCCCTGAAATTTTAATTCACGTTTACCTGTTGAACAGTGCCACCATGCGGTGATTACGACAGTGTCGAGTAAACAGAATTACATCGGCATATACGCGACTTGCAAAAGTATTAAATTCACCTATTTTAATTGTATTTATCACACGTGCCATTCTTAAAGCCTTCCAGATATGTTTCAGAGAGACTATAGTTATATTCTGAATCTCTTTAAGCAATGCAAATGAACAATTATTACCTTAGCAACAAAAAAGACGAGACGACGTTTTACATTAATACATTTGCTGCTGAATGTGGTCTTTCATAGTTATTCTAACACAGCATCACGAAACTAATGCGCTAAAAATAACGCTAGTGGAATTCGCATTGCATAAATTCGCTATTAGCATTCATGAAACCTAAACTGAATTGTTGCAACAACATCGTAAAAATGATCTCAAACTACTTTTCTAGACCACTTTACAACAAGCCTACGTGTGGGCGACAGGCGCAGTCGTGGTACAAAGCAAAAATAACTGAACAATTAACGGTCATGAAAAAATAAATGTACATTTTGGTAAAAACACGTGTCCAAGGAATCGTGCGCCGTTAAATCACTACCGTGTAGTCTTTACACAAGAGTAAATGGGGAGACTGATACAGGTACAGGTGGCCATTCAAAATCCTAAAAGCTATCACAACATTACAATCAAACGTCAAAATAAGATAAGGTCACTTTATTCGCCATATACAATTTCTTGCATTAGGAATTTGTATTTTTCGCATACTCCAACTTGCTCTCCATGACAGAGAGAAGCTTGGGGTCAGAGCGCAGGGTCAGCCATTGAAGAGCGCCCCTGGAGCAGTTGGGGTAAAGGGTCTTGCACAGGGTCCCAACGGAGTAGGATTCCTCTGCCGGCTGTTTCATAACACTAGTGAAAAACCCACTATTGATAACGGTATATCATTCAGTCTTTAAAAATTACCTGAGGAAATAATCTAAAGAGAAAGCGCATTTAAGACCGAAAATAGAAACTGCTCCTTTCCACAAAGGCCGGGTAAACAGACTTGTCTCGAACAGGGAACCAGTCCTGTGATGCTGCAGCTGGCTCTTGGAGAAGAGTCAACAGCACACGGACCACAGCTTCTGTTCACAGCGCAGCATATACGTCGAAAATTTCCGAAATGATCCGGAGAACACCGACAACCGCTAGAGTTTATGTGCGGTTGTGTCACAAGAACCAGGAGCGTGTCACGCCAATAACAACACACGAAGGGCAAGGCAGACCCGGAAACTACGGCAGCCGAAAGGAGTCGGACCTCAGTGACTCTAGAGGAAAAAAAATGGCAGCTGCAGAAGGAGTCAGTGAAACCCAGAGCTCTGAAACGGAATCTCCGAAACTTTCCGATTTGCTCGATTACGGGTGGAAAGTGTTTGACGACGTGGACACCACGAACGAGCCCACCGGATCCCACCCAATCCAAGTTAAAGTCAAGCGTGGTATTATCCAGCTGGAGGAGGCTACGCGTATGGCCGCTCAACTCGACTTGTTCAGGTAGCTACTGAATTCAGCCCAAACATAAATTTGATCAACCCAGTCTGGTGAAGGCCTACCTATTACATTACAGATACCATTCAGCTATTATTAAAACTGCATAGCTTTAAATACGAATACGGGAACTGACACCACATGGGGATAAAATGTTTAGCCTTTCTGCTAAAAAAAAATGAAAATAAAATCCTGCAGTCTATTGGTTTGAGGTCTTGACATTGTGAGGTCCCGTTATATTATTCGTAGCATTTGAAGGCGAAGCAAAGGCACTATCATAACCATTAAAGACTGTTTTATAGGTGCGTTTAATTTTTAGATAAGAGTTGGAACAATTCAGTACGTGCCACGTTTATCAAACTTAAAAATGTTATTTTTTTGTTAACAGTCGGAATGAAGAGTTAGAAGAAATAGCGACAGCCGATCTAAAATACTTGTTGTTACCTGCGCTTCTTGGAGCTCTGACGATGAAGCAGGTGAATCTGGCAAAGCGACTGGAGCAAGTCCAGAAGGCTAGGGCTTACTTCGTGGATTTTCTCAAACGATGCAAAGAGTATGACATCATGAAGTTCGAGCTCCCGAACTCAGTCGAGAGCCCCGACGGGAATTCCAATGAAACATCCGAAGATTTGGGCAATGGGCCGCCGCCATCTTTCCACCCGCCGGACCTGATCGCCATGGCAACTCAGAGACAAGCCAAGATAGAAAGGTGATCATTGCACCGGGCAAGCTCAAGCATTAAACCTTATCCAGTGATTGATAAATTTGTGATACATTATTTTTCTGATTGTAACAAACTGAGTCTTAACTAGTCCCCATAGGTTTTCAAAGTAATTGCCTGCAGCTATTTCACCCTGCACCTCACAAATAGCAACCCAGTGAAGCTAAGCAGGTGTGTGTCTGGCCAGTACCTGGATTGGAGACCTCCTGGGAAAGCTAAGGTTGGTGCTGGAAGATGTGTTAGTGGGGCTAGTAGGGAGCTCTCACCACGTGGTTTGTGTGGGTCCTAATACCCCAGTATATTGATGGGGTCACTATACCGTAAAAAGGTGCTGTCCTATGGATGAGACATAAAACCAAGGTCCCAACTCTCTGTGGCCGTTAAAAATCTCAGGGTATTTCTCGAAAAGAGTAAGGGTGTTAACCCCAGTGTCCTGGCCGAATTTCCCATTGGCCTTTACCAATCATGGCCTTCTAATAATCCCCATATATGAATTGGCTCCATCATTCTGTTCTCCTCCCCACTGATAGCTGGTGTGTGGTGAGCGTACTGGCACACTATGGCTGCCGTCACATCATCCAGGTGGGGATGCACACTGGTGGTGGAGGAGAAAAGAAAAGCGCTATATAAGTGTAAGCAATTATTATGAACTTTTTGGCTGTGGAGCCTTCTTTAGGATGCTGAAATGTGTTTCTTTCGTTCTCTTTTCAGCAAGGAATAAACCTTTACTTGTTCCTTTGCAGCCTACGCATGCTGATGCAACCACCTACTTGAATACAATCATAAACATCCTGTTTTATATATAACGTATAAACATGTTGTAGTGTATTATATGAAGGTGGTGTACAAAATACCAGAATTTGAGTTACATATAATCGTCGTATATTCAGCTGTAATAAAATATCTGTTCCCTCTGCTTTACCTTGAACATTTTTGAAAAACAGATATAAACAGAAGAAGGCAACTGAAATGAAGCTGTCAGAGATCAAAGCCGCAGTAGAGAGTGGGCAAGCAGAAGATGAAATTGTGCGAGACTTCTACCTCCTGAATGTTCGGAAATGGATTACCATTGCCGTGGAGGAGATTGAAAGCATTGATCAAGAGATGGAAATTTTAAAGAGAATGAATGTACTTAAGAAGGTATGGTTTTGGGATTCCGATTGAGCAACCAGGGTTACAATGGGCCTTCACTTCTGTGTGTTGGATTTTGGTAATATTGAATTCATTGTCTTTGTATGTTTAGCACTCTGCCGAACCACCACAACGACAGCAGCAGAGACCTCCAATGAAACCATTCATTCTTACAAAAGATGTAGCTCAAGCTAGGTAAGTGTATAAATATGATCAGTTTCTCTATTTTAATTTTTTTCTTCAGGGTTTTCCTTAAAATAAGTAGATTACAAATGTAAAAACAGGCAACGGTATGAAGTTACATGATACAAGGAAGTATCACAGGAGCACATTAAGATTGGACAAGATGCCATTGATTTGGCCAAGAATGTATCCAAAAAAAGGGTCTTGAGTTGTTTTTTAAGTGTCATTAATATTGATTTGAAGATTACCGTCAATCCACTGCTTCAGGTGCATTCTGGGTGTATCCATTATGCATACCTGTTTTGAGAGCATAATGTGATAGAGTAGTTTTGGGATTCTGCAGCCTTTAACAACTTGTTGCCAAGATGCTGTCATTCTTCAGATACAAACATCTTTTACCAGCAGGTCTTGCTGTGGCCAAATAATTTATTTTACAAGTTGGTGGACACTGAGCTACCCTTCAATTACACTAGATTGCATCCATTTGTAGAAATTGTACTTTCTGAAATAAGTATAACCGACCTGCATTTTACTAGTACAACAAGTAGTGGTTAGATGCAGTGATTTTATTATTTCACTATTTATTGTCTCTATACCTCCTATATTAGTAGGTTCTTTCTTGTGAGCTCCCATGTATTTTAAGCTTTGTTGTGTTTGTTTTTTCTGAAAAATAAAAGTTAAAAAACATTCTTATTTGATGGATTATTATCAGGATTACTCTTAAATACCTAGTGAGTAAATGTGGTTATGATAAAGACAATTTGAATCTCTATTGTTGCCGTTTATTTTTTATTTTAAGCAGTACTCCACCAAATTAACCACTAAGAAGGGTAATCAAGGAAATATCTTGAATGTTTTTAGAGTCTTTGGTGCGGGATATCCCAGCCTTCCTACCATGACTGTGAGTGACTGGTATGAACAGCATAGGAAACAAGGAATGCTTCCTGACCAGGGAATCCCCAGGAGTGCAGGTAAAGTTTGTTCTGTTGTGGGGACCTGCATTGAAATTCGAAATGAAGTCGAATAATCTAGTTCCCTAAACCTCTAGTCCCCTTGAAATTAAACATTGGATGTGCTAAAAGGTGTTTGACCGAAAGGAGGGTTAATGCTAAAATCGTTTAGAACTGAAAACATCTTTCTTAAATTCAGGCCATATATTTTTTTTAATTGGATCACTCTTTGATTTATACAACGTATCTCCCCAATGTCCGTTTTAAACACAATGAAGGCATTAATGTTTAACAAGACTCCTATATGCAGTCAGTTTTCATGGAGGTACAATATAGAGATCTACATGTATTCAAACAGATTAAAAATCACTTGGTACCAGTGTAAATCGCTCACAGAAGAATCCCCCAAATGGAAGAAGAGAAATGAAAAATCAGTTGTCTTTATCTTTTTAAATATGTTTCCTTGTTCACGAGTGTTAGAGACATGGACTGTCACTGTTGTAGGACATTAAAGCCTTTCTCCCTTCAGCTGACGTTGATAACGAGGAGCGTGAGAAGGAAGAGAAGGAGAGGCAGATTGAAAACGATGATGAGGAGGCCTTGCAGAAGGCACGTGACTGGGACAACTGGAAGGACACGCATAGGAGAGGCTATGGCAACCGTAAAAATATGGGCTGAAGCTCCAGGCCCTGCCACAGTCCACTCCAGTTTTGTGAATTGATGTGCAGTTTTCACTGTATTAACCTTGTGAGACGCAATGATAAACGCTTCAATTGAAATGGCTGACATTTCTCCCTGGCAAAAAGATGTCAAGAAATAGAACTTGCCGTTTCAAGTTGGGTTAGTGAATTGTTGAGAGAGGTTTATGTGGCTTTTTATTTTCTGTCACAGCTTTTACAGTCTGTGTATGTATTGACTATGAATTGGCTATTGACTATGAATTGGAATGTTAACCCTGTTAACAAAGGGATTTTTTAAATGAGTATTCTTCCTTGGGGACATCTGTCAACATGAGGAAGATGTGCTCTTTAAGCCAAAATAGCCTTGTTTAAGCAGGTTCACATGCCTTTTGATATTAAACGTTTCCTGTTCCTTAATGTTTTGTTTCCTGGTAATCCAGCCCCCAGTAAAATTCAGTGATTTGTTTTATATAAATGCTTAATTTATGCTACGCCATACCCAGAAACCCACCCGTTTAGTTAAAATTGAAGTTGGGTTTGGTTTGTGTGAATTATCAGGTAAGTGTATAGTTAGCTATTGAGGTTGCCATAACAGAAAAAAACAGTATACAAATTAGTCTTAGGAGGTCAAAAGTAGACTGGTAGGTCTACTCCATCTACTGTACAATTAAAAGATTTGTTTTTAATATTGTAGTGTTATTTCCAAGGAAAATTGGTAAGTGTGCAGTAATGAAACTAACAATCTTTAGGGTATTTTCAAGTTAAATTTCCATTATTTTTACAGTGAAAAAAAACACTACTCAACACTGACAGTGGGTTTAGATATTTAACTTAGTCTTAAAAACAGCAGCCACTGCATTTGACAGATTTTCTCAAGGTTTTGAAAAATGCACCCATCTCCTCTTCCAGTGAAATGCTGAAAGTAAAAAGCTGAAAACAGATTCTAAGCAACTTTCTGTATCTGAATTTTTGAATGACTGCTTAGGTGACTTCAACATATACAATATTTGTTTAACATAAAAAGTAAGGAATTGTGCATTTAATAATCGGTTAGTTCCTGCACAGGCAGCTGCTGTATTTTAAGTTTTGCAGGTAAATTTTGTGTAGATAAACTTTGAGAAGTAATTTTCTGCTTTATGTCATGCTGTTGTTCAGATTTGGTATTTATGTAGGTTCAATCTTAAACACAGAACCAGTGCTATTCCAAGACATCTTGGTATGCAATGTTTTAATTATAGTGAGTGGCCTCTTTTTGTGTTTATATTACCTACCTGCAATATATTTGAGCCAAAAAAAGAAGTCTCTTTATTTTGTGATGAAACAAAAGCTACAGAATTTTGGACATTGTCAAAAGTTCTATAAATTGTTTCCTTTTGCTGAAACTTTTTTTTGGGTGTTTTACATTATATTGCTTAAATAAAGGTGTAAATCATGTCCCATTATTTTGTGGTATTTCAATTAATTTTTTAGAAGCTCATGGTTTGTCATTATTTCCACTAGTTTTGCATAGCAATAATTTTAATTCCAACACAGAAGCAGATCTGTTTTTTAAACTTGCAGTAATGAAAAAAGGTATGTTAATTCTTGTAAGCAAAAGCTGAAGCATTTACAGTACCTCAGACTGGAAACCATTATGAAATCATTTTTATCAGAACATTCTCTAAAAAAGGTTTTACAATATAAAGATTAATACATTTATCCTTTGGAAAGTTGTAATGGCAATTTTACCAGATAATTTTAGCAGTACTGTATCCACTAGCGTTTCCATACAGATTTTAAGACAAGCTCAATGTTGCCATAAAAGGTGCTTTCTACAGTGTACCACGTCTTAACCAGTCAAATAAGCAGAAGAAAAGATGAATGAGAAACAATTGCTCATAAATTCTTTTTTTAATAAAAATACACATATGTACAGAAACATTACAAACCAGAACAAACACAAAACTGAAAACTTGTAAAGTACATTTTTCAGGTATGTACTTCAGCGTTTTCAAACTGACTTCCTGAGGTTTCAAATAATAAAAAAAACTTCAATTGGAAACAAACTACAAATTACAAACTAAGAGTCCTGAGATGGGAGGTTACAATAGTGGTAAGATTAATTTCTGTGCATTGTGTTTATGGACTGAAACCTTACAATCATAAGTACCATCAAAGACAAGGGGAAGATTAAATACAGCACCTCCTAACAAGCAATTATGACAAGAAGGAAGAACAGCTACAGTCATCTACATCAAGCGTTTTTCTCAGTCCCTTTTCAATGCAAAAACATGTTTCTATTACAAGGTGTCAACTTTCAGCTTTTTGAAAGGCTAACGTGAATGTATTCTTCTTCTTTCAAAGGATCTTCTTAAGCAATGTGAAACCAGTTCCCAGACCACACTACCTCAAGTGCCTGGAATGTACAAAATGTCTTTTAAAAGTAACAGTATTACTCTTTTATATTTCCTTTGTTATAATTCATCATGGTTTCCATCACCATTTGGTTTGACAAGTCTTCCTATGAGAAGAATGGAATTGGTCTTCTTGTCTTGGATTAAGAAAATGAATGGGTGATCTACGTAGAACAGCTTGGGTGACCTCATCTCTTCTCGACCATAAATATCCTGGTCAAAGGGGTTGCCATCTGTATCCAGGTCAAAGGCAGTAGCATGAAGGAAGTTGGAGAGGTGCAGGTCTTTCTTCCCAGTCATTCCGGAGAAATCAGCCTTGCTCTTATCAACAGCTTCAGCCAGACCCAGCTCCTGCAGGTGTTTCTGTTGAGACATAATAATTAAAATCCATTTAATTCCCAGTAAATCAGTCTGAGACACTGCCACCTTCTTACACTAAAAGTCTGCTGAATACACACAAAGAGGTCTCACTACAAATCAGTATGGTTACCCTATTGAAAGACATATGGTTTATAACTAGTTTGCACTCAAGTAACAACTCAGTGGTAATTTAAAAAATGAAAAAGTAAATGTGTGTCACTGGCCACCTTCTATTAGATGTGTTCAATGTCAAGCTTACCTGAAGTTCATGGTTGACATCCACGTTTATTTTAGGAAGAGACACAGCCACAGCCCTCTCCTGAAGCTTGTTAGACCAGACACTGAGCTGCTCTTTGGTCAGCATCTTCTCTAGCCTCTCCAGAGGCTCCACGTGGAAAGGCATGATGATCATCATACTAGTTTGCCTGTGGCCAAGTGGCATCTCCACGATTTGCAACTGGTTGACTTCATCTTCGTAATATTTATAGAAGCCTGTATGAGAGAACATGCCGTTGTCAGAATTAAAATGATGTTTTTTTCCCCCAGTTAAAACAAAAAAGGCAGCTACTGAATGAAACACGGTGCAAAAATAAGAGGTATCTAGGATTTGATACAACCAAGCAATACACAGCCACCAAGTTACTGTTTTTGACAGTAAGTCAACTCGTAGTGGCAATGCTACTACATTTCACAAAATATTCTCTAATGGATACTTATAATCTAAATAATCTGTACATTACCAGATAATCAAAAAAACAGGCAGAAATTGGTGCGTTTTACATATTTGCATGAATCTCTGCACCGTTATGGGACCCAAGAATTAAGACATTTATTTTAGTGTATTTATTTTTATTTTACAAATACAACTTTAACTTTAAAGATGGCAATTCTACCTGTCCGATGCATCATTGGCACAGAAACTGAGTGGGTTTTGGACATCAGGAAACCTCTGTTATCGACCATCTTATGGTGGAAGGCTTCACCCCAGTGAGCTGTCAGAATTAAAGAGCAAAACAGTAAATAAAGTAATTTCTGTGTCACTCTTTTTATATCTTGGAAGGTTTGTATATTTAACAATGGGAGAATACTTTAATCTATACTAAGCTTCAACTGGAGTAGTTATTTTTTAAAAACTCTTTCGAACAACCATTTACATATGTACTAAGTTCCCAGTGAAACATCCTCAAGTGCTTTGCAACTCAGTTATAGATGCACTTGAAACCTAAACATATGAAAACTGCATCACTACAGCTTCTATGCTACCAACTTCTTCTCCACCTAATATTACTTACGTTTGAAATGCATAGCGTTGACAAACATGGCTCCATCAGACCCCGGTAAATCTCTGGTGATTTCAGACAATCTGCCCCCTGTGTTTTCTGCAGCCCACTCATTGATAGACTTCAGGGCGTTCCTCTTGTCTCTGAAGTTGATCTTGGAGTGGTCATGCCGGTAGTGCTTCCTGCTCTTCTCCACAAACTCCTGTCTGAGTTCGGCTGACGTCGGCCCATAGAGGCGACTGCCGACCTTCCAGGTGGTATTGCGTGCAGTTTCATTGCTGACGTCGTTGAACAGCTCAGAGAAAGCTGGGTGGAGCTTGTCTTCGTGGAGGTTGACGCGCAGGAGAGACTTCACCTGACTGGCCGTTTTGTCCTTAGCACCAAGGCTCATCACCCCGAGGGAAGTGGCCACCACCACAGGCGAGAACAGAATGTTCTCCGACTTCAGAGAGGGGTCTTTCACCATGGTGTGGTACAGGTTCAGGCCGAGGTTGACAGTGCTCTCAGACAAAACCGAAGTGGGAGCTTTCAGGGCCACTGGCTCTGCCACCACTATGCCAATGAGAAAGCTTACTACTGCAGCCTTGAAAGCCATGGCTATTCTTGGAATTTAAGCGCTTACTACCTGTCAATTAAAAAAAGACAACAACAAAAGGATATCTTTTACAATTCTGGCACTCCAAATTCAGTACTATTTATAGTAGAAAAATGTTAAAAGTTATTTTCTTACCACACTTTTTAAAATCTGCTCTTTTTCGGTAGCTCATCTTTAATTCAATACTTTGAACTGAATATGTACTTGAGAAGATATTCTGTGTTTTATCAGATTTGTTTACTTATTTTCTCAAATATGTTCCAAATAGCAAAATTAAGTTCAACTTTAAAGAGTAAAAACACTTCATATCTTGAAAATGCTTCAACACTTCTGACTAATTCTGTAACATATCCATTTTAACATGCTGACGGAAAATGTGAACTTCTGTGGTGAACAGATAGATGATATGGATGTAATGTGCACTAACGGAAAGAGTCTCCACTGTGGAGCCTTTTTCAGTTCTGTGATCTGCACTAACGTTCACATGTATTGAATTTAAAATGTCTACTCATTTCCATTTTATCCACTTTATGCAATGAAATCTTTTCAATGCGGCGAAAGTCTTAATCAAGTCCATTCTGAAAAACATAATCATTACATATAAAACAGTGGTTCGACAACACTCCATTCCTTCTTTGTAGGAGAACAGTAAGCACGATATACATCTTAGAATTTACATCAGTTCAAACACAGATCTGTTATTACTTTACTTTGTACTTCATTACAGCGTACTGATAAGTGGGTATGAGCCAGAGTATGAAAGCTAAATCCATTGTGTAAAGCAATGTTAAACTGTTTTTCATATCGCCATAATTATGGACCAGCGTCTCCCCATAATTACCAAAATTATGGAGACACTGGAATCGGCGTTATAGTCTGAAATAAACAAACCTAGATTGGTACAAATCTGTCAAAATGGCACTACTGACCTCACTTTGCAAAGTTTCTAGTATTAAAAATCCTGCAGGCTTGACACTTTGCATTCATAATTGTCATTAAACATTAAACAGCGACCGTTAGATCAATACTAATCGAAAAAAAAATAAAATACTTATTTTGGTATAGCGTCTCTACTCTCAAAACACAGCAGCACTTACCGTCCTAAATACCCGTTGTTTTGCGTAGTGTTTTAAACAATACAATACTTAATGTAGGAAAAGAAAGTTTCCGATTACCTTATCCTGGATATTTTGCAGAACCGCTGGTGCGAACTCTTCTGCGCCTCCAAACACACGAATCCTCTCTCCACCCAGAGCTCTTCTGTGAGCAGCTCAACATCGGGACCAACTTTATACTGTAGCCCAGAGAAACTTCCAGAAGGAAGCCGGGACTTGGTGGACCACACGATCCGTTTACTTCTGAAATGCGAGCAGGGTGAAGGCAGGCACCTCCCAAATTGTCTTTATTTTGACTACAAGAGCTGATCTGACGCGACTCGTTGTATTATGTAACGGATAAAAGAAATTGTGGGAAGAGATTGCATCAGATTTTGGGTTGTCTGTTTTTTTAGTTATTCTCTTGCAGATATGAACTCTTTGATTTAAATTAAAAAAAATCACGATGTGCTTAACCAGCAGATATAAGCACATCAGTGGTGCAATTGAATACTTCTAACACAGCTCCTGCTGTTATTCCATTCTGAAAGGCACGGTTAAAAACAGAGTAAAAAAACTGGTACTTAACTGATTATCAATATAAAAAAATGATTATTTTTTATTACCACCTTTCATACTTCAAGTGTACATCTTTTCATTGAGTATTACAAGGGCAATTCATTTTAGTCATTAATTTTATTGAAAAACAACCTGGATTGAGGTAGATTTAAAATCCCGGTTTTGTATAATTTTAATCATACACTTACTACACGCTCTGTAATGGCACACTTTAAAGGAATTCTCTGACGAAATTCTCATTTTGAAAATTATGTCCAGGATACTGCATTGTGTGCACATCAATAATAAAAGCGCTAGTGGGCAGCTCTTCCTAAAAAAAAATCAATCAAGATTCAAGTCTCGAAATGCACGGAGCATGCAAACATTTGATTACAATTCAGGCATTTAAGAAAAGGGTAAACTGAAAAAAGTAGGGGGACAAGTCGATTTTCTATCTTAAATCTTAGTAACAAGAATGTATGCTATCTTTAAAGGGAAAACAACAACACTTCCTTTAAATCTCATTTGGAAATTGTCAATGGCAAGACAATCCAGGGTCCTCCTGCAAAACTGAATATGCCACGTCCACACAAGTGGGAGGAACGAGATTCCAGGTCTTTCTATAGAAAGCCTGCAAAATCCCCAAAATACTTCTTTGTGTGTCTTCTGATGGTTACAATTGTAAGTCTAGAAACTTCCGACTTTTACCTTGACGCACCGTTACAACGGAAAAAAAAGAAAAAAGGAAAAGCGGATTTTTATTGAAAATGGTTGCTCTGATGGAAAATGTTCTTTTCAGATATAGTTCCCCTTAACATTCAAAAGCCAATTTGCAATGTACACTAGTCTCCTAATTTAAACGATAATGTAACGAACTGGAAACTATTTCGTATAAAAGCCTGATTCTATGCATCCTGGTTTCGATAACCGCCAAGTCGTTAGACTATCGCGTTTAAAAGCAAGATGCAAAACTGAGTTTTAGGTTAAAGCTCAGAAATAAATACGTTTATTTTAAAGAGAATTTTATTCAGTGAATATTCATTTTTATATGTTGCCAGTGCGCCTTAGTTCTCTTCTCTTTGCTACTGATATGTATAAACTAGTTTTCGTTTAGTGTAAACTACGAGATGCGCTCGAAAAGACCTTTCTGCCTACTAAAAAATAACATTTTTGTAAGTCTCTCCTGACTGGATAACTGGTTTCACAGGAGCTGGCGACGAAGCCAACTTCAGCCTCGTTCTGCTTTGTAAGTAAAATTTCCTTCCACATGAAGCGAAAATACTCGCTTTCTTTATGGGGACCTCCGACCAGTCCTGGAGGTTCTCCAAGGTGGTTAAAAAATCCTAATTTAGTGTCTCTATACAAGGGGGCTGGAGGAATGAAATCTAAACTTAGGTGACTAACAACAACAACAACAACAACAACAACAACAACAACAAAAAGCCGTAAAACCAAAAACGGATTCAGGCCCTTTAATTGGTTATGATGTCCGAATGAAAAAAACGTTTTAAAAAAGCTATCAGAAGATGCAGCTGACTTTATGAACAGGTAATCAATACATATCTAGTTTGTGCTGTGCCAAGTTTGGCTTCTTTTGAACGATATGAAATAGCTTTGCCACGTGCCATTCATTACAGAAAAGCAGTACAGAACTCTTTATGGGATATTAAATTCCATATTAAATCTTGGTAGTTCCGCAAACAAGAAGAATCAGCAAATATTGTTACTATGAAAGTGCATTGTAACAAGATAGTGCATTACTTCCAGTTTTCAGAAGATCAGGGAACATTTATTAACATGAATGTTATACCAGCTTTCAGTACTATTGTTCTGTATGGTTTATTAACCTAAGCAGAAACCCCACTGTTTTGAAAAGAGTAGTTTTAGCAACAGCCAATGTTAACTGAAGTCCGTCAGGGTTAAATAGTGGTTGAATAATACTGTAACTACTAAACTACAATAAATCACAGTTAAGCCTATTGAATGAAAGTAATGAAAAGGTTTGTGATGTTCTATACACAAGGAATTGACATACTATTCAACAAAAATCAATCACCGCAGGAAGAAAACACTGGAGTGTAACAATTTAGACCCATCTACTTTTCATTTCCCCCCTAACATTCATATTTGCAGCATTTGTTAGCTTTAAATTAATTTAGCTCAGAATCACATGGTTTATTACCGTCCATCAACTTTCTAACATCTCTGTTACATTTTGAGCCGCAGGAGAGTCCCAGCCTATCCTGTTTTATCCTGACTAATTTGTTTTACAAACGACATCAGAATCCCGCTATTTTTGATATTAGCAGTTCTTAAATCATTCAATTTAATCAATTAAGTGATACAATAATTGATACAAACCTTGAAGGCATTCACAATATCAGAATCCAAATTATATCGGCTTTCCAATTGTATCCACCAGCTGTTAAGGGCGAAAAATTACCAGTACTATTTGTTAAAACAGTTTTTAAATTTAAAAAAAGGTTTTATTTCCTGTTTAAAATCGTTGTTAGGCGTATAATACAAATAGGCTTGAAAGCACACAGGTTAAATCCTGGTGTTTGAGAAAAGGCATACACAAGAGATAATCAGCTCCAGTCATCAACAGCTGCGTTTCTGTCACAGACCTTAATGATTTAATTGAAACAATTATACGGAAAAGTTTTCCGAGTGTTAATTTATCAAACCACTTACTTTCGGGGCCTATTGCAGAATCTTAAAGGGCAACGTGGAATGTCAGCCTATGGTAGGAAACACACTAAACACATAATAAACCAGTCTTAGAAATACACATTTTGACAATGACAGTACTTGTGAAGTACTGAGATCGTACACAGTTTTAAAGAGCTAGAGACTATCTACATAGAGTAATAATTCTTTGTAAATATATCGGTCTTTGAAGGTTTCAAAGCTAGCATCTTTTATTTATGTCTTTTATGTACACTTCCAAAACAATAATAAAAATGTTAATCATCAAGTTTCGAAATAATCTATACAGTTAAAATTCTTAAATAGATATCAGAAATAATTGTCACGGATCTTAGTATTATGAAGTAGTTAACTGGTTTAAAATACATACTCGCCTACTTTGGATTAAGTGAAGTTATGAGAAATATCGAAAAAGATGTTGACGAGACAATGGGCAGTACATATAGAAGTAACTAAACGCCGCGATGGGCTGAATTAAAATGCATAAATTTTACTTCATATTTGAGCGAAATTATTGGCGGATCGTTACAGAAAGCACGTGATAAACCGGAAGATGTTTTTTTTTCAAACCAGGCGTCGAACTGAACTGAATCCGGAAAAAAACTCGCAAATTTTCTGAAACGTTAACTTAAGGTCTGAAAATGTTCTTTAAAGTGCACCCAGTCATAATTGGGTAGACTAATGCATTTAAGAAGCTATTGCTGATAAACAGAATAACGCGATTTTAAGTGGTAAATTAGTGATCGTTTTTGTCCTTGCGTATTTTGATGTTCACGTGTAACGTTACGTGTCTGGACAGGATTTTGCTCTTTGATTAATGATATGATTGTGTGTGGCATGATGTTTTTTTTTATTCTTGGAAATTATAAAATTGTAATTCAGTGTTTCCAGTAACCAGTAATCTCCGTGCTGTTAATAGTGGTCGTTTCATAAGTGAAACGCATATATGATCGGTACGCATATATGATTGATTTCCTTATTTATAATTTATGTATTGGTTTTGAGGAAGATGGCAAAGGGGACGTATCCAGTGATACCTGTCATCGAGGAAGGAACCCTGTTTAAAAAATTGCTGGTTTTGGAAAATGCCCGAAATTTCCTGGAAACAGAGTTGAAGACTTTCACAGGACAGGTAGGCTATGTTCTATATTTTTATTTGTTTAACTGAAGTTTGTCAATTAATGCTGCTGTTATTTTGTTTTGATATTATTGTTTTTCACCTGCCAACGTCCATATCCTTGCATCTGTACAGTTGGCTTTGTGGGTGCAATCTGACAACCAAACCAACCAAAGAGTTGAATCCACAACTTTCTGGCCAAGTGTTAAAAGTCCTAAATGCTGCTATTATTATTATTATTATTATTATTATTATTATTATTATTATTATTATTATTATTAATATTATTAATATTGAAAGGAGTCTATATGAGTTTTTAATTACCAATTAATAATATCAATTGACACACCTATGTGGTAAGTGATCACTGAGCTATGCCCTTTCTTGGTTAAACAAATTTCAGGTGAAAAAACAAGTGGAAACCTTCCTGAATCTATCTGAGGAAGATTCACTACAAGAGTATATGCAAATTGTAAAGAACCTAGATGAGGCATGCAACACTATCCAACAGCTTTCTGCTCTTTTTCTGGAACTCAAAGGCGGTAAATATGTAAATGAGATTAAATTGTGTACAGTAAGGTCTTACATAACACCATAACAAACCTTTGTAGACTATTTTCAAACTGTCTTTCAGATAACACTAATAGCAGCAGTGTTTTAAGAGGTACATTATGCCATAGAAATGCATGTGAGTAATGTTTTATTGGATAAATTTATTGAAGTACCATGGAACAGTTTAAATTGTACAATTACTATAACAGTCAAGTTAACAAATGTAATTTTCACCACTTTTGGTTTTCTAGCTATTGACCCAGAAAGTTGCTTGTCATTGATCCCTGCGAATCCAAAGCATCACGTTTTACCTGCATTGAAGGATTCATCTGCTGAGAAAGGCTTCATAATTTCAAATGTTTTGAAGTTTGGTCCCATTTTGAAAAATGCTCTAATGGCTACCTCAGTTGCTAATGCAGTGCAAACTTTAGGATCTACATTAGCTTTACAGCAGATGCGAAAGCTTCTTACTTCCCACAAAGAGGCATCTTCCAATACATCAGCATACTATAACCTTGAGATAGAAGTCTACAGATCGCTTCCTGGGCACAAGAACCACACTTACAGTGACAACAGCAATGTAAAACCTCAGGAGCCCCTACCTTTAAAAAAGTGTGACAAGGTAAAAAGCAACATTAAGGATCCCTGTCCGTCATCAAATGAGACAGTCCAATCAAATGTGCCTGCACATTTATTAGGTTGTGCTTTTGGAAATGGTTTCAAAGTACAGCATCAAAAGCAAACCTCATCTCAACTCATTAACTACCTGAGACTGATTTCCAAGAGTGGCAGTGTTTCGGAAGCTGACTCGTTTAACGGAGATAATATGACCAGTGGTACACCGCACTCTGCATCAGCTGCCTTTTGGATGCATGTGAGACCTGGCCAAAAGGATATCGGTAGTTATCATCATACTCCAGAAGATAGCTATTCAGTGGCAAATGGATTGAAGCAGAAAGCCTCTTCCACACTGGATTCTTCTTTCCCTGTCTTTAAGCTAAAAGGAAAAAGCACAGATGGCTTATTGACCTATAGCTGTATGGTTGCAACCCAGTCTGAGTTATGGGATGTTTGTGATATCTTTATTCAAGAAGAAAATGTTCCTGAATGTGTTGTGGAACAAAACCCCTCATTGCCTGCTGGAAGGCACAGTGAATCTCACTGCAAGGAAACTAACGACTCACAGCATTTAGGTTCCTCTGGAGCACTTTTGTCTTCTGTTGGGCTTGAAGCTTCTTCCAGGAACAAGCAGTGTGTTAGAATTCCAGAATTCAGGATCCGAAAGTTTGCTGAAATGGAGGTGACTGTTACTCACGTGGTTGATCCCGGTGACTTCTATATTCAGAATACAGGCACTGAACTGAAAGAACTATCACAAAAGTTAATGTAAGTTGTTTTTCGTTAATTTCATGCTAGGCCACATTATAGATTTAGGAATCAGAAACAAGCCCTGTTAATATGAACATTTTGTATTTTGAATTTAGAAGGTTATAAAACTAATTGTAAGCCAAACTATTTTCTTTTGTGTATCATTGGCATTCTTTCTATTAAGTGGGCCATTTGTTTGATATATGTATGAAAGAATAATAAAAAACCACAAACTTGATTGAGTAAGTGTTTAACTGTTGTTTAGTTTGTAGATTGTGAATGAGAATTTACACAATATTATTTAATCTGACTTGTTTTTAAATAACGTAGACGTATCTGTGCCGTATTTGGTTTGATATTTCCATTTAGATTCTATACTTCAGAATGCATCTCCTCTAAGAAAAAGCAGTAAACTCATATGTAATGTGTTGGTTTAAGGTGACCCCTCTTACTACCACTGGTCAAAGCTTTTTTTCAGTAAAAGTCTGCTATAGAATGTCATTTCTGAAGCCTGTATTGTCTTTACAATCAGCAGCAGTAGTATGAAGGGAAATTCAGCATACTGAATGGTGTTGCAGTTTAGAAACATTAGGGACATGGCATGTGAAAGTGCCATGTCCCTTGTGAAATGTGTATGTGAAAGTACCCATTATCATCTCAAAACCTTCAGATCAAAGAGTAAATAAAGCCAGAAGCTTCTTGTTCCTGTTTTTATTCCTATAGCAGTCAAGAATGGGGTCAATCCTTTGTTCAGATGAAATGCATCCCAGATATTGGAACCTATGTTGTTGGCTGGTTGCCCAATCTGAAACTATGGTGCCGGGCTCTTGTGGTCAAAATATGTGGAATACAGGAAGGTAGTTTTTTTTTCTACTCATTCCTTTTGTTATTTATTTGCTTATCAGGCAGCACTATCCAGGGAAACTTGCAGTAAATTGATGAATTTTAGATAATTGCATACTTCAGCAAGTAAATTACAAACAACGCTAGGAAAGGCAAGAATCAAAACATTATATATTGTTTACAGAGTAGTGAAGAGAGCAGTGTGATTGTCATGTGTAATGTTTATCATTAATAAGAACAATAAGTAAATTGCCTTTTCAGTTTAAGAATTGAACATATGGTGTAAGAGTGGCTGAATAATATAATTGCAAGTGGAAAGATTGTAGGCACTGCCTGAACCGGTGAGTTTTGAACAGGGGCACAAAAAATGTTCAACGATAATTCATTTCTGATTTCTGGTAGTTAGCTCCACTGCTGATTAATGGGAGTGGACAATAAATGGACTACAGAAGTAGAAGAACACGGAGAGGAAACAGAAAGGAAAAGAAAATGCAGAGAGGGAGAGCATGCAGTGACAGATGAGAAACTGAAATGGCTGGGAGCAGAGCTGTGGGGCAGACAGTTGGCAAGGACTGGGGTTGTGATTCGGATATCTGCTGTGCAGCAGTATAGTGCCAGCTGAGGGACTGCAGCGATGGTGTGGCAATGGCAAAGCAAGACAGTAGGATAACAAGACCGCTCTTGAATTCGGGAGGGAGGTTGGCAAAGACATAGTTACAGGAGAATAGGCAGGACCAGTTCTTGGATAATAGATTTGCATCCAGGAGGAGATCTGGGTATCTGAAATGGAAACAAGTAGACGATTTGAATGTCATCAGCATAAAAAATATTAAAAGGTAAGAAAATTGATGAGAGGACCCAGGGGGCAGGTGTATAGAGGAAACCATAGGGAATCGAGGGTAGTGCCCTGGGGATCACCAGAGGAGAAAGCCAGACCTGGTAAATGCAATAATGGTTAATAGGAGAATCAAGAGACAACAGTGCCCAAAGTTTCAAGGTCAGTAAGTGTTGATAGGAGACTAGAGTGATCAACAGTGCTGAAGGCAGCAGAAAGAGGAGAGGGAGACAGATCAAGCTGGCTGAAGAGAATTATTAATGGGAGAGCGGTCCTGGTTCAGTCTGCTGAGTAAACAATCGACTGATGAGGTTCAAGCAGCAAGTACAGTAAGAGAAAAGAGAGCTGTTAAGGAGGGAGGAAACGTATGAAAGAAGGTCAGGGGCATCAGCCTAGAAGAGTTGGGTGGGGCCAGTATCCTGAGTGCATGTGATTGTTTTCTTTGCTCCGGGGTCATGAAGGTATCTGAGTCCGCTAGGTGTGTGGAAGTGGGAGAACTAGTTAGAAGCGTAGGGATTTATTATAACATGGACAGTGTTTCTGAAATGTCTAATTCTTTGAATTGATTTTAATTAAAGAACCTTGCTTGATATTCTGTGTTTGTTTTGTAGAGGCAGGCATTAGTCAGTCTCATGGGTGTCTTCAAAACATCAAAATAGAGCTGGTGAGAATTGATTATGGAGACAAGGTGTGCCTTGCACTCAGTGATATAAGGGAGCTCAGCCCAGAATTAGCTGCTTTCCCTAAGCAGGCCTTGTGTGTCTCCCTGGCAAATGTAAGTATTAAAAAAAACAACATAATATATTCCATAACTTTTCAAAAACTGTACATCAGTACAGTAGTTAGTTGTTTTTTGTGGACTGACGTTCCATCACACACACACACAAAAAAAGAAGTAGCATATCAGTGAGCATCAGTGTCTTAGATTTTCTGTATTTATATATTATGAGTGGAAAATAGTCTTGGCTACTATAACTGTTGGTCATCTGTTGTTGGGTGCTGTAGGTATCCCCAGTACATGGAGTGCAGTGGTCCTCTGAAGCAATCAGATGGTTTAAGGAGACAGTGGAAGACAAGATACTGTATGCTAGATTGTATCCCCAGGAGGACAAAGTGATGGCAGAGCTGTTTATGGAGAAAGGAAAACTTGAAGCCATGAGGTTTGTGTAAATCCAGCCACCATCACTTGCACAGGCCAGTGGCAAACAGTACTGATTCCTATTTTTGTCACAATAATGCACACGTTTTTCAGTGACATCTGGAGCAAACGGTGTTTGTAGTCAACCTTAAATCGGGACTAAAACTGATAAAAAGTAAATGTTCATTCCTTCACTGATGCTACTTATGACTAAAAAACAACAAAAACCCATTAAATGAAAATGATTTATGTTAAAAACATGCACATTCTTCATATGAGTGATGCATATATGTATTGCCACATAAAACTGAATGAACAAAGAAGACAACTAAGAGCTCTAACTACATGTTTGCATTGAAGGGGTGCTTTTTAGTTAAAACTAATCGCAGGTGTTCAGAAATTAGAAACTTGGACTAAGGCTCTCTAGGCTGCAGGGATTAAAGAGATACTGGCTTTATTTATTTATTATTTTCACCTGGCAGCTTCAAAAACCAAGGCTTCCTGTACATAGGGCTGTAGAAAAACATTGGGAATTTTAGTGTTTAGGAACTCAAATCTTTTGGTTTTTCTGTGGGAGAAAAGTGACACATATTGGAGTGCTGTATCTTTTAAAGTTTTGAATACATGCAAAAATATTAAAATGGACTAAACTGATCAAAAAGGAAAAGTGTGGTGCGCACAGGCAATGGTAGCATTACTAACTAAATGTGTTTATTTTATTTTAAGGTAGTATTCAGGGAAATATTCATGAGAAACATTCTTTGACGCTATGAATAAAAATATACCTCAATAAAATTTCACTTTCGTTGTGTTTCAGGAGAGGGCCTTCTGTTTCATTGAGACTGGCTCATGCTGGTCATGCAAAACACTGTAAAATGAAAAATGTTCACCTTGGGAGACGTAAGTATTTCCTCCCACACACCTTCAAGTAACCTTCCTGGACATACTTTAATTAGAGTATTCATAGGCTAAAACAGGCGTGTCCAGTTTACGGCCCGACACCGTTACGGAAACGGTCAGCGAGTTAATTTAGAACTAATTAGATTTGGCCCGATAGTAAGTAAAAGATGCAGTTTCTATTTTGAACACTAGGTGCCGCCATCACGTAAAATCGCATCTCAAAACTGATAAGCTACCCCCTCTCCTCCACTTTACCGTTTTCAAAACTTAAATTCTGTACATTAACGTTATCAAGCTTTTCAAAATGGCGGAACCAAAGAAACGAAAAATTAACAGCTAATGCAGGAGATTCCAGACACGCTGGCAACATGAATAGTTTTTCAGAGGCAAGACGGCAAGAACAGTGATTCTTCAGTTCAAGGCACAGCATCACTTTTCCCATTAGTAGAGTAGTGCATAAAATTTGTGAAATCTTACGGGTATATTAAAATGAGATAATATCATTATTTATATAGGTCATTTCATGCATACAGTACAAAATGCTTAAAAATCATCTCTTGGGTAGTCCCCTAAATTTAAAGGCAATTTGGTTATTGGAATGCACTTACATCTGGTATTATTTGTTTATTTTTATTATTAGAGGTAATCTGTGGCCCGCCACTCCATATTTGTTTTCTCCATCTGGCCCCCCAATAAAAAAGTTTGGACACCCCTGGGCTAGATGATCTTTTGTGCTGTCCTTTCAATCTATTCAACACTAGGGGGCATCCCCTTATAATCAGAGTTTTAAGTCCATTACATTCACTTCTGCATGCAAATAATTGTTGGTTTTTTTATTTTGCAGGGAGTTCCCATGGCCATAAAACCAAACTCTTGTCAGAATGGAAGAAAAACATAATTTCTGCTTACTTGCAAAATAGAAAGTAATAGATGTCGAGGTTGTAAAAGGAGTTCAGGGGAGGAACAGGTCATTCTTTTCTGAAGGTTTTACTGCAGTTTTTCATTTGAACATGGGTCTTAATAACCCAAGTCAGCTATTATTGACTTAAATGGACTTATAGGTCTTAAAGTCTGCTGTTTTAAGGAGTTCTAGAACTGCGTTCACACTGTCTCTCCAGGACCAAGACGTCCCATCTCTTTTCTTTTAAAGTTTCAAAGCAAACTACAATAATTGCACTTATCCTACTGTGCTGAAAATAAAGATCGTCTTGATTACTGGATAGCCCTTTACTTGATAGTTCTTATATCAGTAGGTGTGTATATTGCCATTTTCACCACATTCATTTTATCTTCGCTGCACTGACATATAAGTTCTTATAACTCTGTTTTGGCTTTATACTTACAACCCCAGTAGACCTGGAGGTTTATAATACAGGTTGTTGGGAATGAGCTGTAAACTCATTGGTCATGATAGTTTATTGACAGATTGCATGATTGCATTAGTGCCTTGTGTGTAATAACAGTTAATGCACTGTGAAAGTTTACCATTCTGGAAGCTTTGTGTGCTTGCAGAACTAACAGCTGTTATGTCAAATTGTTACTCGCAGCAAGTCTGTGTAAAAGAATAAATGTTAAAAATGTTGTCAGGTGTGTAAAGAAAAGCATTTGTTGTCATTGTACAGATGTATCAACAGACTTTTGAAGGGGATTAAATAGTTCCATGGATGTTTGTCACAATCCATGAATAATCACAGAGCTAAACCTAGTTGGCAGGCTTAGCTACATTGCCAGGGTAGGGTTGAGATACATTAGACAAGGCACTCTTTCCAGCAAACAGTTGTTGTATAATAGTTACTGTACAAATTACTTTTCCTGTCATTTCTAAAGTGCCTGCAGGCTTTTAGTGATGAGAGACATGATGGTCTTCCAGTCCACAGTAATTCTGTTGTTTTGGTTTGACAAAAAAAAATGGTTCTAATATCAGTTTTCTTTCTGGGATTTAAAAAAAAGATCATAGAAAATTTGTATTACGAGTGTTTTTAAATTTAGATCTGCCCCCTGTATAATTGTAAGATTTACCGAGTCATGAAATGTATTATGATCAGTTCTGCATTACTGAAAAATGATGGCTTGTTCCACTTTGGCATTTTTGACATCTACTTTTAGGCAGATTGAAGCCATTATCCATTTATTATTTGGTTATTGTACAAATACCTAGGCCTTGCTTTTAGAATGGCTCTATAACTGCGTGACACACCCTTCTAAGATTCCTGCTTTGTCATACTTAACTTACATTATTGCTAGGTAAAAACAGGAAAACAGCCTTTGACACAGAAGAGTTAGAAATCATTTGGTCCCGTATCGGACCTGTGAATTGTGATCCAATGGATGGCCTCTCACAACAGTCCAGTTATTGCTGCAGGGATTCAGCATTTAGAGTCTCATCCTAGAAATCAACAAAAAACGCACCCTGCCAAGGATGTTTTCACTGATGGAGTTGGTCATGGATGATACAGCTACAGTTTTTAGTTTTGGGTGCAAGTCCTTTATTTCTGTTGAATCATGAACCTGTGTGCAACTCTGTTCTCTAGTTTCTTCACCACCTGATGGATTCAACATCTCCTCTCCTTTGCTCTGTGTTCTCCAGTCAGGGAGTGCACAATCATGAGGTCACAAAGTGTTCAGCTTATTGGGATTGATCTATTGTGTGGAAAAGGGTTGGATTAATGTAAACGTATTAATCATTTTGTCTGCATAATCTGACGTTTGGATGTTAAACTGAAATAAACAGCCAGAGGTTAGTTTGCTGGATGTGACATCACATGATTCCCCAGCTCTGCTTTTAGATCTTACAGACGTTTTGACATGAATGTAGAGCACATGCTTTTAATTTTCTTCAGCATGATGCTGTGAAAGTTCATGCTGTCATATGTAAAAATGTTGTTAATGTTTAACCCTATTATTTTGAATTTGGGCTTGTTAAATGCTGAGCAGTGCCCGTTCTCAATCAGATTAAACACATCATGATATATAACAGGTTCCTAATTCCTGACCTTGGGGTCTGGATTCCAGTGATATTTTATCTTACAGTGTGTCTAATGTGTACTATGATTGTCTCCTCAACAGTTGAAGCCTGTGGACAAAGGAAGGATAGGCCCATTTAAACGTTAACTGGATTGTTTTAACATTTCTTATTGGTAAAAAGATGTATGTATGGGGAGACACATGAGAATTTAAGGCTCAGAAATGTGAAGCCTTAGTGTAAAATATTGCCACGATATGTTTAGCCCAATATATCCTTCCATAGATTAGCATGATTGCTCAGTGGATAGCCCTGTGTTTGGTTCTGGATGTACTGTAAATTGCTATCTGTGTGAAGCTTGTATGTTCTCCCCTCCATTTGCGTGGGTTTCCTCCATGTGCTTCGGTTTCCTCCCATAGTCCAAAAACATACTGGTAGGTTCATTGGCTTCCGGGAAAAATTGGCCATATGTGTAAGTTTGTGCATGCCCGTGTTTGTGTCTGTGTCTCTGCCCTGGGATGGACTGATGTTCCATTCACCCTGTCGCCTTCCTTGCTCCTGTTCCATGCCGATCACAGGGGAGCCGGAGCCTCTGAATGGGATTAAGTGGTTAAAAATGGATTCATATGAATACTTCCTGACCCACAGACCCACAGATTCCTGACAGAATCTTAAGCATAAATATCCCAACGATGTAAGATAAGATCACTTTATCAGCCGTATACGATTTCTTGTATTAGGAATTTGTGTTTTTGCATACCCTAACTTGCTCTCCATGACACACACACAAACAAACAAACAAACAAGGATAGAAGTTTGGGGTCAGAGCACAGGGTCAGCAATTTATACGGTGCCCTTGGAGAAGTTGGGGTTAAGGGCCTTGCTCAGGGGCCCGACGGAGTAGGATTCCTCTGCCGGTCGCAGGATACTTCCAGGCACAGATCCTCAGCCACAGAGCCACCACACCACACCGTTAACCACTTGAACGGGCATTGATTTTAAAAGTTTTTTTTTTTCCTTATTTGAAATAGTTTGAAGATCTCCACAACTTTCAGATAGTAAAGATATGATTCTTAAATTTGAGTTTAAATCTTTTGTTGTCCCTTTTTTGTCAATATTTGCAAGTTAATGTTAAATGTTATTTGACATGGAATGTGATAGATTTCTAGATTGGAAACTGCTTTACTCTGCATTTTGACTTAACCTGTGTGTTACCCTTTCCTGTTGTTGTTACCTGTCTTAGAATTAAGATTTTAAACGTTTTAGTTTGTGGAAACTATGGGCAACCTGAAACTGAAATCAACTTTCAGCTTTTCCAGCCTACAATCCACATTGGGACATTTTTTTAGTTTTGAACGTTAAAATAGTCATTAGTGTTGTATACGAGAGAAACAGTTCTTAATAATAGAAAGGGAAATAATTTGCACCACAACAGAAAAGAATAGTTTCCTTATAGATTCCAAAAAGGCAAATGTATTTCCTATTTCCCTGTCATTATAATGTTAGCAGTTGGTTTTGGAATCTGTTAACTTTATTTTATTATCTTTCCTGTGTGATTCAATCCTGTTTGTCAATAAGGGGTGAAACAACCTGGTACGTGCAAGCAGACCTACAGTACTCGCAACATTTGAGGACTTTAGTCAGTTTGAATGTGTTAATCAGTAATCTTCTAATAGAGTTTTGTCTAAAGTTTTTTCTTACCTTGAAAGTATGATCCAGCTGTTTGAAGATTATATAGAGCTTTTTAAAATTAATTGTCACTTCCACCTAGAGTTGTTAGTACATCTTTCCACTCAAAGACGTCCAAAATGTAATGCAGGATATACAGAATTCAAAAACGATAAAAATGCAGTTTACGTTGGAATTCTAGGACTGCTTGTATCTCCGTGAAGTCGCTAAACTGTGTTGGTCTCAAACCCTTACTGCTGTTTTTTATAGTTAGCAGAAACACTAGTCTTTCGGTCTGCAAATTTAACTGGTACTTAACAGCAGAAGAATAAGGATAGTCCAATACTTTAAAAAACTGCCAACTGCGATTAATAATATCCAGCATTTTGTCTAAGTCGCGTTTTGCAGTCCGTTAACGAACAGTACTTTTGAAATCTAATATTCAATGTTCGTTTCATCTACACTGTATTTACAATCTTACATTTCTGGATATTTTAAGAATGTAGTCGGCAATGCACCCATTTTTAAAAGGGAAAGGTAAAGGTTCATAAGCTTTACTTTCAGGGCTTTAGTGAAAATAGATGTTGTCTCCATATAATGGTCACAATATGCAATTCTCAAATCTCCGATTCTGTCGTCAGTGTTTGCCGCAAGGGTGTGTTAAATATAGACTTAAACATTTACAACGCATACAGTATATGAAATGTATGGAGAAAACAAAGAGTTCAGAAGTAAACTTCATGTGCCGCCGCCAGTGATTTCATCAAGAATAATGTCGGGTACTGTACGGCCAATCAAAGCAACATTGTGATAGCTTTCCTGATCAAACAGCTTTTTGTGATCAAACAGTCTGTGTAAAGAGCTAAACACATTAAGGATAAACATTTGGTATCAAGTATCTAAAAGCTTCCTTTCATTTATACAATTCCTGTGTTGTAGTGGTTAAAGAAGCTGCCTGTATTGGATTAAAAAGTTGTAGTTACCACAATTTAAACCGTTTAAGAAATATCGATTTAAAGTGGGAGTTGATTGACTATTTATCATTAAAAGAATACGTTATCTTAACAAAACCTTATCCTAGTTATCGCAGCCATGCAAATAACTTTAGCTAAAGTTTAAATTGCCAGTCTTTACCAGAAGATGATTGGGTAGTAGCCACGGTTTTTTTTTAACGAGATATGTCATGAGTTCATAGTCAAGGACAAACCTCTTGATAATAAAATGTGGACTCAGTGTAAGGGATTTCAGAACTCCTGAAGATCCAGCTCCGACTTGTGCTGCGGTGTGTTGTAAGTACAAACTGTATTTTTGTAACTTTTAAGTAGTCTAAGAACTTGGCTGTTTGTTTTCTTGTTACCTAATCCAGATGTTTCTTAACTACATCGTACATATTTCATATGAACTCAAACTATTTAAGGCAGATTTCTGATCGGTAGGGTGCTTTAAACACTAATTATTTGTAAAGGTATATACGTTTTTAAAAGTGTGGGATGTAAAAAAATACTTGCATTAAATCGGATGTTTGAAACTTGAAATCTCAGCGTTTTCCTTCCTATGAGGGAAACTATTTAGAATATGTATTTTCGGTCAAGAAGGCACCCAAGACAAATATCCAGTCAGGTCAGTTTTTTTAAATAGCCGTCTGGCTAGGTCAACCGGTTGGTGCACTGGTTGCTTTCACGAAAAGATACTATATAAATTGAGCCACCGGTTTGGGCAGCAATACCATGGTATGGTTCTTTATTTTTTCTTGTTCTTATTTCTCTTATTCTTTTAATTTATTTTTACTTTGTTACTTTAGTTGTATTCTCATTTGGCTTTAAGAGTATCCAGAACATAATAGCATAATAGCCAGTAGCATGTAAATGCGAGCGTTATTATATAGGCCCTATGGGTACAGTACATTTTCAACTTGCATGTTTGATAGGAGGTGTTAGTCATGTTTCTTTAATGATCGATAGGCACCTGAATGTAAAACACAGGCCAGTGTTGCTGAATCTCCTTATAAGGTGGAGAAAAAAAATCCAATACTTATACTAAATGTAAATATAAATTGGAATAAACCACTATATAAATATAATATGTTTTATCTTATACTGCTTCCTTGTATAATAAGCTTTACTCAGTTGGATTCTGTTTTATTTGCAAGACATCATCACAAAACACAAAACCAAAATACCGTAAATCGAAGCCAGGTATTCATAACCGATATTCATAGGACAGAATTCATTTATGAAAAATAATATTTTTTTTTATTAAATAACGATATGCCTGTAGTTTCCACACAATAATATTCAGCATAATATATCTTTATTGATACATTTGTAATGGGTGCAGTTTTTGATGTAAGCCTCATAAAAAGGAAAAGCATTTTAGAAATACTAATCTAACTTCTTAATGTCTTATCACTATAGAGTAATACAGAAAGATTAAAAGATTTTAGTACATATTTTCCATTTATCTGAGAGCAAATTGTAACAATTTAAACATATATGTAACATGTCCAAGAAAGAAGGCCAGAAACAAACTAATTAATCAAGTTTAAACTGTTTTCTAGTATGAGGAAAATTCAATTGGCTGTTTTTCAAACTAAATGAAAGCATAAAGACTGCATTGGGACATTCTCTGTAACAGGCAATAGATTAGTCTGTATTTTGTAATAAGATTATACTTATACTTATACTTATTACAAAATAGTGATATTGCAAAATACCACTGCTAATCTAAATCATGTTGAATGCTGTAAAAGAATAATATAATAATGGACAGTATAACAATGTCAGCCTTTCTTTGGAATGTGGAAAAAGTGTAACTCCTGCTCTTGTTTCTTTACTCTGTGAACTTAATTTGACTTAAATTGAGTCATCTTTGGTGGGATCACCCAAAGATAAGGGTCAACACAAATTGCAACATTCCTTATTTCCAGTACTGCTACACCTATGTTATCAAATCAGTATGTAGCATTTTTAGATCAAAGGCCAGTACCACAAGCTGACCTAACATGACAGATGTAGAGTAAGTGGATACCATGCATGAAGGGAATGTTTTTGTGATTTTTTTTAATACTGCTAGAATTGAAGGTTTGCTGGTTCTGAGACACTTTTGCTAGACTACACCTATGATGGGTTTCATGATGGCCTTCCAATTAAGCCCTGATACTCTAAAACATGCAGACTTAACTACTAGCTTTTAGAAATAAACCATTAAACAAAATAAACCATTCTCTACAGAAAAAAACTGGGACATAATACCCTCTTATAAAGTTCAGAGTGATAGCATAATATTTAATTAGTACTCACAATTAACTCCATCATTTTGAACATATTTCTAACAGACTACGTCAAAATAGCAAAAATGCCTATTTGAGAATGAAATCTGCCTCCAGATTTTGTGTGATTAGCACCCAAAATCTCACAAAGCAAACTGCTTTCTCCTACTTTTTATTACCGCCTCATTTGTTTTGCGTCGACTGTAAATCTTTGTATTAGCTTCCTCAAATGGGGGTGGTGGAAACAGTCGCTTGAATAAACTCACAAATAGTTTGCAGCCAACGACGCAAGCTGGATGATAGTGATGAGAATAATGTTTATTGTTGCAGACGCACATTTGAAGTCACAAGGAGAAAGGACTTCATTAGAGGCATGAAGATTGTGCTTGTTCCAGGCACTGTACTGTGTTGCCTGGAGGGCTTGTAGTTATACGCTTACTATAACCTTAGACACATATGGCAAAATTAAAACATGAATCACTAAGTGTAACAAAACAAATGCTTGATGTATGTTTCAGGATTAAAGTGTTAATAGCATAAAATGTAACTTTCTTTTGGAATGCAAGGGTTCTATTCATTTTCTTTGTCTTCCAAGACAAGTTTTAAAGAATTTAGATTTCATGACGTATAGTAACATATGATATATGGTAACTACAGGAAAAAGTTCCTTCTGAGCAATATTAGTGAAATCCTCCATTTCATCTTCCCCTTGACAATTAAGCAACTGGTCAGTTGATTGAAGAAGATTGGATGATGTCTTGCTAATGAAAGAGTTAAGACATGTGCACACAAGAAGGAGTGGTAGGTTCAAATTAAGTCATTGGGTTCTGACGTCTTGTTTCAAAGGTTCACTGATTTAATGTGATGGCACTACCTAGTGCTTGTGATAGTTACCCATATTGTATGGCTTTGAAAAAATTAAAAACTCATGGTACAAGATAAGAAACAAATCTATGAGAACTTTCCAATTTTTTGGCGTGGCTTTTTTGATTCAAGTTTACGTCAGACACACCCTTTATCTCCCTTGTTCCATGAAAAACAATAAATAATAGGGGGAAAGCTTTTTTGTGTCCACACAGATTCTTTCTTTTGCGGAGGGTAGGCGGAAATCAAGGCGTTTGATCTGAATTCTAAAGAGTCTTGTTAGCTTCATAAAGGCCACCATTGTATGTAAATAGTTTATATAAGAGCATATGACTGCTACAGTGCAGGGTAGTGTCTAGTGTCAGGGAATTCATTTGCAATTTCCAAAGACATGGTGTTCTAGTGAACCGATCCTTTCACTGACAAGCTTACACTGATGTTAATCCAACTGTTTAAGGACTTGTTTGTGCACAGACCCACCTGAAGGTAAATGTCTTTTTTCAATTTTAAACAGGAAGAAAAATACTTTTTTTTATTAGTTCTAATCCCTTTTGATAAGAAGCTAAGAAATAATATATACTGTTTTAAATAAATTAGATTTGACTCAATTTATATATTTACTTTTCTGTTTGGCAGACAGAGTTTTAGTTAATTAGTCCTGTGTGTAACAAAACTGTGGAAAATTAAATATTACAGTATAAGGTGTATTTTCCAGGCTATCACTTCCTGAATTTTGTAATTGATTTTGATGTGTTGTTCATCTTGTTGTCATAAGCATTTCTACTCATGAGCAATCAATGTGTTTTCATATCTGAAGGAACCTAAAGTTCATCTGCAGGATCCTTTGGACTTTATCATTGTGGTGTAATACATATTTGCTTTAACTGTATTGCTTTACCTCACCTCCCCAGCAGGCTGGTATTACCTGCTGATAATGTGTTTTTACAATGGTCATTAACTTTTTTTAATGGAGAAAAGCTACTGTGCTTGAAACAATAAGAGGTTTGGCCCAGGGTGGGAGCACATTTCAGTCTTATTATTCATTCCACCCTAAACTAAACCACCTCATTCATGATTATTCCATCCATTAAAATTCTACGTCTTGAACTGTCAATCTTAATTTTCATAAGATCGTTTTTTTTCGCTTTGAAGCCCAGAGGTTCTATAAGACCAAAAGTGAGGACTCATCTAGAAGACTGACAGTACCAGGAGAACCTCTTAAACACTTTTGGGCCCATGTTTACAATCTAAACTGCAGTGGACCTAAAATCCAATTACAAAACTGCAAACAGTCATCAACTATTCACATTTACTTATAATTTTGTTTTATATCCCCCAAGGTGGTTATGATGAGAAGATGAAAGCACAATGTTCGGAATGTAGTTTGGTCCATATATCCAGTTAGGGCACTTTCCAGTCATTCATCCAGGGCCTGGTTGCTTCTCCACTGCATCTGTGATACCCAGAGTGGGGCAACAATATAAAAAATGCTACTCGGTAGTCACGCTGCTTCGCAACACTTTTCTGATTGGGTATGAAAGGCGAAATGTGATCCTTCGCTGTCGAAGGCAGTCTCTTTCCCCAGTGAAGTAGACCTGACGCTACTGGTGAACTCCCATTTCGGTGGACACTCCTATGTGTCCACTAGATTCCAGCAGGTCAACATTGTTCACTGATTTGGATGCTTATGACACCTACTACTGAGCCTGGTAAACTAGGGGGGGAAAATCCTTGGAGGGTGATAAATGGATGATGGAAATAGCTTAAAGTCTGCAATAAGATGTTTTCAAAGTTCTTTAAAATTACAGAAACTCTCATAGAATGCTTCTTTGCAAGGCTGGTAGAGTTTGATAGCTAGTTTTCTAGTACTGGAAATCTTAGCAAAGACTTTTTCTCACTTGTGGGAGGCAAAGCAAAGAATGGAGTTTTTCTAATCAGGTATTGACAAATTTAAAATGGTTTTAATTAACTAATTTATTTATAGATATGTTTAGAAAGTTTCTTGTGATTTTAGTGTTTGTGAATTGTGTATTCTATTTCAGCAGTACTGTTGAAAATATCCTCAGGGAAATTATGTTTTAATAATAGCACTGCTACAACATGTGGCACAATTGGCAGTGTGTTTGTTAGGCAGCTGTTGGACGACCATTGCGAAAGGATAGTTGAGAAACGAAGTAATGAGGTAATCTAACTTCATCTAGTTTTGTTAATCTCACAGTATTTAAGGGAACAAGAGAAAAACTGCCACTAGTAAATCCAATCTGGACTAATAATAATATTTTGTTTTCATATGAGTCATCTGTACATCGACATCTCATAACCTTCTCCTACCTCTTCATTTTCAGACCTGGAACCAAAAATGAATTGGGCGTCTTTTTATGCCGTTATAAGCGGTGTAAATAGGCATTCCACCGGAATTGGTCGCATCTGGCTCTCCGTCCTTTTCATCTTCCGAATCATGGTCCTTGTGGTAGCCGCAGAAAGCGTCTGGGGGGACGAGAAGTCAGGATTTACCTGCAACACCCAGCAGCCGGGTTGCAACAGCGTCTGCTACGACCAGTTCTTCCCCATCTCCCACATCCGTCTCTGGGCGCTTCAGCTCATCCTGGTGTCTACTCCTGCCTTGCTGGTAGCTATGCACGTCGCCCACCGACGGCACATCGATAAGAAGATCCTTAAGCTGTCCGGGCGTGGCAGTAACAAAGAGCTGGAGCAGATCAAATCTCAGAAGATGAAAATCACAGGAGCTCTTTGGTGGACCTACATGATCAGCGTGATTTTCCGAATCCTCTTCGAAGCTGCTTTCATGTACATATTCTACCTGATCTACCCAGGTTACAAGATGTTCCGGCTGGTCAAGTGCGACTCCTACCCCTGTCCCAACACGGTGGACTGTTTTGTGTCCAGACCTACAGAGAAGACCATCTTTACTATCTTCATGCTGGCTGTCTCAGGAGTCTGTATTCTTCTCAACATTGCTGAGGTGGTTTACTTAATTGGAAAGGCCTGCACTAGACATTTTCAGGATCCAGAAACCAGCTCCAAAGGGTCATTTTACGGACATAAGTTCTCTACCTACAAGCAGAATGAGATCAATCAGCTTCTCTCCGATCACTCCATGAGAACAAAAACCAATGGCGTCCGAAGGAATCCTAGTTCAGAGAAAGAAGACAGGTGTTCAGCTTGTTAGGTTGACCTGTTTAATTTCTTTAAACTAATCTCATCCATTTAACTAATCAAGTTTAATCAGGAGCAGGCCAAAGCTTAGCATGGATATATTTTTTTTACTTTGGTATTTAGGTGCAGAGCCTAAATCCATTCAATACTGTAGGAATGCTATACAAAGCTGTGAGAGATCAATGCTTCCTATTTTTTGGGGTGAGGGGGGCAGAGGGTTAAATAAAACTTCAAACCTTAACTACTTCACTCCCAACCAGTTTTGCATTTTGCTGCCCATGCAAGAAACTAAAACAAGACGAGCTAACCCAAATATCGACTCAAGCAAGTGTTACAGTATACAAAGAAAGGACAGTTTACACCTTTTACAGTGGTGTAAAGGGACCAGCATGGAATACATGATTCACAGCACACTCTGGCAGTACATTACAAGACAGCAATGGTTATACAGTGGTTGGATTTTAAGGGACAAATGACTCTCAAAAGCAAAAGCATGTTTTTATAACATGACTTATAGTAAAGAACATCTTGTCTCTTGGAGCTAAAGAAAGCATGAAAGACTTGGTATGCACTTGACATTGTCTGCAGCATGGGAATAAGAATGCATTCAGAAAAAAAAAAACATTTGACCATGCTGCATTGAAATCTGTATACCACAAATCAAGAAACAAAGTAGACAACAAAGTGGGCAGACATTTGCTTTCCCAGCTTAAGATGGAAATAGTGGAATATCAGGAAAGTAAGAGACCTTTGGACTTTTATGCTTGAAGGATTATTAAGGTTTGTTGAATCCTTAAATGATCCCAAATATGTGCCTGAGTGTATTACATGAGGATCAGACAAAGCTTTTGAATCAGTGGTATTTTACAAAAAACATTTTTATACTTAACCATCAGTAACATTTTTATGTGTTTACAGAAAAACATATTTTGAAACATAATTATGCTTGTTAGAGGTTTATTACTGAGCACATCCACTTGTCAGTTCACTGAACTCATTTAAACCCATTTACTTTTTAATTTACCATTTACCATTTAATGAATACCTCATCCTTAATATCAGCCATTCATTCTGGGAAATAAGTGAGATTGCACTAAGTGGGACTAAATGATCAATCTGAATTGCACTGAGATAAATTGTAATAAAATAGAAAGTTTGCTTCAGCATCTTTTCAGTGTTGAGCCAAGCCAGAGGATGATGGAGATGCAACGTACTGTTACTCAAATTGACAATTGACACAGTGACAGAGGTAGAGAAGAACAATGCAGTTTTGCATTGCAACTCAAACATGGATTATCCTATGATTTAGAATGTTGGTCATTTAGTCATAAGACTGCCAAATACCTGTATACTCTTCACTTTATAAAGTTCACATTATATCATGGGTGATTAGAAGCCTTATTATTCACAGTTATTTATATGTCCAATTAAAATTGCCTTTAGAAGTATAAAAAAGTCATAGTTAGAAACCATAATAAATGTAATCATTCCTCTTAAAAAATTACTGGATGGGCATGGAATTTATATCCTGCATTAGGTGTTTGTCATGAATAATCATATTTATTGTTACAATTGCCTTTTCCTGTTGGGTCTGTTAAAGGTTAATCATATATCTGTCAGTGGAAATGTATTTGCTTCAGTATTTTTAGTTTATAGTACATTGCGTTTCTGTGCATCAAATGAAATACATTTTAGAAACACTTGTAGTCTCATGTAAGGAATAACCGCTATACAGTAGCAGCGCTTTGCATAAAATGGCAGAAAATAATGTAACATAAACAGTTTGTGAGTTGGAGTCAGAACACTCTTTGTTTGAAGAATATTCTAAACAGCCAGTTCAACCTAAATAAGAGGAAACTGAAAATGGTTTCACAACCTACTGGGATAAATGATTATTATCCCAAATTACTGTTTTAGAACAAGAATGTTTACTTCTATTTATTTGAAATAGCACATAATTGTTTTGTTTTAGTCAGCATTATTCCTGGGATTACAAAATCTAACTGCAAAACAAGCAACACTTTTTTAGTATAAGTATAAATGTATTAATTTCTCTTATGATTTTTGTGTTTTTGTTTGAATTTGAATTTTTTTTTTAAATCTTACTTCTCATTCATTCAGTCAGCATTCCTGATTTCTACTGGTACTGTATCTCATTCATAAAGCACAACTAGTGATATTTTTAGATATTTGATATTAACTATTGATATTAGTAGTTTTGAGTTGACTTTAGCTGCATCTCAAATGATAAGGACCTTGTATATATCACTATTGTAAATTAATACCATAAAAATATATGCTTTCTGATGACTAGGTTTAAATTCTGTGATTAAGAGGCAACTTTGAAAGGTATTTTCTCAAAGTCCCGTCAGATTACGATACACATATTTATCCGAGAAGGAAAAAGGAATCATGTCATTTTCTGTTTATATTACAATTTTCAGAATATCTTTTCTCCCCCAAATTGAAAAATTTTCAATGTAAATGTCCTTCCCAGGAAATGATTACTTTCTTTGACAAATACTAATAGAAGGAAATTAGCTTTTTGTATGGTGGTGAACGTTATGGAGCTGTACAAAATGTTTTAAAAAATGAAGAATTGAAACAGCTTCACTTTAATGTTAATAACAATTATATAACTTAATAAATGTGTCATTTGTGCAAAGTAAATATGAACCTTGCCTCCCTTAAATCTTTAAAGTAATAATAAGTTGTTTTTCCTTGTTCATGACTTTATATGTATACGTAAGAGTAAAGGTGTTAAAAACAAGAAAGGCAGTGGTTTATCTTAAATGTTTTTGAAAAGTATAGCTTCTCAAACGTACACTTCTTGAACGTTCAGAAAATGGACTTTACCAAGTGAAGTACTTTACTTTCTTAGGTGAAGTACAATACATGGACACTGTGTAAACAGTTTTTTTGTGTAGAAACTACTCTGAGAGAGAGAGAAACATGCAGCACGTTTGTGAAACCGATAACACAGCGGACAATTGCAGTCTGTGCATATCAGAAGAAGCCACTAGAGGGAGCCTGACAAGGTCAATGACAAGGCAGTGCCAGTCCCAGGACATTTGTTCTGTGTCTGCTAGCTAAAAAGACCAGGATTGCTTTACTTTTCAGAAACCTAACTAGCCAGGTTTAATCCCTGAAGTGGTCACAAGAGGGCAACAATGCCTCAATACGAGTGGCTCAGAGATTTAGCCAACTCGAGTATTCCAGTGTATTTAATTGAAACACTTAGTTTAGGGTGATTGTATTTGCAAAAGTATTGCTGTTATTGTTTTAACATTATTTTTAATAGGATATAATATAATAATATTTAATATAACATAAACATTTGTATATACTCATATTCGCTGTAGATATAGTATATTATATGCACATATATTTACATCCACTATCTGAAATCCGCCTCCTGGAAAAGGTTTGCAATAACCTAGAACTTATCCTTGAGGCACAGTGTGCAAAAGTAGGACTGTACTCAGGACAGGATATTAGTCCATCATCCACCATAGACACACGATATAGAGACACCACCTAGTCCTTACCCACTAATTCTCCACCCCTGTCTTTTGTCCTTTGTTATTCCTGGTCATCCCCCATGGTCGTTACTCGGCTGCCATTTGTCATCTCGTGCTCACTGGATTTTCCAATGTGACTGGACCTGACCACCGTGTAACTCCTACGAGCTGGGGCGGTTTGTAGCTCTTCGGCCTCTAGCTCTCCATACTCTAGAAAGCAAGTGGACTCCTCACAGGCGTCATGATGCCTGCTCTTTTCTTACAGCTCTTCCTGATGCTGTCTCTTTTCCTTCACCCCTCCTTCTCTACCACCTCCTCCCTCATTTCTTTGTCAGGCCAGCTCACCACATGTTCAGCCCCCACCTGACCTCAAGCCATGTTTCTTGCTACCCCTGTAGATGCCCTTCTTGTCCCTGAAGCTCATTCCACAAGCACATATCAGCAATCTGCACTGAGTTTGAGCTCAGAAATGATGACCAGCGGCCACAGCGCAGATGTTCTCAAGAGTATGGCACCTATGTGTCCTCACAGACCATCAGTTTAGCCGCTGTTTCTTGGGGTTCGCACATTTATTCATGTGTAGCAAATGGACAAGTCAGATCAGGACATGTACTGATCATGTATCATTCAGAACTTCAAGCTTGATTCCACCATTAGCCTTGCATATATCTTTATTCTTCTTCTTACTGCCTTAATTTGTGTCAGTCATTTCATTTACGCACCGATACGATCAGCACATGGTTATTAATCTACCTCACATGAAGAGTGCCAATCGAACAAAAACTTGTGCACCATGGTAAGCTCTGTCATTAAAGAACTTTGGATCGGTGTTCTTGGGTTCCTTTGATCTTTCCTGAGGTCCAGTCAACCATGATTTTACGGGTCATAGCCATTTCCTCAGCCAGTGTTGCACATCATCACAACGCGTGGTGAGTGCCGCCAACACAGATTAACGGTCATGTTCTGATATCCTGAGAAAGCCATTGTTACTGAATCAGTATGAGTTTGTTCTGCTGTAGCTTATCACGTGACCCCACAGGAAAAACAGTCCTAGAACGTGATCAATGTTGTTCAACGTCGTCAGATCAACATCAGTTATTACAAGTGGAGCCCCAAGTGAGACTAGACCCTGATGGCCAGACCATCATACTTGGACCTCCTCATTGATCTTGGCAAAGATCATGACTCATGATCCTACAGCTCGTAACCTATCATTGACACAGTGTCTGTTTGGCTGTAATGTCTCCAACAGTAAAGGTACCCCCTCAAGCACAGTTTGAGTTCTGAGATATTGATATTGAGCCTCAGCCATGGTCCTAGTTGACTTTGACTGGATTTGACTGGATTTACTTTGAGTGACAACATACATTTGACTGAACACCAGTAAAGGAACCAACTGAGACTGAGACTGCTATCAGGATGGGTCTAGTTGTCAGGGCTCTTTTTTCTTCTGGTGATACAGTGACCCCTGTAACATCCTGGGTGCTTGCAGTACTGTCAGGAGGGACACTGCAAGTTTCCAGTCAGGTGGTGAGCCTTCTGCACTGAGCTGAATAGCCCGCAGCATATTAAAGATTAGTGACTTGAAGGTGGGTGGGTCTGAGTAGTCTGTCTACACTTTCTCACTCTCCTCCTTGTGCCATTTCTAAACTAAGAAAGAGAAACTGTCTGGCTGTGAAACATCAGACTTAGACCAGCCTCGAACCCTCTAGTGGTATGGAGGTGCTGGCCTCACCATTAGTTTCTTTCTTTCCTTTCTTTCTTGATTTTCAACAGACCTGACAATCAACTGATTAAACCACTTCATCACCCGTGCCCAATCAACACTCTCACTAATGAACTTAAGCAACAGTTTAAGGTCCTTACAGTAAGTGTACATTGATCACAAAAGATCAACTCATCAAAATGATGCCTAAAATAGTTAATCAATTAAAAAACTCAATACATTTTATTTTGCTTAAACATATACGTGCATAAAAACAGTAATATGCTCAGTATGTATATATAATTATATATTCTGATTTCTATTACAGTTGTGTACTTACAGTATGTACGCGCTACATATACTAAGATACATTACACATACGTTATAGATACTATATATGTATCACAAAGCTTGAGTGTCATGATTAAAAAATCCAGTACTGTCAGGGCCTTTACTTAACCTTCCATGCTAGGATCATCATGTAAATATTCTGTTCAGCTTGACCACCTGTGTTAAAATATCATCACCAATGAGTGAAAAGTGAGGTCTCTCAGTGCTAGCCCACACACAGAGTTCCAGGTTATCAATGACCTTTGGTAATAGTCTCATCCTTACAGAATCCTAAATACCCAGGCCTTTGACAGCTGCACTAAGACCCCAAGCTTGGGGCATAGGAGACATTTGCCATTTCAGGGAGTAAATCACACTCTCACACAAACCATATATGGTGGGCTTCTTCGTCATTAATGACTTTCATGTACTGAACAAAACTAAACTTGGTTTACTTAACACTTTAGGGTACATTTGACCTTAAAGTAGAGTTCCCATATTAACTAAATCTCTGTATAAGTGTTTTTCTGTCTTTATTCCCATTTTGTGATACTGATGAAATAACCAACATTCATTGTTGTGATCTGGAAATCAGTTTATTTGTTAGGGCCTTTAATGGTTTTCAGTGATGAGGGAATAATTAAAAGCCAAGCACTCCATCCTGGTTGGTTCAAGGAATACACACACATCTAGTCCAATTCCTGTTCAGTATGATCCGAGTTCAGTTTTTCATCTATTTCCAATTTCTGTGCCAGACACTGCATTCTGTAGAGAAAGTGTAAGTTAACCCCTATTTTAAAAGAAAAAGACATGCTTGATCTTTTGGGACACTGAGAAATATGGTCCTGCCTTACTGCCTCTGTGAGACTGAGCTGCCTCCCAATAACATTATGACTACCAGCCTGAAATTCCAAGTCAATCCCTAAGTGATAGCAGAGACCCTCCCTGAAACTGGATTATATTTAGAACAGAGGTCGTGCGGGAGAAAAACGACATCATTGGACAGCAAAACTGCCAGTCACAAGAACTGAAGAAATTACTACCAAGTGTCCTGCTTTGTGCTCCACAGTGGGGAGAGCGCATATCCAGCCAAAATTATCTGAAGGGGGGGTGATATTTGCAGCGTCTGTACTTCAACTCGGTCAGGTTTAGCACAAGGGATTAACAGTATTCTAATTGATAAGAAGTAAACTGTATTTAAAATTAATTGCTTTCTCGGCTACTGTAATTGCTTTTTTAACAGTAGCTGTCAACGGTTTTACCCCCATTCAAGAGAATGGCTTCAGAAGTAAGAGCTGTAGAAGATCAGTCACAAATGTAAGTGACCTGCGTGGATATATCAATGAGTAAAGACTCCCATTGCTGGAGATGTGTGGATTGAAAAGGTATGTATTCATTAGTACATTACTAACGCATTTAAAGATAATTCTCTGAATTTATATTTGAGCAGTAGTTTCTCACAAAGCAAACGTGGAATGTCACTGTTTTCTCTTTATCTGAACTTTCAATTTAAGGTAAGACCGGATAAGGAATAAACAATACAGATCTGATTTAGCACACTTACAGAGTGTGAAAATGCAGCCACCAGTTTTTACTTCTAATACAAACACACTTCTCACACATTCATTTAACCAATTTAAATTTCCTGGTTTTTGTTTCACATTTATGTTTAAGGAATTTTATTAATTTCATGTGTAGGTAATACACATACTGTGTACTATGCTAAATGTCATACAGTAGATAATATGAATAAGTGAAAACGTTGTACATTGATAAACTAATATGGATCAATAATAAGTAAAAACATTCCTCAAATCAAAGGAAAGTGCCTTATTTATGAGAATTCCTTTTAAATTTAGATTTTAGCTTTAACAAAGTAAACTGTTTCCAATAAAACTGAATGCAAAATGGTTTACCATATCAAATACTGTACAATGAAGTGGAGAAAAACAAATCCATATAAGACCAGATCAGTAAATAAATAATTGAATTCGGAAAACATTATAACAGGAACAACACAGTACAATATATATGTACATATTAGAATTTGTAATATATTTTTTAAATTCAGTATATGTGTTCTCTCTAAGAACTCTCCAAGAGTTCTCTTTAAGATATGTTGTTCTCAAAAAAGCAATTTCCACTTTACATATTAACATAAACCACATAAATACATAATGTTTGAATGCAACAAAATCATTTGTTTGGTTAATTGCAGATTTAGAACCTTTAGAAGATTAAAACTGCATCACATAAAAGGTGCTGTCTATCTACTGCCGTTTTGGATAAAGAAGGCATTTAAAATGAATACAGTATATAGCCATTTGTTTTAGAATATACTGTAAAACTCTCTTTCCTTATGACTCGAAAAGACCTGTTAAAAATGTCAATTTCTAAACGAATTAGAAGGTAAAAATCAAGTAGATCTACAAAACAATGGAAGATAAACAGTAATTTGAAAGATATTATAATAGTCAATTAAATGGAATATCTAAAACATTGTGGTAGATAACCATGCATCTTGAAAGTTTCCTCCACAGAACCCAAGGCAAAAGGTGAAACATAAAGGGATTAGTGGGCTCTTAAAGGTTGTGAAAATCATATACTTTTTCATTCATCATTTATATACTATAAATACAGCATGTAACTGAAAGGAAACTGTCAGCACTCTCTGGAGCCAGAAATACCTAGACACACCTAAATAAACCTCTAAATATAAAGTAAATAAAAATGTAAAGTTATCCAACTTTATCAAAGCCTTGAGAGGTGAAATTAATTTGAAATAGACTACATTTACCTTTGTGATGTTTTGAAACAAATGTTTGTTGATTCACTGTTTTTTCATATTAGAATTTCCAACTTCCTTTCATGAAATAAAATAAACATTGTCATGTGTTCCAAAGACCACGAGAAGCTATGTATGAAGCATTTACCTAATTTCTTTTAGGTATTTTATTTTATTTTATTTATTGGATAGGTTTTGTGAACAGTTTATAACAAAATTAAGGTTGGTTAAACAGATGTTCAGTGTAATAGTGGTGGATGATTGGTATTTATAAAATACTAGAGACTGAAACAAAAATCTAAGGCTTAAAAACACTTGCTAAGTTTCTTTGTTCAGGAGGTTTTGAAAAAAGCTATAAAAAGCAAGATTCCTTTAATGAAGGCAGCATAAGGGAGCAGTCATTTATTAGTGTACTCACTAACAAATGAGAATGTGTGCCAGTAACCACTTCTAGAGTTACAAGAATTATAACTTTTCCCACAACTTGTGCATTTCTGTTAAAGTGGAAGCAAAGGCTATTTAAAACAATGTGGTACACTCACTTTTTGCAGAAGAGTCTAGCTGCGCTCAGCGGACTCTTTCTTATAAACTGAAGGCATTACTACAAAGGTTTTGTTGTGTGGTTTTAATTACTTTGCTTAGTGCCTCAGGTTCTGTAGTTAGAGATGCTGCCACATAACAGGTCCAGTTAATATATCCCTGACTTCCAGAAACCTCATGCATCCATGTGCTAGTGACAGGCATTCTAAGAATTAATGGCACTTAGGTTTCTCATGGCCCTGGTGCTCTGACAAAAAGACAATAAATGTAGCACTGATGTTGAAACAATTACTTTTTCTTCAGATCAAGGCACACTACAATTACTGAGGATGTGGGAGTGAAAGTTACATTTGACATGATGCGCTGCTGTTTCCAAATCTGTTTCATGTAAACCAAGAAGAGTTTTCAACTTGTCTGAACTGTTGTGAAAACACATATAAAAACAAAATGCTTCCTAGCCTTCAAACCGTGGAATTCTAAGTCCAATAAATTGTGATGAGTTAGACAGCAAAGGGATCTCAACTTATCTAAATATGTTTAGAAGACAAAAATTGTTGAGACTGAAGAAATGCTTTTTTCTGGTATTTAATATCCTAAAGTTGTCCATCTGAAAGATCCAGCTGAGCAAGGAGCTACATTTTTAAGAATAAATGCAATGCTTTGCTGTTTTGCACAAAACTGACTTGTCTTGCAGAAAGTTGTCTTTCTGTTGCTTCTGAAGCCAGTTGCAAACCAACTTCTGAGACGGGCATCATTAGTTAAAATCACATTAACCTGTCTTGCTGTTTATGGAGGAAATTGTTTGCTTAACATCTAATGAAGTCCTCTCAAGACCCAATTCTATTTTTAGAAAGCACAACATAAATGACCATGCTGTATGCAGAATCTGTATTTTTCTGTCCTTATTCGTATACATTATATGGCCTGCTTATTAGTTAAAGGGATTAAACCCTTTGAAGATACAGATAGATTTTAACATTTGGCCAGCCTGGATATTATTATAGCTCTGGTAACTAAGCAATGAGATGAATACAAAAACATATACTTGCTGCCTAGGCTGTAGCTGAGAGAAGTGGACTCTTGTCAGTTTTTATAACAATCCAGAATGTTTATGGATCTGTTTTAAAATAATCTCAAAGCCTAGTTTAATTTTTTTGTAATGACTGAATACAGTGTCAAGGATCTAGGTGTATAAATAAGGCAAGATGTCTCTGATATGTTAGAGTCCAATCACAATTCAGTCTGAGCCATATTTTGTGGAAGGTGATGACCATATATATAGTATATAGTATCTAAATTCTAAACATCAACCCTAAACAAAATGAGAATAAGTTTGCTGAAATTCCCTTACCTGCTGCAACTGTCTCAGAAAAGGGTATAATTCATGAAAGAGTATTTACAGTCTGCAAGAACTTTCAGTTAAGAAACAAAATTAACTTAATTTGTTCAGGCAGTAGAGAAGACATCTGTGATTTCTTTATTTTCCGCTCTCTACTGCATTTTAACAACAGATACAATCCAAACTGAAGAGGCAATTTCTTAAATGCCCACAGCGAGCTTACTAATAAACAGGAAACTTTGAAAGACAAAAGCAATGTTCTGGTGGAGGAAACAGGTGTTTTGCTGTGAAGAACATTTCCCGTTTTTGCCAGTAAAAGGTTAGGAAACAAAGATTAAGTGCAGAGGAAAGAAATCATACTCAGCCAGTGAAGCCAAAGCTGAGACAAGACTGTTCCCCAACTGGAGAATGAAAAGCAGTTCTCAATCTCAGACTGAATTAATTGCAGCACAGCTTCAGATGGAAACCAAAGGCAGAAACAGGTCACTCAAGTTGGCTTTACCTTGATGTCTACACCAGGGGGTCTCAGGATCATGAAGAAAAACAGCTTGCAGCTTGAACATACAAACGTACAGCGTTTGTACACCAGTTTGTGATTCTGCCTTAGTAGGCTCATCTCAGGTATGTTTGTGCTGCAGACTTTTTCTATCTGACAAAATGTTTCTGTTCTGGACTGAACCATTTAGGCGTTATGGCTGTTGAGCATTGATCGTGGAAAAATCTAAACCCACCACATTAAACCTAATGATATCTCCATACAATATCTTAAAATCTATTTGTCTACCATCCTCCATTTAGGGACGTGACAAATACATCACTGACAGAAAATTATTGGTTAAATAAATACCATGTAATGTACAGTATATGCACCATTGGCAACTTTTTGGGGGCTTGATCATGTTTTGAGAACTTTTTGTCCTAGTGTCTCTCTCTCTTAGTTTGTAAGATTTAAGTTTTATATATCTCAGGATGTTACATATAAGACTCTTATAACAGTAAAGGGTAGCTGGAGAATGAGTCAGCAAGAAAGTAAAATGCAGAGTGTCCAAAACACCATTTTTCTTAAGAGGGTCAACTGATAACAGAACAAGATAGAAAAATGTAATTTGAAATATAAAACTAGTCCGTCTGAAAACCTTTTTTAACCCCACAAATAAATGTGTTTGATTTAATCAGAAAGGGGCATACAAAACTAAAATTAGGTCAATAAACAACCTTTTTTGTTTGTTAAATATAAGTATTCTTACACATATGGTGCTAATCTTTCATGTCAACCAAAGATCCCTACTCCATACATGGCTCTGCTTCAACCTTCAATTTGCATCACATCAACACCACAAATCTAACAAAAAACAGATACACTGAGCTTTACGGACATTGAAGTAACCTCCCGACATGCATCTTCTTAATATTTTTAATGTGACTTATTTTCCAAGGGTTTCAAAGAGTGCAAACTTTGATGCATTTCTCAGACGATTTTTACAATTACAAGAGTGAATACAATGGACCAAACTGGTTGAGGCTTCAGATTTAAAAACCACCAGAAGAACTGCTTTATTACAAATGACAATTACTTTTTGCAAACACTGTGCTATGAAATTGAAAATATATTTTTAAAGCCTTCAATGTTTCAGACTCTGAAAAAACTAAATAAAATATTATTTTGTGTTCAGTTTCTGCTTTGTAAATGTGACGATCACAGAAAGCATTCCAGTTTAATCAAGCCCATGAACCTACCAAACACAGACAGTCCATAACATCGACAAATATGACTGTCATGAATGTATACGCTTAATATTAAAAATGACACAGTTGATATACTAGAGGAGACAATGTGAAATGTACAATGTATCATAAATGCTATTTTATATAAACACTATTACAGAATAGATGGATTTATTTGTTTAACGTATGTACATCTATTTCAGTGTATTGTCATAATCTAATAGTACTGTCAGCCAACAAACTGCTCAATTGGCTTCATTGGTATCATTTGAAAACCAAATATTTTAATTAAAAAGGGTGAAATTGAGACTGAACATATTAAGACTTTGTTTCACTCTTATTCTCCAATATTTTGAACATTAAATGATTCTCAGATTACTTTTAATACTTTTGTTTAAGAAAGAAGGTGTCTTGTGATTCCACTTACTATGGTAAGAAACAGAACTGATGGTATTGAAGCACATGTTGCGAAAAATACTGAAATGTTACCAAACTGAATCAAAACATCTCTGTTAAATTACCAGAGTGAGTATTTTAACACGCACTTTCAAGACTGAACACCTGTTATTTCTGCAAAGAAGTTGTCCAAATTGAGAAAAGCTGCCTTTTAAATGTCTTTGTGGCAGTAACCCATCAGCATGTATCTCTCTGTCTCTGCAGGGTTAGCCCCGTGCAGTTGCCACTATGGGAGACTGGAGCTTGCTGGGAAAACTGCTGGAAAGTGCCCAGGAGCACTCGACAGTGGTGGGAAAGGTGTGGCTGACGGTCCTCTTCATCTTCCGGATCCTGGTTCTGGGAGCCGCCGCGGAGAAAGTCTGGGGAGATGAGCAGTCGGGCTTCACCTGTGACACCAAGCAGCCTGGTTGCCAAAGCGTCTGCTATGACAAGACCTTCCCCATCTCGCACATCCGCTTCTGGGTGCTGCAGATCATCTTCGTGTCCACCCCCACTCTCATTTACCTGGGCCACATTCTGCACCTGGTGCGCATGGAGGAGAAGCAAAAGCAGAAGGAGAAAGAGAGGATAACCCAAGCAGCCAATCAAGGAGACAAGCAGCCCCTTCTGGGTGAAACAAAAGCCAAGAAGCCTTCAGTGCGAGACGCACAGGGCCGGATCCAGATGCAAGGTGTTATTTTACGGACCTACGTCTTTAATATCATATTCAAAACCCTTTTTGAGGTGGGCTTCATAGTGGCTCAGTACTTCCTCTATGGCTTTGAACTCAAACCTCTTTACACTTGTGACCGACTTCCGTGCCCCAACATTGTCAACTGCTACATCTCCAGGCCAACAGAAAAGACTATCTTTATTGTATTCATGTTGGCAGTGGCATGCATCTCCTTGTTACTGAACCTGGTTGAGATGTACCACTTGGGTTTCACAAAGTGCCGACAAGGGGTGTCTTCCAAGTCTGAGATTGCATCTGAAATGGGCTCTAAAGACCCCAATGACACAGTGGTGCCCTTTGTCCCTAATTACAATTATTTTCCAAAACAGCACTCTCCAACAGGACCTTACCAATCTGGATCGAGGTACAGCCTTTCTCCTTTACCTGAGCCTGACACTGCTTATCACCCATACAATAGCAAAGCGGCCTATAAGCAAAACAGAGACAACTTAGCTGTAGAGAGGAACAGCAAGCCTGATGAAAGTGATTTGAAAGTGAAGAAAGGGACGCCTGTAGAAAAACAGCGCAGACCTAGCAGATCCAGCAAGCACAGCAACAACAAGACCAGACTGGATGATCTCAAAATTTAACGGCATCTGCGCTTCACTTATCAATACACAAAAGCCTTCCAAATGCACATGCACGCATTCTGGCTGTTCGTCCTTTTGCAAGGAATGTTTGGTTGCGGGTTTTGCAGGAAGTACTTTTGAATTGCATTGATCATGGTACGCTTGGGACATGTGTCTTTAATTACAAACGCTGTGGTTTGAAACCACTGGTAGGCAAGGAACAAACACAGCACATAGCTTTCATCTTTTCTCTAATGGCTGGTTCCATCAAAGGCTCCACCTACAGTACTGTACCCTCATGTGTGGGTATTCTTGTTTGTGCGGCAATGTTGTTTTCCCTCCTTTCTTATTTAACATATGAGAACATTTAAAGCCATTACTTGAAAATAAAGATTTGTTTTTTGTAAGACATAAACATAAACATTCTCAATACAGTCAGTAAGATTAAAAATACATTTAAAGATGTCATAGATGTCAGACTGCTTGTATTTATAGCCAGGTTCTTACGGAGAAGACATCTGCCATAGTCAGTATCTGTTGCTGATACTGTTGTAAACACATTAAAGTACTATTGCAAGCCCTTCTTAAAGAATAAAACACTTACATTGATCATGCGGATAGAACTATGTAGACAAATACGTTGCTGCATTGTTGTTTGGCTTATTTGTTGATTTGGTGCTGTAGAACATTTAATATTCATGTCATGCTAAAATAAAACATGCAGTGGAAACAATGCATTACTGACATTTTAGTGAACACTGATGCAATTGTTTTCAGTTTTGTCCACCTTTGATTTTGAACTCCTTGATAGATCACCTCTTACTCCCAGATATAGATTAGGCTCAGCTGGTATCACTGTACAAACCACTACTGTACCTTTTCACATGAAAGAACTTTATAACAGTGAAAGTAAAATCATTTGATGATGACCATCAATATTGAAAGAAAATGTAATAATATTAAACCAAAGGGACTACAAATTGAGCTCACCTTTCTCTGAAGTGTAAAAGCAATACACAAAACACAAGCAATAAGTATAACAAAATATTTTTTTTGAAAAAACAAGTTAAAAACTGAAACTTGAACACCAAGTGTATAACAGTGCTGTCAAACTTTCTGTTTGTTGGAACTTATCCATAAAAAATTAAGTAAAGAATATGAGAGGTGTCATACTTCTGATTTGAAGAATGAAGCAGAAATGTATTGATTTGCAAAGATACTGTTGACATTTGATTGCAGATACTCAAAAAATGTCTGTGGAAACTTCAAAGAATATTCAAAAACTAAATAAAATTATATCTGTTACCTAGTGATGGTAAACAATTCTTTTATAAAGAAACCATGTGAAAACATTGCATATAGGAATGGCCAAGGTATGCTTGGATTGAAAGCTGGTGTGGAATTCATTCTTTTAGTACTTATGTTAAAGACAGATGCACATTAAAGCATTTGCTGCAACTGATTAAACTGTGTATCTGTGGTATGTTCTATATTTTGTTCATTTCTCCATGGTGAAATAAAAATTAATTTGCTTCAACTGTAGCATGCCAAAGAATAAATGTAAAAAAATGAAGTCCCATGTTCCAGTTTCCTCTCAAATTCAGGATAAGAGGCAAATCTTTTCATTTTGCCATATGAAAGCAATTCCCTAAAAAAAAAAAACTTTCAGCATTTAATACACTACAGATCTGCATGTATGTGTGAGAAAACATGGTATTAGGAAATGCCTTGCTATGGTAAGTAGAGAAGTAGTCAATGGCTTTTAGCCTGACAGTAAATGATCATTTGTCCATGGTAATCTTTAAAAAAAGGGTCACATTTCCCTTATTAGCAGCCACTACTTAACTTCTGTGTAAGAAACTGTCAGAATTCAATCTCTCTTTTAATCATGGAAGGTTCTACACTTGATTTGTTCCAGAACCAGTTAGTGGTATGGGATACCAAGATTGCTGGATTCAAGTAAGCAGCTAAGTAAGAGTGCAGCTAAGAGTAAAAACATTTCTAATGGAAAACCTTAGAATGCTTGTAAAAGCCAAAAACCTTTCATGTTCAATGACCAATTACGTCAATAGAGGGCTGTGGTCAAATATATTCCCTCACATGAACATGGGGAACAATTAGGAGATGCCAGTTAACGCCCCACAGCTAGGCTTTAAACTCTGGGTGAAAATCCACATTTGTGGGGGGAGACATGAAAATGTTACACAGTAGGCACCCTAGAACCCAAGTGCTCCCCTTAACAAAATAAATTGCCAACTTACTGCAAAAGCCAAACAAGTTGTGGAGAAAAATTCCACAACTATCATGTTGCAAAGACTTAATCTTATGTACAGATACACTTGGGGATAAAATTCACACCTTAGAAACAAGATTAAGAATAGAATTTTGTGGGTCGTGAGGCTGACATGGCTTGTAATTTGTAACAATAGCAGGGAATCGGATAGATTTACAAAAGGCCCCAACAGAAAAACACTTCCTATTCATTGCACCGAATGATGGAAAACAAAATCAGAAAGGACAAAAGAGCACCCCGTAAAAAACTTATATAGTAACACAGTTTTATTTCAGTTAGGATCTAGAGACGTGGCTAGTTGTAACAGTACTTTCTCACTACAACAGCAGAGTGTTTTTACAGTAAATGGGATTTAGAAATATGCACCAAACAGTTACTAAACATGTCAAAAGCCAAGACAGTTGACAAATACAAATATTTACAGTCGTAAGCACAGAAATATGCCTGCTTAAACAAAATAAAACTATTTTGAGAAACAACATTCCAATCATCAACTGAAAAATCTGAATCTTTCCTAAGCCTCCCTCTTTTTAAAAAAAGAGGGTGTGTATATATATATTTATACATATAGTGTATACTTTGAATTTTGTATTTAAAAAAATGCTTCCATGCAAAACTGGACACTAAATCAAATGCTGTTATATGATACTTTCTCAATGAGAAAAACAATATCGGTTAAAAAAGGTGCTACCGTACTTCATGTTTTGGTAGGTTAGACTAAAACGTATAACAAAAGTAATTGCTCTGAAATCATTTAATTACATATGTTCATTACAAAGCTTATTGCCTGCAAGTTCACTTGTCATCTACATTTTATAAGACACTTTGTACACATCTTTTTAAATGAAAGACCTTTTAATCACAAGATGCACATTTTACTACTATAGTATCACAGCAGCTCAAGAGATGCATGGGCAGAAGGTCGCACTACTCTGAACCTAGGCTTTACCACAAATGGCAACACTGCCATCCTGTCTTAGACCCTGCTGTTCGTTATGCCATACTGTTGCAACAGTAAAAATGAAGTGATGAATAACACTGAAAAAATCCAGTTAAGGCCATTCAAATAAAAAACACAATCCATTTCCTGAACCTTCAGGTATACTACTGAGGTCACGATACAGAGATCAACTTTAGTAAGTTGGGTGGGGAGGGATTCTGGAACGTTGCCTGAATTTTTAAGCAAATTCAAATACTGTAAAGGAACTATTACTGAACATACTGCTTAGCATTGCTTCTTAGTGTTACAGAAACCCATATTTATATGATGTGAAATCTATCTCATTGTATATTTATACTTTCCTTTAAGTGTACAATTCCTGAATTTTCATAAAGCTTATTATAATGAGTACATCGGTACCACAGAATCTAAACACGAATGCGCTCTTATGCATGTTTATAGGATTTTGAAATTTACAGCTAGAAACAATAAGAACAGGAATTATAGTGATTTCATAAGATCTGTATAACACAATCACAACATTTTATTTGAAGTCATTAAGCCAACAACCTGGAACCTGATAATTCACAGGGCCACTGCAGTTCAGAAGAAAGAAAAAGTAACAAGACGTTACTGAACCAGTTTTTGTAGTAATATTGCGTAGGATAATATACTTGCCCCAAACCTCAGGATTTTGCAGGTTTGTTTTGCAAGAATAAAAGCCTTAGTCTGAAACTGAAACAGCATATAATTTTCTCTTCATCTTATCACCATTAGGACTGTACTTACCTAGATAAAAACGGGGTTAGGGTTATATAATAGTAAAAAAAAAACAAAACAATGTTTTTAAAAGGATATTCTCTACTCTTTTAAAAAAGAAGAGTACATTTAAGCTTTTATAATGTAGAACAACAACATGACTGTGGTAACACAATAAAGCTGTTCTTATGAATAACGTGAAATATACATTCAACCCAAAGAGACATATGATGTCCAAGTTTTTTATGCTGTATAGGTTTCTCAACACATTTCCACATGAATCACAAACTAGATGAGGAATGAAAATCAGAACAAATCTTTCTGCTTGTCCTCACTTTTTAATTATGAAGGAGAGCTTGGTCTTAAGGCCACCTCCTTATGAATCTTGAGAATATAAAAATCCCCTGTACTTTTCACAAACGTCTATACTGCAGTAATTAAGGCATGCTGTTTCACGTAATTCCAAATCTTGTATTTGTTACCTTTACAGTATAGCTTGTCTGCAGAGAAGCAGATTTACATATAGATGTCATTTGAAGATTAACATATAGCAGGAAGACTTTCTAAGCTTGAGATGAAATTTAAAATGTTGAGCGAGTGCATCAGGTTAGATGGAAAAGGTTTCCTACGTTGCAGCATGAGAAAAATACTTCTTTTTGATCTGAAATCAAAAGCAACTAAATTATAAGGCAAAAGACAAATTCTATTTCATTTTGTAACATTCTTAGCAAATTAAAGAAGACTAATTAAGTAAATAAGACGCCACTTTAGCCAGGAAGCTATTAAATTGTAGTGGAGTAGCACAAGTAAATCGCAGGACTCCGAAGTGGCATAGGAAATGGTCACGCCCAGCTGTAGGATGAAGGCTACGATCCAGGTACTGCAGGTCTGAGTCTGTGTCCAGTCAGCAGCTGGCAAGAGTCCCTAAGCAGTAGTGTGCATTAGCAGTGAGTAGAGTGGGATTAGTTTTTTGTTCACAGCAACACAACGATCCTCACAAGCACCTCTGACACTTGTAGGTCTGTGGTGCCGACAATGAAAAAGACACACTTCCTCCCATCAGTGTTAAAACCCTTGCACAGGACCGAGCAGCCCCTGTGTGCTTGCAGTGTTTGTAAACCAGAGTCCAAATGCAATAAACACACAACCGGCAATTCCACTTTGGGACGGTTTATAACAAAAAATACATTTTTAAAAGAGTCTAAAATATTTAGAAAAAAAAAGATATAAACTTCACAGAGAGAATCTTCATTTTTTCAGTTCTCAAGACAATAAACTTCTGTTCTAATCCCAGTCCTAGTGATCCCAATTACCAATATTTTTTTTTTCCTGTCTGGAGGCTACCATTTGAATATTCTGATCAATTCACCGTTTTTCCGATCCTGAAAAGGTGAAGTCTCATAATGAAGAGTTTCACATAAAATAAAGTAATTGAACATTTCCAGAACTGAAAACTTAAAGAGGGCTAAAGGAAATAATTATCTGTTGCCATGAAATAATCAAGTGCTCAGCTTGAGCAAAACATGTCATAGCCTGGGACTGGGAAGCAATGTAAGAGGATACATCTCTAGTGTTTTAGCCCTTCCTGTCACACAACTCAAGAAATCACTTTAAATCATCAAATTGCTTGAAATGTAACCTTTTCATAATGTTCTGTTAAATGTTTATTTAATCGTTCCATAGGACTTGAATTTTAAACCTAAAGTCAACATAAAAACTGTGAAGGTGGAAATGAAAGTTAATCCTAATGCTGTGCAGCTCAAGGTCATAAAGAGTAAAAATGAAAACTTGAAAGGTTGAAGCCTAACAGACTTTTCTTTTAATGCTCAGTGAAACAAGCCTTATTAGATGGCCAAGACCTTTTCAAACTTATGCTGTACAGATCAGGCACACCGCATTAAAAGTGAGAGGGTCAATACAGATACAATACCAATTAAAAACGTGCATTTATGAATAGCATCTTAAATTAAGTGAGGGTGAAACTAAACAGTTAGGAAAGAAAAATGTGCAATTATAAAGTATGTCAGTATGGCCGACAGATAAACAGTAATAAACTGCACCCACCACACCAACAAATAGCCAGCAATGTTCACTATGATACTGTCACTGGAAGATCAAGGCCAATTTCATATAAAATATATATAGTACTTATGTACGTTCCCCTCTAACATAAAGGGTTTTCTTTCTGTTGTTTCCTAAGAGTTCCTGGAGCCCTGCCACAACACAGAGTACAGTAAAACTTTTCCTCCAAATACTGGCCAACTAATTATTTACAGGTTCAGAGTACAGTGCAATTGATATGAAGGGAAAATAAAGGTGATTAGGGCACGTCAATCAGTCAATGTCATCATCAAGTGTCTCTCTGGAATGGTCTTCATAGATCTCCTTCACTGCCAAGATCCTGTTCAGCATGCTCTCCAGCATGCTCCTGTCCATAGGAATGACCGAGTACCACAGAGGACTCTCCGCGATGCAGGAGCGCTCTGGTTGCAAGTAGAACACATCGTTTCTGTTCCTCATGCTATCCGGGCTAGACAGGGCACAAGAAGAAAAGGTGGCAATTAAGAAGGTGTTGTTATGAAGACCACTGACTTTCCATCCTCTGCAGGGCACAATTCAGATACTTATGTTTGAAGAAGTGTTTGGGAAATCGTGAACACTCCCTTTGGGGGAAAAAAGTGTCTCATGACTGCCTCGGCATGACTTTGTCACTCTGCTTTCTGTATTATGTTGTTTGATTCCTTTGAAGCAGAATTTCTTAACTTTGCACCACAATGCACAACCATAGCTAATCCCCATGCAAACAAAGTGCAATGACGCATTTTGCTGTAGCTTGAAAGCCTTTTGCAAATCTGTCTCTAATAACTTGATTATCAATGCAGACAGAGAGATTATTTCTCGTCCTACAAAGATTCCTTGAGAGCTGACAGTTTTCCACAATTGACAAATGACTTCATTGTCATCCTTCGATAAGTGAAATAACGATTTTGAATACAGAAAGGTTTCATTATAAGGTTAAAAGCACGGCTACAAAAACTCTCTATGTTCCTAGACATTAGTGATTTATTGCTGCCTCTTCTCTGTGACTAAAATCTCCATGCCCAAACCACAGCTGATGTATTATCACAAATAGACAAAACCTATGAATGCAAAAAAAAATGACAGCTGACCACTGAGTCATGCCCATTTGATTTGTGTCAGTTCTAAGAAAGCACACAGAACGGGCTCTGAGTGATTTCAATAAATTATCACATATGTCACAAGAAATCACACCATAACAAAATGCATACCAAGGAATGGAAATAAATACACCACATTCTGTACGTTTCTTAATAATGCAAGTAAATACAAAAGGCAACACCAGCACCAGGCAAAGATCATTGTGTAGTTAAGAAAATAATTCTTTTTAAACTTCATAGCACATCAACATTCACAGCTCAGTTTCCACCGTGCAGGAAACAAATGTGAGAAACTGCAGGCAAAGAGGTGGGCGAGAGGACAGTCATGCAGGCACATAGATCAACGTCATCCTTGTCCTTTTCCTGGCAACAGCGCATACCGATCTCTTTCTTTCCCATCATCACAAACGGGCGACATTGCCCCACACCTGGTCGTGTCCTTACCATTTTGAAAGGTAGAATTCGAAGAATTTCACAGGGCATCTCAGAGGGTTCATCCTGTTTTCCCGCTGCTCCAGCTCAGAAAGCTCTTCTTCGCGTTTCCTTTTTCCCATGCTGCTCTCTGCGTGAACAAAGGCACATCCAGCCGTCAACGACACTGAAGTGAATATTTTCACTCTTGGCTACATCCCAAACACTGTTTAACAGCTTGCCGTGAAAAACATATTACCTGAGCATGTTTGCAAACTAATGATCAATTCTTCTTTGTCTTTGACCACTACAAAAATAACACAAACCTCTGGTACATGGGTGGATGCAAGGACAAGGTTGAGTCTAGAAGTATTCGTAGTTGTTTAGCAGTATTTTAAAATTAGAGGCACTACATAAACAGAGACTATATACAGCTCCAAGGACACTCTATACGTGTTAAGTTACCACAGTGTACTCTGATGTGCATCTAAGTTTATTTTCTGGAATGCTAATCTACAAAATCTAGAACAACCTGTTCAATATGTTATCTACACATTTGAGACTACAAGCATGACAAATGCAGCTTGTCAAATGTGTAGGCTGAAGTGAAAGATGACTTAATTAAAAAAAGGCTTTTAAAAGGATGAAAACACCTCTTCAAATACAAACCTCTCTTTCCACTGAAGTTAATTTTCCAAGATTCACTAGCACTTACAAATATTGAATTCACGCCTGATCTTTCATTTTTAAGTTGCGCTACTCATTTCTTGCTCCGATAAAAAAATAACCAATCATAACGCTGCTAAGCTCTTTTTAGATCACACCCATCGACTAATAATGCTTCCATGTAGCGCCCAGGGCAGCCAATCACCAAAAGGGTTAAAATTAGCAGCCTTCTCAACCATTCCTAAGTCACATACCATCTTGCACCTCCCTCACTGAGCAGCACTTCACAGATCTCCACACTGGCGTTATAAATAGAATGGAGACATACAGTACTACGAGACAAGCATCATGTCGGAATAGGGGGAAGGGATACAAAATAGTGTGCTACTCAGATAAAAATAGCAAACAAGTCTTTTATATTTCTGTTCTTACTTTTACTTGAATTTGCTGTGATTTGCTGACGTGAACACATCAGCCACAGTTATGGCTTGATAGTTCCTCCTATTCAATCCAAAGGATAACTATTGTTTTAATTCATTTTTTAACGACAGCAGTCTTTAAATTTGCGTTAGCAGCTGTAGAAATTCACATTTTTCTGCCCCAGGGAACAACTGAAATACAATAAAAATGGCTCTTACTCCTTGAATCAGAGCAGTAGGTAATCAAGATCTGTGGGTTGTTCCGTGATAAAGACAGAAATTTGAACAGGGTGCAAAAAACTCATGCAAATGACCTAGCCCTTTTAAATACTAACTGAAGGGAACAAGATGCCAGGATTGAAATGTTGAGGCCAGTTTTAAAATGTATTTGTTTAAACGATACATCGTTACACAATGCCATAAGATAATGCTTAGATATATTATAGCTTCCCCTATAAGTCAGCTACAAATAAATTGTATTAAACCTTTATAAAGCACTTTTTTAGGAAACAACTTTCAAAATGTGCAATTTCTTTAAATTTCACTTTAATGTGTCAATAGGCAAATACACTCATTACAGTCTGTAAATGATCTGCTTCGGTTATAAAATACGTTAAGTGAAATTGAAGTTTCTAAACCAACACCTCATTATTTTGAAAAAACGCAGGAACAGGGTCAATGTTTAGGGTAATCAGGTACTCAGTTTCTCTCTTTCATTGCAATCACTAATAAACTAGATATATATTTTGGTATTCAGTAAAAGGAGAACAGCAGATGTAGTGCTTGAATTTTCATTATCATTGTTTTTAACAGTTCATGAATACAATTTAAGGTTTTTATTCATCAAACAAGAAATACTTAAATAGCATTTACAGAATTTGTCACAATGTAGATTTATATTGGAGGGTTTGCTTTTGATTTCTGAAGTATTGTGAGGCTACAATGGAAACACTTCATTTACACTTAAAATAAATTTAGAAAGATATAAACAAATACTGGCAGCTTGGCTGTGAAATGGTCAACTGTTCACAGCGCTGGGGGCCTAGGGTCAGTTCTGGACCTGGGGTGCTAACTGTGTGGAGTCTGCATGCTCTCTACATGCACTGGCGTCCCATCCAGGGTGTACCCTGCACCGCCTGTTGCTTGCTGGTATAGACTTCAGTGCACCCGTGACCTTGAATGGATAAAGGGGTTAGAAGATAATTCCCTATACTTATATAGCTTTGCTTTTTTGGACACTCCACTCTTTACAGGTAATGGGGACTCCCCCCCACCACCACCAGTGTGCAGCCCCCACCTGGATGATGTGACAGGAACCAAAGTGCACCAGTATCACCACACATCAGCTATGAGTGGGGAGGAGAACAGAGTGATAAAGCCAATTCATTGATGATGACTATTAGGAGGCCATGATTGGCAAAGGCCAATGGGAAATTTGGCCAGGATGTCAGAGTAACACCCTTACTCTTTTTGAGAAATGCCCTGGGATTTTAATGAGCACAGAGAGTCAGGATCTCGGTTTTTACATCTCAACCAAAGGATGGCGCCTTTTTACAATACAGTGTCCCCATCACTATACTGGGGCATCAGGATCCACACAGACCATGGGGTGATTGCCCCCTACTGGTCCCACTAACTGCTCTTCCAGTGGGTCTGTTAGCTTTCCCAGGTCTCCCAACCAGGGACTGTGGAACTTCAGTGGGCTGACAGTTGTAAGCTGCAGGGCGATAAAGCTGCTGGCTGGAGCTGGATAGATGTAAAAAAAAAAGCACCTCAGCACGTAAGAAATTTCCATTACCTTTAGATTTCTTGTTGCGAGCTGGGGGCCAGTAGCGAACACTGACCACCTTCACGACGCCCCGCGGAGTGGAGCACTTTCTCGACTGCCGCACAACATTGGTGAAGGACAGCTGGATGTGCTCCTCCACCGTCCTCATTCGGAAGTACTTGGTGTTGAAGAACATCAGGGTATTGAGCAAGACAAAGGGAGAGTACACCCCCAGCTGCTTACAGTCCCATAGGTGCTCTTCTTCCACTCGAGATAATATTGTACCTGCAACGAAAACCCAATGAAAACCCAACGCATACAGCACAGATTTTAATTAAAACAATGAACTGATTTCTGAAAGGAGCCAGCGATTTCTTCAACTATATTTAAAAATGCTGGAATATCAATTTGCTGATATTCCTCTACCACATTATGTAAAACTTTGAATAGTAGATCATTTAATTGTGTTTAATGGGACTGTTAATGAATTTAAACCATTCATGTTGTTTTATCCGAACTTAGAAATGGTGCAGTTAACTAGATTCGGGAATGAGAAAAAGCCATATGAAGTTGCTGTAAATGGGATAGTGGTCATGTTCTGATTTTTATTTTTAATTAATGTAGTAAAATGTCTGGATTTGTTTACGTAGACATTATAGAGTACTTTGTGATGATGAGTGACAAAAAATCTCTCTTAAATACATCATGGTTCCATGCAATAAACACAATAAAATGTGAAAAAGTCTAAGGGGGGTGAAGACTTTCTATAGGAAATGTAGCTTTAAAACGCATGCTTTTTAAAACTGGATAAACTACACTTGGCATTTTGTTATTTCAGAAAAATGAACAAACATTCAGTTTCTTTTCAAACTTCACTACTGTTGTTTTTGTAGCTGTAGAATGTTATCCAACACCAATGTGTTTCGATATTTATACACATTTCTTTCTGCTTTCTTTGGTACAATTGTAATTAAAATGAACTATAACTTTAAATTGTTAAGGAGCAAATTAGCAGCATACATGCCGTATGTGCAGTTGCTTGTGGTTTAAAATCCTCCTTGGGATCAAAGGTTAGTTCAGAAACAGGTCAGAGGTTGTTTTATAGCAATGTGTGAACTTTCAGTATACCAAAATACTATGTTTTATATAGACTCACTCAGTAGCACCATCCAAGCCCTTATGACCTAAGTATATTTAGGTCTCCTGGGTTTCATATCAGAGGTGACAAAATAACATTGCTGTTGATCTCCTATTTGCAGACTCCTTCCCTTCAACTTTAAAGGCAAATTAGATATTTACAAATATTTAGGTATTGAATTTTAGATACTTTTTACATTCAAATAATATTCTAATATTTACATAATTATCAAAAAAAATTACAAGTAGTGGACAAAAAAATTTAAACGCCCTGTAAATGAGCGACACCAAGTACACTGAAAGCAAGGGCTTCCACACAGGTGAGGGTCAAGAGTTAATTAAGCTACCAACATCCAAGCATGTTTACGACCATGTACAAAAACACTGGAAAAGCCTGGAAAAGCTTCCTATAATTATGTATGCAAGAGATAACCTCAGTGATTTTGAAAGATGGGTGATTGTTGGGGTGTGTTTGGCAGGAGCATCAGTGACCAAGTCTGCTCAGCTCACAGATCTTTCAAAAGCAATGGTGTCTAAGGTGATGTTGGCATGGAATGGGGAAAGATCTAACCAGCAAAAGGCAACAGTGGGCAGAAGCACAGACTCCAGGGTTGTGATATCTATGCATTAGCTTTTAGCTCAAAATGAGCTACATATAACATATGCAGTATGTCTGCATTTCTGTGAGAAAGCTGCTCAAATAATATTTGCTAAAATTAAAAGTATAAACATTTTTTTCCATTTGCCAGTCTGCAAACTGCAGGAAACGTAAAACTTTCTGTCTTAAAATTAACCCCCTACCATTAGGCGATATCCCAGGTTGCCATCCACTTAGTATCTTATTTAGTTCCTGTATAAATGTCAGGTAGTACAGATCAGTAAAGATGTTGACCATCCGGTTATTCTCCAGGAGATACTGCAAAAAAGCAACAATTAACAAACACTCATTTTAAGAAACACCTGCCCATTTGTGATTTAACAGGACAGAATTATTGCGTTCTTTTCCTAGAAATTTTATTGTCATTGTGTTGTGCATTCTCTCACTACACAATATGGCAGCCCAGTTTGCATTATACTGTGTCACTGGCTAGGAAGGTTTTCATGTGTGCGTACAAATACGGCATTCGCAGTGCCTAGATCGAGAATGTACATGAAAGCAACATCATCTAGCCCTTTCATGTCGATCGCTTACCTGCTGAATTCCAAGGCACAGGTAGTATATACTATCTGGTTCATATCTTTCTCCATTAGGTCGAGCAATTTCCTTTACAAACTGTGCTAGTCCATAATTCAGCTCAGCAGCAGTACAAGACAGAATGTCCTCTTTGATTCGCATCGGTTTTGCTGAAAAAGATAAACATTTAACTTTATGTATGTGATTAAACAGCCTCTACTAATGACAACAGTCTTGGTTTCTGGCAAAAATGTAAGAAAATGTTAACTGAACAATTTTATACGAGTCATAAAATTTATTACTGTGGTTTTATAAAGAATTTCCATTTCTGCTACACAGCAGGCTATTTCCCTGTACTTATACAAATGTAAGCACTGTTTAATAGGAATAATACTTACGTCCAAATCTAAGCTCTTCGCTTTTTCCACTTTCATTTCCAGAATGTTTTGTCTGAACCCAGTACTTCCAGGCATTCACTCCGTAGGTATAATTTAATCCCGTACACCCTGACTGACTGCTCATTGAGTCCCTCGAACAGCTCTCTGACAGCATGATCCTCTTTGACCCCTTGGAACACAAATGAAGGCTTTGAAACCAGCAGAAAGCAATGAAAAAGCATTTCCACAAGATTGTAAAGGCAGTAAAAAGAATTTTAAAACTGAGAAAAACTACCATGAAGAATGCAAGATGTAAATCATAAGGACAATTATATAAAGTCAATCTGAATAAAATAAACACAGATTTTATATATACATTAACTGAGGAAAGCAAACTGATAGCAACCCAAAATGGAAAGCTTTTTTTCTTGCCCTAATGGATGACCAGCAGTGACAACAATATCCATGCTATTGCTGGGGGTGACAAGCACTGACCTTCAAATATCTGATTGATTCAAATGATATTTAAAGGGGAAATCGTACTGGAATGAACATTAAAAGAAGCAGAATATTCCCAGAAGTAAATCTTTAAGGATGCACTTCCTTCAGAACAAGGTAACAGATTAAGAGAAGTTATTCAGTAATTTATGGTACCACCCTTGATTAAGGTCATATTCCAAAAGGGACATTTGCATAGCAGTCTAATTCTTGAACCTAATTTTAGGTGTGCTTAACATGAACATCTGTGTATTTGTATTGAAACACTGTTTACTTTTGGCTATTATGGAACAATAACAAAAGAGAAGTAACCTACTGGAACTGAAGTCTACTATGGACCAAAGCTGGCAGGTTATTTTAGTATATGCCATACTGCACTCATTATTATGGAACACAAACCCTTACAGTACGTGTAAAGTAAAATCTTTAACAGTTTGCAGGGTGCAGATGGTTATCACGAAGCATACTGTACATAGAAAATACAATATAATACATACATAGAAAGTGTTCTTATTGGTCATCTTTGATCTCTCTTGCAGGGAAACTGCCTTGCTACTTTTATATTTTGGTGTTAGAATCAGCATTTCAAACCACAATGAAAGTACAGTTAACACAGAAATGTGTAAAACATCCAATTTACATCACAAAATAGACACAAATGTACAGTTATTTATGGCACCATATTGTCATCATGTTTGCAATTCAGCATTTTTGCAATTCAGCATTTGTAACATTTTGCAGTACTGTCAACAGAAATAGAGTTTTGGTTACTCTGGAATAATAAAAAAAAGGAGCCCTTATATGCTCTAGTAAAAAATAATAACACACTGGAACCCGTAACTGACCTTAAGGCATCAAATATCCATCTCACAATGATCCCTTTACTTCTATTGCACACCTGTAACCTTGCTTGTAAAGTGTCCCCTCTGTGTATGGTCAAGTGCATACTGTAACTTAAGTATTATAGCTCCTTAGAGAGTGGGCGATGGCATAGAAAAGCGCATGGGAAACCACATAAATCACCCTTCTCTGTGAAAAGCCATATATTGTCTTGATGACCAATGATTAATGCATACAGTTTGAATATACCTACACAGTCATAAGGGCTCCAAATACTCCCATCTTCCCTTAACAAATTAATGGTACCTTTGAAAAACATTGTCATGCAGCACTATAGACAAGAAAATGATTCAGAAAAGGCTATTTCTACAGAAGATAAAAGCATTCAGCGATATCAGTTTATAGCTTGTTTCCGTGCTACAAAAGAACTGATAACATTCTTGTATCATGAAAGTCTCAAGGACTTTATAACAGCACGCCTACTATGTACTGAGTCAAGTACAGGAGCCCGACATCTATTTTGGTAGGCTAACTGAACACTCCTTTGCAATACATACAGAACATTTTGAAGAGGATTTCAAAAAATTAAAGCACAAGATGAGCACATCTGTTTAGAAATCATGGTAGGGTACCATTTTATTTTTTGAAAAACAATGCAACATGGCTTTTAATCTTTCTGGCATTTCCTGCATGTGCTATTATAAAGTCTGTCCTCATAACCCCAAACCAGATAGGGTAAACAGTTCAATCATAGTCATAATAGAAATCTTATGTTTTTTTTTTATAAACTTATAATTATTTAAGATTATGAACAGCTTCCACTTTATGTCGAGAAACATTAAAAATATGCCTGGAATGTTTTCGTCAAACAATGGAGACTATACTTGGATTCAAGACTGCATGATGGACAGCAAGAATGAAAAGCAGTAAAATGCCAATTTTATGTTCTACCTTTCGTACAGCCCTGGGAAGCTCGTGCTCTGAATTCACTTCTTCTGGTGTCACAAGTCCACAATCGAAAAGAAAATCGACGCTAGGATTCAGATCTAGAGGATCTGAAACAGAAATATTTAGAAATAAAAGGAACAGAATTTAATGGTACTTAGATGTTGCCTGAGGCAGATACAGCAGTTCTAAGAACCTAAATGCTATTCAGATGTCTTCAATGACATCTGGACAGGCTCATTTGTACATATATCGGTTCTTCATTTTAGCAGACCATAAAGAAAGCGTTAAAGAAAAGGAAATCGCAAATTCATAAAGAATGCGGGACGTAAGTAGTTTCTCTATTTTTATACTTAAAATGAAAATTCAAGACCTATGACAGCAAACAAAAAGAAAACACAAAACTGTTCTAGTCTCTAGAACAGATCTAGCGTAGCTGCTTTCAGTTTTCCGGTACGAGTTCAGACACGTTACACAAAGCGCAACCTACTTTTGGGGAAATCGGCCTCCAAGTCTTGACCTGGTTCATCCAACACGTTTGCCATTTTGACCGCCATAGCGAGAACGTCGTCTCGGGCCGGCCCAAACAGATCACAGTCCTCCAGCAGCCCTTCTGCGCTGTGATTACTGGCAAGATCTGCTATGAGAAAACCACTATTTCAATTATGCTGACTCCATCTCGGGCAATCCAACAGACAGTGGAGCAGCGCACGGCAAGATCAGTACATTACCACAAAGATCAGATGACGCTTTATCCATCTCTTCAGCCTCAGCGATCATCTCAGCCATAGCGAGAATGTCAGCCTCCAGTGGATTTGACGGTATTTTAACTTTAAGTTCTTCAATTGTTTCTACTATCTTATCTGCACTCTCAAGGGTGGTTGGAAGAAACATGGGGACTGGGACCTGGCAAGTGAAAAAGTAAAACAAGGTTAACGCTTTTCTTTTCTTTTTTTTTTTACAGACTGTAGAACGATAAAGCGATAAAGACTATTTTCAAATGCAACTTTCTGGAATGTTTTATAATACAATTATGAAACAGGGATTCAAGGAAAATCCCTACATATTCCACATGGAGAGCACTACCAGTGGAAGAAAGGAAAAGGGCTGCCACAGTGCTAGCCTCAAGCACATTGTAAATTATTTCATTTGTGTAAAACTCTCGTATTCAATTAACAAAAATAGATTGAATGTTCAGGTTTGTCTGTGTGTTTAAGGATGTTTGCTTGCAGCTTTGTCGGTAGATCTGATTCTTGAAGGTTTGGAAACGGCATACACTGGACAGGTAGTGGCAGCACTGATTTCACATGCAGCTGCTGAAAAAACTCCAGCTTGTCACTAGCCATGTCTGGCCCTTAGGGCTCAATCTCCTAAAAGCAACTGCCTTGGCTAGCATTTGGGAGCCCCTAATAAAAAGGGGTTTAGCTGTTTAAACGTTAAGGCTCACAATCATCTCATCTCTTAGCTAGCCCATAGCTTAGCAGTCAAAATCAGTGAATACTTACTGGAATAGGCATGGTGAAAGGCACTGGTGTTTGCTGACAGTACATATGCATAGGCACTGGGATGAAAACAGGAACTGGGACGGGGAGTACAACCAGCTTTGTGTTCAAGAAATCCTCTGAAATGCAAAAGGAAAAACCCATCAAAATGGAAACAACTTAACATCTAAACCTGCATAAACTACTGTATAGAAACAAAAACCTGTTAAAACCCTAAATGTTACAGAGAATTCAAAAAGCAATGGAGCAGCTCTATAATAGACCACTTTAGACCACTCAGAAAGAATGCTAACGCAATTGTACTTTTTACCTTATGTTCTTTTATGTCAAATCCTTACATGATTTAAACCAGACAGTAAATCAAGCTAGACAAAAAGAAAAGGTCAACCATCATAAAAGTACAGAAAAGTCATTTATTATGCAAAGAAAACAAAACTGTGAAATGTTACACAAATAAGAGAAACTGCACAGCACAGACTCATGCTGGTCTAACTGCAGGACACACACAAACTTCAGATCACCCAAAAAGCACAAACAAGGAAGGGAGAAAGCTTTGTTGACACTTTTTTGTGGTCCACAGCACAGTGTATAGAGCCAAGAATTTTAAAGGTGGGTACATGAAGACGGCTTCTTTCAATGGGACTGCTCGTATACACACATTCAAAGCCACCTCATAAACAGATGGTAAAGCGTGTCAACCAAAAAGGGCCAAAGTTGGGCAAAATAAGGTTTGCCACCTTCTTCGTTAACAAAAGATGGAAATGGTTACACAGTCCTTCAAGAAAGGAGTCAAACATGTATTCTTTCACCTTACCCGTTTGGCAACCCTTTGACTTCATCTCGGGCCTGCAGGAGGTTCCCCTGTTCTCCATCAGTGGCTTGCACATGGCAGACTTGTTCTTACGGGGTGTGGTGGGCGTGACAGGGGGAGGTGGGGGTGAAGGGGACAGCTGGGGTGCATGTGTGTTTCCTGCAGGCTAGGGACAAATTGAAACCTTTCAGAGACTCATAATGTGCATTTAATGTGATATTTTAAAGGTACTTTTTAAATGAACAAATTTAAAAGAATATGAGGCTTCAGGGAAAATATCTAAACAAGCATATTATGTAAATATGTAGTCCTTGTCCTGTGTTCAACACGCTTAACTTTTTTTTTTCGCCTTCTAAACAGCACAATTTCTCACCAAGTAGATAAGCCCTACGATTCCTACCCAGTGAAACAACACTGCACCAATAAAATATTATGATAGGTGTCTTAACATAAAACTTATCAACCTCTTCAAGAGTTTAACTTGCTGAACCCACTTTGATTTAAGGGCTGTTTTATTTAAAGGCCTAATTCCTCAAGAACATTGGCAGCACGTCTAGGGCTTTTAAATGTTACTTAGTATCTGTTTAATACAACTTACTTCAAATTTCTTTGCTGTAGGTGAGGGTGTTTTAGACTCTGGTGACTGACCTGAAATATCAATAAAGGCACAGAATTTTAATACGCAATTATGACTCAGAAAGTTTAGGGCACAATTTATAAAAAAGACTATTTTACCGGAAAACAATCATGTTCAACAGCTTCACAAAGACATTAAAAACACTTTACACAAAAACAGCATCTCCCAGGTTATGAACCTACACCTATCCAGCTGTAAACCCAGAATCCTAATGGCTGCCTGAAAGAAGAGTTCTTCCACACTGTCCTAGCTGGGAGCACACAATGACACAGAAGGCCTTACCTAATAAATATTTAATAGTGGCAATGGTATTCAAATGACTTTATATAATAGCTTGTTAAGTTAAAGGTCATTGTGGAGGAGGATTTACAAGTTAGGACACCATATCCAAAAGGCCTTGACACTTAGATCCACATCCTATGCGAATTTAAACTGTTCCTAATGGAAGGCCCTTCAAACTTAAGTCACAACTAACCTGGGACTGAAAAATCAAAGATTGATCATGTTCTTACTATATCAAGGCAGCCAGCAATAAAAATATTTTCTAAGAACTCTTCAATGACTGGTACACTCCATTTAACAGTAATACTTTCTAGCATTTGCAAGATAACACACTGTTTTCAAGACACAAAACTGGAACACATCTGACATACTATTGAGCAGGCTCTCAGGACCCTTCTGCGTGTCCAGATTGGGCTGATTTTGCTGACTGTAAAAGCGCAGGAGACACTGCTGGTTGCAGTAATGTTTGATCTCTCCACGCCAGTGTATTGTTTCCAAAAGCTTCCCTTGCCGTTTGCAGGCATGGCATCTAGCTGCCTGCAGAGGATGGGGGGTTGTGAAAACAAACTTGGAATCAAGGCTGTCTCTGGGCAGCTATAAGAACAAGCAGTCATGAGTTATGCGGTCCATGGCAAAAAGTCACAGAACAAAAAAAAAACAGAAAAATTAACAACAATGTATCTGCAAAGAAAAATGAAGACAAATAGTCATGCAACACATTACAATAAGCTGAAATGAACAAGGAACTGGAAACAAACTCAATCTATAGTGTAGCACAGTCCATTTACTTCTATAATAAAAATGCATTGCTTAAATTCTTAATTCTTAATTCTTCATTAAGAAAATAATTGAAAGATTAGAAGTTACCCTTACCTTTAAGTACCACAGGAGATATTTACTTTTACAGTCCTCGCTACAAAAATCCCATGTATTGCCATCTAGCTCTTCAGTGACTGCTCTTTTACATGTCTGAGAGCAGTATGTACAAGTTATACAACAAAGCCCCAAATTCTTTGTGAAATCTTGCTTGTACAGTAAAATGCAGCCTTGAAGAAGGAAAAAAAAAACATGTCAAACATCTGATGAGCTAAAAAGGAACAAGGAGAGAGAAAATGTAGTATACAGCAAATAAACCCCAACAACAAAAAGCTGTCATGTTTTCTATCTTTGCATTTTATCATTAATAAACAACACTCTTTGGATTGCTACTCCTTAAACCACTATGTTCAGCAAAAGGAAATCCACGTGGAATTAAGGGTATTATGGCAAGCAGACCTTCACTACAGAAATTCTTCTCGACTCCCGAAAATTTGATTTTCTCGTGCAGAAGTTTCTCCTGCTTGCAGTGTTCACAGACAGACACGACTCCATGAAGACGCTTGTAATCTTCACAGCACTCCTTACAGCAGAACTGGTAAATAGAATCCTAAGGATCAAGCAGCAACAGAAGATCACTGCACCATTGAAACACAGAAATTAAGTTCTTCTGATTTAGTACGATGGGAGAGATTTTTTTTTTAAATAAGCACGTGAAACTATTTCAGTAAGTGTAACAGTTTCAAAGCAAATACACTTGTACAATATAAATTAAGGGTTCAAACTGTTCCTTACAAGATTTATTTAACAAATGGACATTAGCAAAAAAAAAAGCTCATTACCTGCCATTCTAGGACTTCAGGCTTCCCATTAAAAAGATTGTGGCAGGAGTGGCAACTTAAATGAATGTCACCTTCAGGACTATTTTTCTGTAAAGAAAGGAAATAAGATTGCACTTTTACAAGAATGCATCTCATTCGATCTTGATTATTATGTCTCAAAGCCTTTTGATTAAATTAGCGTTATAATCTTTAGCTTTGCTGCGGTGTGACACCTGGTCTGGTGCGATTTATCACAGCTGGTAGAGTATGTATTTCACGCAAAAACAACTTTTTTTTACCTCAATTAGGGAGTCAGAACTGTATAAAAGAACATTAGATCTCAAGAATCACTGTCAATCTGAAATGAATTTGAAATGTGTGGCAATAAATGTCACATCACTAAAGAAAAAGGATTTTTACTTAAAAAAAACATTTATGATTATTATTAACAGCGAATGTCTATTTTTACCACAGAAAAAGAATGGCACTTCAGTAAATTCCCAGCAGGGAACCTGCATAAGTTGCAGGTCATCCCATTCAGAATGTACTGAAAGAAAGAGAAATGAGGTTGATCCAGAGGATAAGATAAAACATAAAACCTGAAAAGAGGTTAAATGTGAAGCTAAACTGCAGCACGTGCATATTATAAAAAACACAGAGCCTCGAGAAACCCAGACAGGATGTTCAATGATCAAAAGATAAAAAAACAACAGTTGAGAGTAACAGTGTTAAATGGGGAGAGAAGAAAGTTAGATAAGAGACATTCTTTATACCTGAGTAACGAGACTGTCCACACATTTATGTAATCAATCACACAACTGATCACCCACTTAGGAAAATAATTAAATGTATATAACTGGTTCTGAAAGCACCTTAACTTTGGCTTTCTTGACAGGAGTTCTAACCATTACAGGTTAAGCCTGTGGAATGAAAGCCAGAAAAATACCTCTTGGACTTGTAATTTTGGCTGCCAAAAAATGTGCTGCACTTCTTCTTTGACTTCTCTCCATGTCAATCTGTCCTACATATATTGATGCTATGGCTTGGATGCCTGAAACCTGCTGTCAGGACTGGCCCTTGTTGTCACATGGAGGTAGGGATGTTTTAAATTTTTTATATATCTAGAATACAAATTCAGAAAAAAACAGTAACAGTAACCTCTGCTTCACAGAAGCACACTGGCAGTTGTGAACTGAGCAGGGAATTGAGGTCTTTAAGAAGGCCAAAGAAGGAACATTTGGAGACGATAGGGAGATTATAGCAAATGAGCTGTTGAGATCCAAAGGAGAGAAAGAAGTTGGCGGAAGAGGCCCCAGTTTTTCCAGGAACAAGAAATAATAAAGCTAAACATTAATAATGGACAAAACGTAAGTACAGAGTGAGATTATGGTACATGCTGAGCATCCCGAAGCTGAAAGAAGACAGCCTGGCCTGAACAGGATTCAGGAAGTGTAAATCAAGGTTTTGGAAACTCACTAAGGCAAAAGAGAAGTCATCAGATATTTACTGGAAGCACCTTTTGGGACTGTATTAGTATGATGGTGTTTAGAAGAGAACAGAAGAGTGAGAAATTAGATTAGTATATGAGAGCCAGGCAAGCATCTGAAACAATAAGCAGTAGGAAGAATATGCTTTAGCAGGCAGAGAAAAGTATGATATCGCAGTGGACTACAGGAAATTAATACAGTTAATACAGCGGTCACCTGCTGCCTTGGCACAGACAATTCTTTTAACTTAAGGGATCACTTATGTTTTTTTGGAATTTAAGGTTTCTTTTATTTTGCAGTATTACACTCACAAAAAGGGTAATACTCTCATAGAAAATACACACAACATTCAACTTATGCTTTCTTGATCGAAACTGAATAACTCGGGTGAAGCAGATCCAGCAGATGGAGATGATGTGCAAATGGGTGGCTGCAATTACTCTCCTACTGCACAAGCGAATCTGGTCCACAAATGAGGAAAACATTGATCACTAATAACTTTATAAGAACAGACAAAATTGCAGATGAGGGTTTACTGTATTACAATCCTCAGGAGTGCCATAGGACAGTTACTTTTGTCCCCGGGAACAATCTATACCGTATATACAGTAATTTCTGAGGGAAAATGACTTACTTGCTATTCTTAAGTCTATTCTTAATGACTTAAGTCCTGCTATTAATATTCTTGTATTTTACATAGTTGTTGCTTTAGATGACTATATCATATTACACATGTGGTACAGTAGTGGACACAAACGGAACACCAACTTTAAGTTACTCAATACAGTGTTGGGTCACCATGTGCAGCAAATATGCTCCCTAACATGGAGTAAATCAGCACATAGAAATTTGCGGAAGCGATAAGGCACCAATCTTCTACAAGAAAAAAAATCTATTCATGCCTTGTAGGAGGTGGCAAATATGGTCTTAGACATCTTTCAATATCCTTTATTGATATCCAATATCCTTCCTCGGCAGTCCGCTGCCTGTGCTCTTTGGACCACTGGAACACAATATGTGCACCGCAAGATGTGATGAGTAGTTTATGCACTGAAAACTAACTATGGTATCCTAGGCTGTTGGGTTTGATGAAATTGGCTGGCCTGTTTTGGTTTGCACTTTGAATTAATACAAGGATATCATGATCCCGGAGCATGCACTTCTAGCCACTGTTTTCAATTGCCGATATTGTCTTTCCTTCAGAGTTCCACACTGACATCATCTTAGACATGGCTGTTCTCGAAACATCAGCAAGTGACGCTCCTGCCGAATGCGCTCCAACGATCATCCCTTTTTCACATCACTGAGGTCTTCTCTTCCAGTCACACAAGCCACAATAATAATTAAGGAGGCCTGTGCAGCTTTTTTATACATGAGAACCCTGGGATGCTATTTGCTTAGTTAACAAATGAGGTACACCTGTATGAAAGCCCTTGCTTTTAACATATTTGCTGTCCCTCACTTATGCCGGTGTTTCCATTTTTTTATCCTACTAGCAGGATATCATTATTAATCAATTATTTTAAAATTAATTTACATGTTGAAAAAGAACTGCACAACCATACAAAAAAAAAACATACTGCACAACTGTACATACAAAGAAAATAAAGAAAAAAACCCTAAAAAGATTAACATAGTCTCATAATTAAGATATTGAATAAAGTTGCTCTTAAATACATAATAATACACCGGGAAAACCAGAAAAAGGCTTAAGTACATAAGTCAGTTTTTATCACAAAATGTGGAAACATTATGAAGATGACTCCAAAGGTGCAATTTCTGTGAAGAAAAGTAACGTAAATTGTCTTCCCTCGAATTGCCATGTATCATTTCTTTTCATTGGCAATATGAACTTACAAAATGTTGCTCTGCTCCAGTTCTGGGTATTTGCCAGGCAGAATAGCAGAATATATATAGTTTCTTGCAGTCACATATGCAGAGGTTAAGGTTCTTTTAGTATCCTGTATCCTCCTGCTAGTCTCTGCTTTTTTTCTCAGTGTTTAGAAATGATCCCAAAATGCTGGAAGCATTGCTTTATATATTTGTTATTGGTTTGAGTTCCTGCTCAACAGTGAGATACTTTTTCCCACTTGCCCCAGTCCACCCAGTCATATAAATGGGGACCAGCACTGTGGGGGGTGTAGTTCCATACTCTCTTGTCCTCTTAACTCCACTGAAACCAAGACAAGCTCTGGCCTGATGAACCAATGTTACTCAAATATGGAAATTAACAGTTTATATATATATATCTCAAGGTTGGTTAGTATGTCAACTCCTGATGAAAATTCTTTATATACTTGTTGAATTATACGAGATGTTATAGTCTTTATATTGGGTTTTGTTTCTTTAACTGACTTTAGAAGACAATCACCTACCTGAAATTTAGTCCAGCAGGTAGGGCTACAGAACTGATAAATGACCCGATTGATCTTGTTGTAATATGTTGGCTCAGAAAGACTGCGTCTACAGAAGCTACACGGCCTTACAGGACCTAGGAGAAAAAAAAAACAGATAATTTATAATTGCACTTGTAAAATTCACATCAGCTTGTTAAGAGTATCTCTAGGGTTATACTGTATGTTTTTAAGCAAAAAGAATAAAAGTCTTTGCTATGCATGATTAACTTTGGAATTTTGTTTCTTAAAATAAAACTAAAAAAAAATAGGCTGAAATCCCTAACATGAAACACACTGGAAGTAATGTCGATTGAAAAATTACAAAGCAGATGAAAAGATCTAAGAAAGCAATGTTCTTACATTCTAATTCTTACATTCTTAAAAACACATGTACTTCATCATACTGGGAAGATGCTAGTAATTCTTTGCAGATCCATTCCTGCATAATGATTATAGCTAACTTGCAAACTAAAAGCAAGTTTATTACTCATATATTGTGTTGACTGTCAGAGCTACATTAAGATTTGCATCCTCCCTGAAAAAAAATCACACCATTGTATGAACTATCACAATGTTTACAACTAAAACTGTTTACATAATGAGAAAATATACTATAAGTAACATAAATACAGTAACTCAATTACAAAATAAACTGAAGGAAATATCAAATGTTAAAATATCGAACAGTTTGAAGTAATCCAAAGACATTCTTATACCTATAGGTCCTGAGGTCTTCACTTTATATGACATTACACAGCAAACAGAACAAAAAAGAACCATCTTCCCATTCCGATCCACATTTGAGAGCATGTCAAAATTCTTACAAAGAGTCTTGCACCATGTACATGGAAAAACTTTGGTGTTTTTCTGAAACAAAGTAGACAACACATTATTATGCTTCATTGCCAAAAACATGAAAACTGAAACAGTTTTGTATGAAACAAGTAAAAGAACAGTACTGAACAATATTCATAAATTACATTTTTCCTCTACCTCTCTAATTTTTTTGTAGGACTGAAGAAAACCATCTTACCTTTTTATAAATTGTTAAACATGAGGTATTACAAAATCGTTTTTGCTGTCCCTCATGAAATAGGTACTCCAATCGGGAACCCTTATTATAGATGTAGAGTCCACAGTTGTCACAGCAGCTAGTCTTCAGGCCCTTTGTAGCTCTGAACTTGGTAAAACAGGCATCACTACACAAGTGGTGAACCATGTTACCATTACTCACTTCATGTAGAATCTAAAAGTAAATAAGACAATGATGCTCAAAGTTCCACTCAAACATACTGACCTGCCATGAATGTTAAAAATACACAATTTATGCCTTAAATAAACAAACTAACCAGCGTAGATGTTGACAATCCAAGTGCCTCTGAAGTCCAATATTATTCCACTATTTAACAGTGACACTTAGTGGTAAGAGGTGGAACAGCCAGGAAATTGAAATTAACAATACATCTACATTTTAATATCTGCACACAGGGAAAAGTAGAAATCAATGTGAAACTAAGATGCATCCTTTTTGCCTATTTTCAATATATATTTCTGGGATTTGACATCACCAGACATCAAAATGATTCATATTTTGATCATTTGACTACATTATCAATTGCAGAATATAATGATTGTTGAAAAATAAGAAAACCAGTCAGAAAAAACGATAACTGAAGTTAATCATGTGATATAAATCTCTTCTAAATCTGAAATCTTAGATAAAGATACCCGGAGGAAGTGGCAAAAACACTTCAGGGTTATTTAATTAAATTTGTGATGTTCACCTTTTATCAGTGTTTCACTTAAAACCTCAAACTAAGCGTGTGTAAACTTTAGCACAGCACAGTGAACAGCTGCTGCCGATATACTGAGAATGCGCTTTTGCACAGGTTAAAGGTGTTGACATGCAGTCAGCTACAAATTGTGCCGAGTACAAATGGCTTCAGATATGGGGATGCGTGTTCACTCACTGCTTTTAGGCATAGACATATGTGAACAAGACCATATGTTAGGTCACACACAAAGAAAGCATACAAGATATAGAGATAATACAGCCAATTAGTCAAAAATGTTCAAAAACATATTTTGTTCATATAGCAATCAGATGAACCTCTGGTTGAATCTGTTTTGCGGCTCTTTCACATTTAGCTGAAAAAGCAACATTTTCATGAATTGAAAGTTTTTGATAAAAGCAGCACAAGTTATTTTATCAAATGCCTGGGAAAAGGCAACACTTTTGCATGGAATTGTGATGACAAGCAAACCTCGTTTTTACCTCTCCTGCTTTATGACAGATGCTACACCTTGGAGCAGAAGGATCAACTGTCTGTGGGGTGCTCTTTTGAAACTGAGCTTCATAAAGAGAAAGGCAGGCATTGTTACAGAACTCCTGGAAAGAATTTGTTGGCCCTGTCTGTGCAACAACACAGTCTTTAGTATTCCCGATATCCCTGCAAATACAAAAAAAAAAGAAAAAGCAAAGTTATATTCAACAAAACATGGACATAAGATGGATACTAGATATCTAAATGTTGGGGGCAGGGAGTTTATTTGTAACAATCAGCTACCACTGCCTCTGATCTCACATGTACTGAACAATTTCAAATGAAATCCATATAAGAGTGTTTAAAAGACCACGCAGCTAAGAACTGACGACACAATGCGCTAACAAATGTAAGTGTGTACAACTTGGGTGTATATTGGGTTTTGTTTAAACCCACACAGAGATTTATTCAGGTACAAATGTGCAGGAAGACAACATTTTATCATTTAAAACGTGAAGAGCTGTGCCAAAAAACAAAGACGTGTCATTCAGAAACAATGCAAGATATGTGCAACCTGAGCTTATTCTTCCGCTAAATGCACGTATTTCCTGGAATAACACAAAGAAGGAAAAAAAAAGGTAGACCGGAACTTTAGAAATAAAAAATAATTACTTTTTACAAAACACGCAAGGCTTTTTCCTCGGGGGTTTCTTGGAGAAGGCTGAGAGACATGCAGAGGAACAGAACAGCTGGGGCATGCCCTTCCTCTGGTAGGCTGTCTGTCCCTTCTGCAGGGGGGCTTTGCAGTTGGCACAGTGCATCTTCGTCTGCGGCCGCGGTGTGCTCTGAGGAGCGCCGGGTGTCTGATTCTGGCAGTGGGCGTTGCTGTGGGGAGTGCCTTGTGTCTGACCCTGGCTGGGGGTGTTGCTGGGCGGTGCGTTGTGCGACGCCCCGCGCGCGGTGTTGGGCGGATGAGACGCCGGCGTGCACTGGGCAGCCGTGTGGACAGTAGGCTGGGCCCTCTGAATCCGAGGGGGCATGACCCTCTGAGTCCGCAGGGGCGTGCGCAGGGAGCGTCGGGGGGCTGCGTGTGGATCAAAGTCTTCGTCTTTGGGATCATCCACCATGGCATCCGAGTCATCATCAGATAGCTGGGCTTCAGAAAGACAATTTTCGAATGTAAAGTGACTGATGAACGCACTTCCAAATATATTGTATTTCGTAGATTTTATTTTAAAAACACAACAAAATAACCACTTTCAAGTGGCATGGGAAACTGAATTTCAGAGTATTATAAAATACCCAAACTACTTCACTTAATCAGAAAAGAGTGTGCAAGATTTCCATTAAGCACAACAGAGTCCAGAAATTTAGGCTCAAGAGTTTAGAGTCCCAAGTTAGGCACATTCTGTTTCTATAAAGTGAAACTTTCTGTTTCACTTTATAGAAACAGAAAGTATTTCTGTTTCTATAAAGTTTCTGTGTGTTTAAGTTTAGGTAACTCATAGCTGCCTGGATGTGCAGATTTCTGAGAAATCAGACAAAGAATTATCATATGGCCTTGTATTCGCACTCAGTGTTAAAGAATCTAGAAGTATATTGTATTGATGAAAATGACCTACCAGTATCTGAAATGATCAGTGGATTCTGAGATGTACTTTTCAATGATTCTACTCTTCTTAGACGTTCTGCTCTTCTAAATTCCTGTCAAAGTAATTCAAGCATTCATAATCATACAGATCTTTACTGTAACATGTTATTTTGTATCTGACCTTCACAGATTCAATAACAAACACAAACCTTTAAGGTTCAAATACAATAATGGCCCATAAAACAAAAATTTCTGCCTATATTCAAAAATATAAAATTATATTTTTTATATATATATAATTAAAACCCTGGCATTAGCAAAACTATTTAGGGAAAAAACATTTCTGTATTTTACACATCAAAAATATTTTCACCAAGACTACAGCATGAACTAGTAAGCTTCATCATGTTTCGATTTATAGAGGATCAAAAATATAGCATAGTAACACATGGCAATACACAACTGGCTAAAAGAAAAAAATAAATGATTTACCATCTTTTCTTGTGGCTTGTCTGAAACATCACAAGAGTTTTCACTTTGGCTTGAGGCTGCAGGTTCATCTTTTTCCTTAGCTAAAATGAATAAGTAAATAAATATACAAACATACTGCATATCAGTTACAAACAATGCTGCTTTAAAGTTTGTGATCCTCCATTGTAGTTCTTTAAATGTTACATTTTTACTTTAAAATCCCTCTTTTAAGGATACTTTTCTAAAAGAGAGGGTGTACGTCCACAAATTGTAAGACTACTGTAAAACTAATGGTCTACAAATGGAGACTCTACCTAGATTTAGACATCCTTCAAAACTATCCCACAGAGCAACAAGAACACTCATACAGGATGTCCAAAAGGATGGACCACATCCAAACATCTCCAGGTCTCTCCTGCTGCAGCTGGTGTCCACAAGAGGACACAAGTTGAATAGCAATGGTATTCACGGGAGGGTAGACAATCTTTTCTCTCGAAAAAGAACAATGCTGCTCGTCTTAAGTTTGCAAAAGACCACCTGGAGGATCCTTTTTTTTGGCCTCAACAAAAAATGTCCCATCTTGCAAAAATTTACACTGCCTACTACTTAAATAACCTTAGCTCCACTGCCATCGATTTGGGTCTGCTTTTCCATCCACAGGCCCAGACAACTCGCCATCATTGAGGCAACTATGAATTCAGAGTCACAACCAAATATTCTGGAGGAGAATGTTGGGCCCTCTGCCTGTGAGTTGCAGCTGAGCCGAAAAAAGGGTCCTCCAACATAACAAATAACCCAGAACATTCCAGCAAATCTAGCAAAGATTAAGAGGAAGAAATTTTGTGTTTTGGAAAGGCAAAGACAATATTGCAGCCCAATTGAAATGCTGTGGCAAGACCTAAAGCTGGTTGTTCATGCAAGATAGTCAACACATCTGGAGCAGTTGAATCAGTTTTTGAAGGAAAAATGGGGAAAAATTCCTCAACCCAGATGTGAGAGACTGACTATTAACGATAGGTTTCTGTCTTAGCTGCTAAAGAATCTGCCACTGCTTGCTGAATTAAAAGGTTCACTTTTCTACATAGGAATCACTGAGTTTCTGTAAAGTACATATTTTATTTAATAAATAATGAAACAATATGCATTTTTGTAAGTGTGCCCATTATCATATTCTCCATTAAGTATTGGAGTTCAGATATTTAAGATTTGTCTAATACAAATGAAAGATGAAGGGTTCACATATTTTCAAGCAGCACTGTATAACATAGATAAGATTCCATGATGTAAACAATTTGAAAACCAGCAACACACAACACTTGGTAAACATTACAATCAATGCATTAAAAAGTACCAACAGGGTATACAATTTTGTAGTGAAGGGGAACTGTAAACAGCAACACCCCTCACTTTTGGTCCATGAGTATCCCAGCATTGTGGTTTTAATAGGCAGTCAAAAACTGCAAAAGGGTGAACAACTTTTTCCAAAATCTTATTTGTAAACCAGTTAAATCAATGGCCAATAACCTATTTATCCATCCATTCATTTTCTATCTGCTTTATCCAATACAGTATAGCAGGGGAACCTGAGTCTATTTTGGCAACTAAAGCTTGCAGGGCAGGGTATACCCTGGACAGGACGCTAGGCCATCACAGGGCATGCACAGACACAGACACGCACATACTCACACCGGAGCCATTTTACCAGAAGCCAAATAACCTATCAGCATGTTTGTGGAAAGAACCACATCCAAACATGGGGAGAACATACCAACTCCACACCGATAATACCCCAGGTCCAGAACCGAACCCAAGGTCCCAGAGCTGTGAGGGAGAAAAGCTAACCACTGCGTCAATGTGCCACCCAATAACTGATTCAATAAAGCCATTGACACATCAAGAGAAACAAAACTTTGCAGAGCCTTTCGCTCCCTTGAGATCAAGAAGAGAACCAGTGGCGATTTGCGCTGGTAATGGTCCTCCTGAAACCAGAGTCTGCTGGTTTCCATTCCCACTGAATTGCCCTCAGGGTCTTGACTTGACTAAAGAAACTCTTCAATTTACTCTAGACTGTTGGTTCGGTTTACTTGTTTTTAGCTCATGGCCACAAATAAGTTTTAGAAGTTCGAGAACTGCAACTGTTCTAAGCAGAAGACAAAAAATAAAGCTGATTATCTGGATTCAAACGTTAAGTACGAGCTCAGACGGAATAAAAGCCACAATGAGAAACCAGCTTTCACTAGCATGCAGCTGAAGTGTTTGCTGATCTGTGCACACTCACCTTCCATCTCTCCTGTTTCTGCTTGGTCTTCCCTAGTTTCCTTGTATTTACTGCCGCCTGCTGCCATATCATCAACTTCAGACTTCACCTTTGCCAGATTCTCAGTTATAGTCGATTTAGTGGTTTGGTTTTCAGCTAAAGTGTCAGGATATGCAACTGCTGCTTCTTCTGGATCCTTTGCTTGGCCAGTTTCTGCCTCTGGGCTCTTCATTTGGACATCCATGTCCTGCTCCTGTTCTTTGGACAGATCGTCCCTCTGCAAAGACTCCTTCTTGGGAGCCAAAGGCATGTCTGCATTACACACAAATGGGGACAAAGATGGAGGAGTTTGACGTCCTTCTTCGGGATTTCCGGGCTCTTTTTTGCATTCCAAGGATGCCTCGGCATCTGCTTCGTCTCCCGTTGGAGGCAAAGGCTCGGACTCCATCGCGCGGCGGTCCGTTTCGGGCTGCACATTTTCCATGTTCACGTCGCCCGGCTCTGCTTCCTTGGGTGTTGCAGGGTCATCGTTGTCCCTTTTCGGCACTTCTATCTGCCAGGGCTCGGAAGATGACCCAGCCTGCTCTGGAAAGACCTTGTTATAAAACTCCTCCACTTGCGTTTTAGACAGCTCGAGTGAGTCGGGCTTCTCCAGTATGCTTAGACTGTCCTGGGTTTTTTGCCTGACCCTTTCAGACTGCGTCAGTGTGGACGTCTCAGGCGTGGGGGATTCAAAACTGTATTCCTCCAGTCCCATTAAGTCGCTTCCGGAGGCCGCCATGCTGGTTGGAGCAGACAGGAGATCCTTTCTCAAGGCTTCATTGGCCAGCTGGAATGAGTTTAGAGGCCCTGGAAGCTCACTGGGATCCATTCTCAGCAACAACTGCGTGAACAGAACAAAACAGGGTCACAAAAATTGACGCCAGTTCCACGCACGATCTTTTATTTAATCCTTCACTCACAATAATCTGTACGATTGCGGTACTGTAAAATGTGTGTCAAAAAAGAAATGAAGGGATTTTAAACTCAAATCGGTCCCCTCCGATACGTTTACACTTTTAACCCGAGAAGATGTTGAAACAGGAGACGTGGAGCACAACTGCAATAATAATCATGATGGAAAGAAAAGGGATGTGCAGAATAAAAAAAGCTTAACCTGTTTCAAAGAAAATTTACAAGCTCTGACATTTTATCAACTGCAATGAAAGGCTTTTGCACTGCGTTACAGAACTGAAAGGCATCTACACCTTCAGAGGTAAGACTGAAATATGTAAATGCTACACAGTGCTGATCAGCACCAAAGTTTTTGTAAGGAATCATATCTAGCCTCAGATGTTGTGATCTACTTATATTTAAGAGAACCAAATTGTAATACATAAACAAAATAAACAATCAACCATGAAATTATCAGATGGGTACGTTGAATATGTTTATGTACTACGCACAGCTAGAAAATATCCTCTACAGCAAAACAGAATACAGAGATCCAAACTGATGCCTTAGTAGAAATGTAAATCACTGGGAGTGTACCGCTTCTACACATAAAATCCCACAGCTGAAGAGTGAATACAGAGGCGATTCCTCGATCAGCCCCAAACGAAGCAGGATATTTATTGCTCGTTAACCCTCGTTTGTAAACACATCATCTGGCTCTCACAATTCTGTGGCAAGGTACAACACACACGTTTGCTTACCTTAAAATGAAAATGGCGAGAATATCAACCCCAACGTGTTCCACGTATATATGTTAAACTATATCAATAACCGATCTATCACTGTATCTAATATCATGCCATTCATACATTATACATAACTCAAACCCTTGGGAAAGGACTTGGATTTACAAAGTAATCGCATCACGCTTCAAGAAGAAAAAAAGCTAGATATACTCCTGTATTTATGGAACTAAGAAAAGGCTCCACATACTCAAACAAATACCTGGGTCGGGAACAAAATGTAAAGATCAACTGGGTGCAAATTAAAAAAAACGTGGGGGAAAGTAACTGAAAGTGCACCAAGAACCGTTTCGTTCTCTAGCACCGCTTCTCCTAGATATTGCAAAAGAACAGGGAAAACGCTATTAGCTACAGGCCCCAACCTGAAAAACGTGGGTTTAGCGCACAGTAACTTTTTCAAAGCCAAAACTCCAACTACATTTCAAACCATCACGACTTACAATCAGTGAAATTTCAAACTTCTTTGCATTTTTCATAGGTAGTCCAAAGAAAGAGTCCATAAACTGAAGAAGACATTTTGGAACTCCATTTTTTTTTTTTACAATTTGCTCTTCAAATAAAAAAAACCCTGCTTTAAACAAGGTTCTCTATCAAAATGGCACACGCCGGGCATATACAGCCTCTTGATTACAGTATTTACCTGGCACGACTCGCAAAACAAAAATTGATCCCGTTTATAAATTGGCGAGCGTACATAAAATTTTCACTGATTGCCAAATGATGGTGGAAAACGGTGGGTCTGCGCCTTTAAAAACGAGCACCTTTTGCAGCAATCTCTGCTGTGCTGCAAACAGGCAACTTTCCCAGCCCTCCCCTCTCATTGGCCCGTAATAGGACTAAAGGCAACGAAACCTCGCGATACCCATCGCTCTCTGCTGGCCATCCTCACGTTGAGCGGGTTGGATGGCAACATCGGACTGGATTCAACTGCATTGGGATTTGCAATTATCCTCCCCCCTTCTTCCCCCAGTGCCCAGTCTAATAAATAAGGCAATGTCCCCTAATCGTTTTGTGTGTGCATCCAAATGCATCAACATAATGTGACTTCCATCAATTTCACTCTGCACTCCGATGCATTCTCAGATTCGCGCCAATTGCGTTAGCTATGTAAAAGATCAGTGCTCACTACACGGTGTGTGTGAGGATCAGTTAAAAAATGACATTTTGCTCATTAAGCCCCGTGCAACATGTGATTACCTCTTCGATTTCGCTCCTCGTAATAAACAAAACATATCTGCACTGACATTCACGAACTGGTCAACTCGCTAGGTCCAATTCTAATGCCACCGGAGTCCAAACTTAAAAATGCATCTTACCCTACAAATACAACACATTGACACTTCAATCAGTAAAAAGCACATACGTTTACTAACAATTTAACGTTCGTGTGGTCGCTTTCAGTATTATTCATTCAATAAGGAGAATAAAATGGAAAGCTTTGGCCCGCGTGTGCACAACGTAGAGATAATCAATTTAGGGAAATAGTGCAAGCAGTATTTAAAACACATTCACCTAGTCGGAATTCAAGCCTAGTTTGCACAAAGTCCGCCATTATTATGCACTGCACAAGAACAGATAAAAATGCATCTGTAGTTATTTGACGAAAACAGAAAACTTGATACACCAGAGGCAGAAATTAAAGTTGACTAAAACTATAGAACAGGCAACACGATAATCTAAAAACGTTTTCAATATTAGTAAGATTACCTACGCCACTTTCGAAAACACCCACCGGCTCCTGATCCTGTCTGTGTCTATTTCCTCAATTTCCAACTTCCACTCGCCGAAGCTTGCTGATTGACAATGCAGGGGAGGATCGAGTCCGTACGGGCTGCTCTAAATGCGAATAGGACTTCTCCGTTGTATTATTTCTTTCCACATGCTTGCAATAGGACGTTCACTTACGAACTAGTCTCACGTTAAAACGGGTAGTTAAAATATAAATATAGCAACATTTGACAATAACGCTAGCATATAAACCCATTTTGCACCAAGTCTACGGATACGTCTCTTCACCTTGCAGCGAGTACAGATTGTTTTATGGTCACTGGACTGTTGTACTCCGCCACCTGTGTTTGTTATCCAGATATTTCAATGTTACTGTTTTTAATGGAAATCCTCTCTGTATTACAGTTTTGGCTATACTACGTTGTGTATGGCTTTGTGATCTGTCTTAAATAAAAAAAAAACGTGCCTGCAAGACGAAACGCTGCAGGTTCGTGTTTACTGTTGTGTTTCATCGTCAGGACTCCCTACACTAACATATAACACATTTAATTTAATGGGTCTATTTTAGTAGATATAGGCCTGAAAATAAATCCAGATTACGACCTGATGAATTAGTGAAACAGTTAAAAACACAACCTTTCAGCACATTGGGGACATCAATCCAATTCTAACGTTCAAACAAAAAAAAAAACATAAAGCCGGTTCCATTATATTAATCGGCTTTCAAAACGTGTTGTTCCTGTATTTTGTAGAAGGTTACGGCATAACTAATCAAGTGTGTTTAGTATATTTGTGTTATGACTCCTTAAAAACGCTAAAACTAAGTTTAGTGAAAACAATACTCTTAGGACAGCAACCACCGAGAAAGCCCAAGGTCTCTTTTTCTCAAACAAGCTTGAGATAAACTTCCGGACAGGTTTCATCCAATCAAATGGCCGTCTGAATGTTTAAAAAAACGGCTTTCCGCCAATGGCATCTCTAAAGGGGCGGTCATATTATTTACTGTCTTGAATGACACAAATATACCCAATCGAAACGCGTCATAGCAATGATTGACGTCCATAGTTACCAATCAGATAACCTCCTCGAACTCCGTGAGCCAATCACGAGAAGAGAATCACTTGGTTTTTCTTCACTGCTAGTTCAGTTCTACCGAAGGAAAGGGGCACGCGTTTCTTTCTTTACTGTTTGCTGTTGTGTAGGCCGGTTGGTTCGATTACTTTCACTACATTTCTACCATAGGAAGATATTTGTGTTAATTACGCGGTAAGGTAAGTCGTAACGGTGTGTGTTGAGCAAATTCCATTAGAATTTGCGGATTCGATTCGGTGGAGTACAAAAGGAAATACCGTGCTGCGTAGGGGGTTGTAGGGGCAAGCTGTGAATGTTAAATCGAGCTTAGGTTTGTGCGTTTTAAAAGGAAATTATATGTGCTTTCCGATTGCGAGTAAAATCGGATGTCAGGGTTCTCTGATGGTAGTTTTCCACACGAAATGATGCGCGGGGGTGTTTCGAAATGTAGCTACCTGCTCGTGTGTATCTGAAGCAACAGTGAACCCTGTGTATTTTTTTTGTGGCGCTTTGACGGTATACATATCCAATGAAGTTTCCAACAAAAGCACTTTCTGGTATTGAAAAACGGTGTTATGCTCCCATACCTTATTTCTTTTAGAACAAATGGAGGTTTAAAGCATAGGTAGAAATATATTGTTTTTCACTGCCAATACACCGGAAGAAGTACCTTTGTTCTTTTTTCACCTTACGATAAGATAAAACTTTATTGATTCCGAAGGAAAATTGAGGCCCGCCTTAGCGTGCCTTACAAAAATCTCAAATCTCAAAGCTTGGTCTGCGTTTGATTACTATAGTTACACGCGTGTCTGGCAGAATCCGTTGTGTCCTGTTTCTCCTGTATTTTGGGATGGCTTTCAGAAGGACCCCTTGTAACGGTAGGTCAACACAATATTCGCCTTGGAATGGTTTGCCAGACTGCGGGATAACACGCTTGTGCATGCCGAAAACAAAAGTGATTTCCTGTGAGTAGAAATCGACCTTTTTGGTGTGTGTTTTTTTTTTTTCCTCCTCGAAGGATGCAGGGCAACAGGGGTTCCCGTCCTGACCAGCAGAATCACGGACCGCCGAGACACCAGCATTGGCACGAGCACCAGAAACAGGGAGCGAACGCCAACAGCAATGGACAGCATGCGGAGAGCAGCGAGCAGCACAGTACAAGTCAGGATTTCTTGTATGGATTCAACCTGGAAATGGCCCTTTGTCGGAAGTCTTTAACTTGCTAATCTTTTCCTTTTGCACCCTTTTAGACTCTGCCTTGACGATTGATATCCAGAACTTCAGGAAGCCCGGCGAGAAGAAGGTGTATACCCAGCGTAGCAGACTGTTTGTTGGAAATCTGCCTGTCGGTGTGACCGAAGAGGATGTGGAGAAGCTGTTTTCGAAGTATGGGAAACCATCTGAGATCTTCATAAACAAAGAACGGAGCTTTGGCTTTATAAGACTGGTGGGTAGATACTGAAATTCGCCTTGCGAATTCAAAATGGTGTGGAATTCAAAATTGAGTTGCCTGATATTTCTTTGTGTTTTTCACTTATTTACTTTTATTAGCTTTTTAGTTTTGACTGGGAGAAATACCAGCCTAGAAGGCATCAGTAGTAACTTTGGGCAACCCTTTTAGTGGTATTCTAAAGGAATCTTAGCTTTAAACTTATATTAAGGCTGCTCTTTTTCTCCGCCTTGTGTGTGCAGGAAACCCGGACGTTGGCTGAGATCGCTAAAGCAGAGCTCGACGACACTCCATTCAGGGGAAGGCAGCTGCGAGTTCGGTTTGCCACCCACGGTGCCGCGCTCACGGTCAGAAACCTGCCTCAGTTCATTTCGAACGAGCTCCTGGAGGAGGCTTTCTCCATCTTCGGCCAGGTAGAGAGGGCCGTTGTCATAGTCGATGACCGGGGGAGGCCTACTGGAAAAGGGATTGTGGAATTTACAGCCAAGCCGGCTGCAAGGAAGGCTCTGGACAGATGTGCAGATGGAGCATTTCTGCTGACAGCGTAAGTCATTTTCTTTCCCTTTTCAGCTATTTTGTGGCTCAAATTTCAGGTGACTGCCCACAGACATTCGACTAGCTCTTAAATCCCCGTAATTGTATGTAGTTTTGATTTGGTAGGATGTAATGAGAGGACTTGGAAGCATCGACAGAGGCATAAGAATATGTGTTTTAAAAAGTAACTTTCATGTCTTTTGTTTCCATATACTGTACTTCCAGTTTGGAAAGAAAAGCATCCCAGTGTTCCGACGTTGAAACGACTAGGAAGTTTTGCCCCTCCAGCATATGGCTCCCATCCCCTTTTTTAATTGCAGTGCAGACCAGCAGAAACAAAATTTACCCTCAGCGTGGTGTTTTAGAGTTGAGGTGTTGTGCTGAAATGCCACAGTCAGTAGCTAGTGGGTTTTAGACACAGGCTTCAAAGGTCATTGGGGCCTGTAGAGAGTGTTATGTTATGTGAAATAGTTGCCTGCAAATTGCAAAGCTGAAAACAAAGCAAATATGTTGGGTAAAATGATTGCAAAAAATACCTTTTTCTAAAGTTTTCACTCTAGATTTAATATCAAATTTGGATGAGTCCCCGATTCAGTTTGGTGAAGTGTTGCAGAGCGCTGGGGATATTACAACCCTGTTATCAAGTGTAGAGAAATAGTGGGAACACGCAGTGAACTGAAATAGGCTAGGAAATGGATACAATAGAGGCTAAATGCTAAGGAGCCAAGCTACATAGACCTGTACCTGTTAGAAAAATCAACCAGAAACCTCACAGTAAGTGAGTGCAAGACTCCAAGACAATTATGTGATATCTTGTGCATATGACCTAGTGGGGATTTTGTCTGTTGAATTCTCGGCACACAGCTTAAGTGTTGTTTTGGAGACTCTTGCTACCCTTGAAAAAATGAATATGCACTTCAAACAAAAACAACAAGATGCAATAGTTCTGTAGTCTCTGTATTTTTAATTGCCAGAATGGAATTGACTTATGATGTGCTAGTATGATAAGCCCCTTGATGTTTGAAAGAAAGTTGTTTTGGACTGTCAAAGCAGGCTTTGAATTATCTTTGATTAGGTTTCCAAGACCTGTGACAGTGGAACCAATGGAGCAGTGTGATGATGACGAAGGTCTGCCAGAAAAAACGATAAATAAAAATCAGAATTTTCACAAGTGAGTAAATGGTTTTGACTATGAATTGCTTAGCTCGATTTATACCTATAGTGTACAGTGTAGTCAAGAACACAAAATAGGCCTTAATATCGATAGAATAGGGTAGCCAAAGGTACGTCCTAAACGTGTTTGGTCTTGAATTGAGACGTTGATTATATTTTGTGAATTTGTTTGCGTTAACTAACATACAATTCCTTGGAGTGCAAGATAGTAGCAGAAATCCTGAAGTTTTATTTTAAAAAGCATGATGGTCCTTTGCAAGCTTTGTGTAGTTTTCTAAAAAAGAGCAAAAGGGTTATCTGATATTTCTGTTCTGCGCCATGTCCTTAATTTGTGCATCCATCGTTGTCCAGGGAGCGAGAGCAGCCACCAAGATTTGCCCAGCCTGGGACATTTGAATACGAGTATGCAATGCGGTGGAAGGCTCTGATTGACATGGAGAAGCAGCAGAACGATCAGGTGGAAAGGAACATCAAAGATGCCAGGGAAAAGCTGGAGGCCGAGATGGAAGCTGCTCGACACGAACATCAGGTCATGCTGATGAGACAAGGTAAGCCATGGGATGCTGCTGCACGTTTTTTTTTTTTTTTGCTGCTTTGCCTTTTTGAGTTTTTAAAGGGGTCTTATACCTGGATGTTATGTGTGATTGCATTGTGTTTGTGTTGTAAGCTTTTTGCTGCACATGCATCTGGACATTCGTAACGGATTGCCCTTTCTTTAAGTGGCTTCCCCATGTTGGGTGATTTCCCAGACAGATTAGTTTTTTTTTTGCACTTGGGCATTCAGAACACATGCTTGTCTTAAGGGGAAAGAAAATGAAAGGACCCACAATTCCATATCTTCCGTCTTCCACTCTGTCGCGAACAGACCTAATGAGACGCCAGGAAGAGTTGAGGAGAATGGAGGAGCTCCATAACCAAGAGCTCCAGAAGCGCAAGCAGATGGAACTGCGACAGGAGGAGGAGCGGCGCCGGAGGGAGGAGGAGATGAGGATGCAGCAGGAGGAGATGATGAGGAGACAGCAGGAAGGCTTTAAGGGGAATTTTCCTGAAAATGTGAGTCTTTGACTTTTGATCAGCTAGCAGGCTGTATACAAGCATCACCTCCTAGAAATCATTTTTTCATTTGTTGAAATTTGAGCCATAGCAGATTGACTACAGATGACAGGAGGCCCATCAGCCAGTATTGCTCGTACTGGAAACCGACCTGCCATATTTGAAATCTCCTTGTAATCCACCTAGTAAGGTACTTTTAGAGAAACCAGATGTATGGATAGGGTCTGTTTCATATCAGTATTCCAACACACAATGCATTAGTCCAGAGAGCTAAGTTTGCCGTGAAGCTTTAGTCCTACATCTTCCTGTCCTTGCCAGGTGTAGACGCTATATATTGAAGATGAAAACTGGAGCATTACACATGCAGACAAATTACTTTTAAGGTCTAGACGATTGCAGTTTCACTTTTGGAACTGACAAAAAGATGAAGGCTTATTTTAGACACAAGATGCTAGTGATGGATTTGTTCAAATTTATTTCAATAACATGTATGCTATGGTATAGATCAGGTTGTATAGATCTCTAAAACATCTCAAGAGCTGTAAGTAATTGGTACATTTGTCCAGAGGAGAACAAAATATCTTTTTAAACTGATATTTAATAGTTTAATGTCCTTTTAACCAATATTGTACTTTCATTTTATAGAGAGAACAAGAGATGAGAATGCATATGGGAGGTATGTATCACATTTACTCCAAAACCTTTTAAAGTTTTTATTTCTTCTACTCTCTAGTATCTGTTGCAAAAGTCCTAACTTTTTAATTCTTTTTTTTTTTTTTTTTTAGGGCAGGCCATGAGCATGAACAGAAATTTAATGGGTGGGGGTGTTGTGCCACCTGGAGCTGGGAGCATTCCTCCAGAAGGAGCGCCTCTAATGGTAATGTCAGAATAACTTTCGATCCCAGGTCTATATAGGACTTGCATTTACCATTTACTCAAGGAATGCCTTGTAAATCCGTATTCTTGAATATAGGCGCTTCCCGGGATATGTAAAAGCTCCACTTATGGAAATTTGACTTTACATCTAGTCGCTATGTCTTACTCAAATTTGAGTAAATGTTCATGACTTCATATGTAAGTGAAAATGTCTTATAGCCACTTAGCGTTTTAGTAAATTGAACTATTTAATGCATGAGATTTTGTTTTTATTCCTACAGCCTATTTAATCCACAGTTTATCATACATTACATTTCAAAATGGTGTATTCACTGTAATACAAAAATGTTTATTTAAGCTATGCAATGCATAGAATGGGATTCTGCTGCCATCTGTGTAAAATGGTAAAAGTAATATTTGACTTGCGGAACAGTTTCTGAAACCAAGGACAGCCTGTGTAGGTACATGCATACTGGCTCCCAGTTTGGACAGTCCACTGTGAGCGGCTTTGCTGTCCCATACTGACCTGGCTCTTAGGTTGCTTAGGTAGCCAGTGGATTGCAGACCTCATGCATTTTCTGTGATAAATCCAGCAATTTAAAAAAATAAAGAACATGGCTATATTGTTTCAACACCGGCCCCACTTGGGAGAAAATGTGTAGACATGTCCACCTGTTGATCCATTCATCTTTCAGCAGAGTTAGTACTGATTAAGAGAGCAGCAGTGCATCGCTTGCTAATGTCACTGCAAGCCTGCAAGTTCCTTGAAAACATGCGAGAGACTAATTCCAGCTCAGCCTGTTGTGCATGGAATCTTCATAAATGTCCAGACATGAATCAACAAAAATGTTTTATTGATTTTAGGTATTCAAAATAGGTTTATTTGCAATGTGATTGGTGAGATGCAATTTAAGATTGCCTTCCAATGGTGAACTAAACATAATTGACTTGGTAAAAGCCTTGGAGGTTTTAACAAATCTTAAATTGCTTGCTGGTGAAATTCATAATGGCTTTTTTTTTCTAGTTATATTAGATATGCTAATATGACTGCTGACTTTATACACTTACTTCAAGCCTTTGTTTGATGTTTCAACTAACTGTTCCCTTTTTTCCCCCTCCTCACACCTCCTCTGCTGTGACTGGGATGTAATCCCATGAAAATTCCTTCAGCACAATGAGCGCTTCCCAATGGATGCAGCTGGGAACAGTGCCATGCCTGGCACTCCAGGCATTTTTCCTCGAGGAGCTCCGGGTGCAGCTGATTATGGTCCAAACAAACGTCGGAAATATTGAGGACTGGACAGAATTGCTGTGACAACTTTTTGTATTTAGTTTTTTTATAGATTTTTTTTTTTAAGTGTGGGTGTATCATACCTGCGGTGGGTGCATCACTTTGCATTTATTAAGTTTTCTACAGTCTTCTGGGAGTTTTCCTTTTTTAATTTTTTATATACTGGAATATGTTGTCTGGTGTACGGGTTTGCTGCAAAATATCGGTAAACCTCAAATTTGTAATACAACAGGTATGGACTACAAATTCATTAATTTTTCACTTGGTTTATTTTTTATTTTAATAAAACATGCTATGGAGTAGATCAGGGTTTGTAGGTTGTTCAGATCTCTAAGGCTGCATATCAGGAGTTGAGACCTAAATTTGTCCAGTCAATCCAGTAGTGAGTTGCATTAGCCCAGGAACTAAGGTTTGATACAGACTTTCCAGCACCAGAGCAAACCCACCCTTATGTAGATTGATATACATGTATTTTCCTGTCGGTTTACTGTAAAATTTGTTGTCCATTGCATTTTTTAAATGAATTAAAACACCTTCCCAATGTCTCTTGCCTTGTTCTACTTGTGATTTTTTTTTGAAGAGATGGCATGATCTTTTGATATATTTGACATCTTGATATTTTTGATTGAATCTTCTAGTAATCATACTGGAATATTTTTAATGTTGGATCTCCTTTAGATTGTACATTTCAAGCCCTAATCCTGGAGAGCTCAAGATTTAAAAGTCTAAAAAGTGTGATCACCAGCTATCTGGCATTTATCTGGCATTTAATCTTGGATTTTCTTTCCAGGAAGTAGTTCTGTAATATTGGTGGGTTAAGGCACAGTATATTGTTCTGTCAGTAGATGGTGCTAGGGTGTAATTTCAAATCCATTTTGTAGAAAATAACTTCCCATTATAAGAAAGCTCCATTGTGAAAACATATGGTGTAGCCAGTCCATCACAGACAAATGTCAGGGGTAATGTACAAATGCAAAATTTAGTCTATAGATAGTGGGAGAAAGCTGGAATACCTGGACATAACCTATGCAAACTTCATTGTAGAAACAAATGTTTGATCAAAGAACTGAGACAAACGATGTAACTGTGAACATTACATTTTACAGAAAAAGTATGGAGGGAAATCTTTGCCCTGGAACTTTTTCATTATTCCTAGGATATCATAAGTAATGTTCTACAGTATAGTTCTTAGAGCAGATAATTTGGACATCATGCATATTTATAAATATTTCTTCACAGTCCTTTGTACACTTCCAAGAATAAGAATTAAAGATTTTCATTTCCTAGTCTCGTGTGAATGGAGACAAATTTTTTAAAAAAACTTTTCTTTATTTTGATTAGCTCACAGTTGAAGTTCATCTGATCTTGTCCATGTTTTTACTTTACAAAGAAAGTTTAAAAACAAAACACTTAAAAATACAAGGCACCCCAGGACCACAAGCTGTAAATGATGTGAGAAAGCAAGTGAAGTCTTTTGTGCAGCAGAGCGAGAGGAACAAACTATTACCTCTTCAAGCCTAGTCATTTGAAGTAATTGAGTAATTGATATGATGTTCTTGGACCACTGAGCAAATAACCTTCAAAGTGCGATGAATGAGTGGCTTCCCAGGAAACATTTATGTTCTGTTTTGTCATGAGGGACATGACTTTGAAGGACTATTATCTAGATCACTGCTGGGACCAAATAATACTGAGCAAAGTTGGTCTTCCACATCTTCTAGTCTTTAACGCCAATTTAGGTTTTGCAGCAGGATCTATGACGAGGTGGTGTTTTTGGAATGTCTTCTATAGTGTTTAAAACCGGTTCATTGGGAACTGTTCTTTTTTCCATTATTGCTTCCAAAATGCATCTGAAAAATAAATAGTCTTAAACTAGCATTCTACATACGTTCCTGTATGATGTATCATGTTGAAGACACCAGGCTGATCAACACTAACTTTTATAAAAAAGTTATTCTTTTAAGCTAATTACGCCCACTAAGTTCCTCTGTGATAGAAAATTTCCAAAATTACAAGTGGTTTAGTTACAGTAACAATGAGTATAAAAATAGTTTTCTCACCTGACTGACTCTTCAACATGTCTGTTTTCTTTAACTGATATTTCCTTCCATGCAATGCATTGAAGACTGTTGGATAGATCTGCTACGTCTTTGCTGGTCATGACTCGATTTGTCAAGTCACACTGCATGGAAAGGAAAATAAAAGCAAATGCTTTAATAGGCTCATTTTTCTGTTGGGTTTAATAGTTATGTCTTTGTCCTTATGCCAAAAGTTTGTTTTGCAGCCTGAGCTTAAAATATTTCTAAAATATGTTGTAAAATATAAGGTTTTAAAGGTAAATTATTGTACTTTTGATTAAAAAATAATTTAAAGATTAAAATAACTTGTACTTTTAATCATGGTCATGGAATTAGAAATGAGTTCTTTTAGTACAATTATCAAAACATTAAATATAGGAAAAGATAATGTGATAAAATCGATTACCTTATTTCCCAGTAGAATGCAAGGAAGTGAATGTCCATCTTTGGTTGGTATTTCGGTGTCTACTGCTTGTTTAAGTAATTTGCAGTATTTGAAGGATTTGTCATTGGTTAGATCAAACATCAAAATACAACCATCTGCATCTTTGTAAAAGGCTCTTGTCATAGGTAAGGTGTCCTCTTGCCCTAAATTATGGAAAACGGTAACAATAATACAGTTACTTGAAAAATTGCACTGGGTGCTGATGTTATCTGAATCACATGAGGTTTTTTTCTTTTTAGTTGTAATTACTTGGAATTATGTTGAAGCTGTATCTGATTCAGTAGATCAAGATTAAAAAACAAAAACTCTTTTTCTCAGTCCTATAACATAACTTCTCAGCTTCCATATCGTGAGCAGCAATATTTACATTACGTTTTTACCCCAGTTTTAATTATTCCACAAAATAGTCTAAAAGGCATAGCAAAGGGATAAAAAATGAAAATGAGATGGTTTCATTGTTCATTGGATCCATATTCATAGCATTTTATCTAGAGGTATTAAATCATAAAAAAACAGTTGATTAATGACAAGCAGTACACATTTTTAAAATAATATGAATGCTAATTCATTAAAAACTTTAATTTTTAAACAAAATTCTTTCCATAATATGTAAATAAAGGTAATGATTATACCTTGTATGTCCCAGAACTGCAGTCTTATTATCTGATCATCAGACCATTCCATTGTTTTCATGGCAAAATCAACTAGGAAAATTGAAATAGGAAGAGATGAACCTTTGGCATTCTGCTTAAAACAGTACTTCACTAACAAAATTAAATGTGTGCTTACAATGTTTAAACATAAATAATCATAAATGTTGCAAATGTGAGAAGGCCTTTTGACTTGTTTGGTAGTTTAATAACAAAATGAATTTATAATTTCATCCTTTTTTGAATGAACATAGAACAGCTGTGGAATGTAGCATTTCGTAGCTGAGCATGGCTTCCTGCAGCTCAGAATCTTATGCTCCACTGACTGTATTAAGGTTGTTCTACTTAATTTGCCACAATCCCTGTTTTTGTACCATAAGAAAATTTAAATTGTAGACTAGAGTTCAATAGTTGATATTGATGAGGAAGAACAACAAGCCTAAAGCAGATACCTGCAGTACACCACTGCTTATTTTCTGTTCAATTAGAGGAAGTAGCCACTTAAGATTATCAAGTTTCTTGTTCGTGCCCGATCTATATACATAAATTACATGAGATTCCTATACTGTTAAGAATGAACCTTTTATGTGGCTTAAAACCTTCTGAATATCTCAATACATCATGTTGTATTCTTAAGCATTATGCACTGAAAGAACTCAAGACAATATCTTCCCTTTCTAAATCCATGTTGGATGTCTCTTTTGTAAACTTAAAATATTGTTTCCATATCTTTACCAGTTAATTCAGTCATTCAGAATTAAGGCCCTACATTTAAAAAAATAAATTTTGAAATAGCTAGAAATGTCTCAATTAAATGATACTAAAATGGCACATACCTCCAATGGTGACCTTGTAGCCTTCCTTAAAATGTCCACTGACATACTGCTGAACAAATGAAGTTTTGCCAACTTGTGATCTGCCAAGAACAATCACCTTCAACAAGTGATCCAGAGGCATTCTGAAAGTTGATTAACCGTCGTCACCCAGTAGATAATGTTAAGGTTCTTCATATTTTGCTTTGAAAAACACAATTAAAAGCTGCTCATGGATGCAGTGTTCTATGAAAACTTCCAACAGAAAAAAGAACAAATAATGAACTAGTGATGATTCCAAAGGTCACACACTCTTACTGTCACTGTAGGGTTTGGTCTTTGGAGAAAACTGTTTGAGCACTTCCTCTGTTAACAATAAAATTGAAACATTATCTTTACAGTTTGGGTCATAATCATTCTTAAACAGGTCTGCAGTCTATCTAGCAGTCCCTTTTGCACCTGTATGCTGCAAAAAAAAGTGAACTGAAAAACGATCTTTAAGTGCAAGTGTATTTAGAGAAGAGTAATGCACGTCACAGAGATGGTGCTTCCTTTTTTTGGTTAGAACAGAAGATATAAACTTACAGGTGGGTGGGGGGTTGGGCATATGTTTTACCCAGACATGTCTTGGTAGCAGGGAGACATAGTGGCACTGTCGTTGGCATTACTGCATTGCAGTGCTGGAGCCCTATGTTCAGAACCCAAGCTGGTATCTGTGTGGAGTTTGTATGTTCTCCACGTGTTTGGGTTTCTGCCTGGTGCACTGGTTTCCTCCAACAGTCCAAAGACACTAACTGGGGGTTAACTGGCTTTGGGTAAACATTGGGCCCCCGGTGTGAGTATGTGCGTGTCTGTGCTCGTGTATGTTCTGTGATGGACTTGCGTCCTATCGTGTCCCATCCAGGGTGTAGGCCTTGTGCCCATTGTTTGCCGGAATAGGCTCCAGCTCTCCTGTGACCCTGTATTGGGTCAGAATATGGATGGATGGTGGTCTTGTTAGTGGCTTTGCATTCTCGAGTGCCCAACCTAGACTATCTGAAAACTTTCAGTGAATAGTAAAGGGTGAGATACAGCAATTCACTACCCCTGATTTTAATGGCTCTTAAAACACTATAGTTTAAAAAAATACCTCAAGATCTAGTAATGAACCAACATAATAAAAGTACACATTATAAATAGAGTAAAAAAAGAGAATTAAGGCAATAATGACATAATGAAGAGCTCTTTTCTTCTCTCACATGGATTAAAAGTGTGCTAAGATACATTTGGGATAATGACTCCAATGAAGTATTCCACAGGAATGGACAGTGATTTCTGGAGATCAGTATTACCACAGCATGAGTGAGTTTCAACTTTGAGTGTGCCTTGCTGAATTACTCATTCAGAAACTGAACACGGCTTTCAAAAATAAGGAAATTCACTCATTATTTTTACTTTTGATGCAGCCTATGTTAATTTGCTTATAGCCCAACAGTATACAGAAAATATTTCAACACATGACGACGACTATAGAACATGTTGTCAGAAGCATTTTTTATTACTTAAAAAATGTTATTTACAGCAAGAGTAACATTTCAAACAATATTTTTAAATCTTATAAGATGACCTAGTGCTGAATCTTCATTGTTTTGAACTCTCAGTCAATTCCCTGGGGTGTTACCGAGAACATTGGTTATCAACTCCATAAACACAAAACAAAATTCTGCTGACCCCTTACTTGGCATGTCAAAGACTTTAAAAGACTGTTTATTCATTTAATAATGACTTTAAGAGTCCATTAACCTCAAAGACAATTATATGACTAAAGTCACATATATAAACAGTTGAGGTAATGACTTCAGCATTTGGACACCTAAGGCATTCCTTCTTTAAAAAAAAATTACCAAGCAAGAAAGTTATTGGTTTCTCTCAAACCCTCCTCTGTGTATTTCACAATAAATTTTCAATGAATTTCAACAACTTCTCTGAAATTCATATCGAAATCCGTGAAAAGGTTTCTAGTTTTATTTATTTGACATTACAGTAAGGACGTTTGACCTTTGCCTGCTGCTTCTCACGCAGGCTTAACTCTCTTAGCACCTTGCTCGTAGTCATCTTTTGTCAGCCTGTAGCCCCAGTGCTGGAGGGTCTGCCTGACCACGGGCGAGACGGTGGTGTTGTCGAAGCTGCAGCCAGAGCGCACCACCTTCGTAATGAGGTTGTTCCTCCAGCGTCCCTTCACTCCTGCACACCTCTCCCACCTCCCGATCTGCCTGTCGTCATCAGCTGTGCGTCGGCCCTGGTAAAACCTGCGCCGGAGAAGATCGACACTTCAGAACTGGGGTGTTCAACCAAGGTGGGCTCAAAGACTGTCCCCCTCTGTGGGGAGGACCCCGCAGGGGGGGAACACTTTACACTGTGTAGAAATGGTCAAATTTGAAATGATTCTAAAGCAGGCAGAACAAAACAAAAAACAAAAGAGCAACTCCAAATGTTCTTGTGAGGCAACTGATGCTTACGCATCATTTTTACTAATAACAAATATCTGGATAGGTGTTTTTGAGTGAATACGCAAGCTTTCTATGAGAAAATATGTTTCAGTAAAAGTTTCCCGTCTTCCATCTCAGAAATATTGCCAGACTTATGTCTTATGTTGCTGACAGTAGCAGAAAAGCTGGTGAACCAATCTGTCTGTTGTAGAACTGAATACTGCAATATCCTACTCACCGGGATATCTAAAAAACTAAAACCTAAATAAACCCCAATGTGATCTCATTTTGGAAGCCAGAATCCTGACCAGGTCAAGTGCAAGCAATCACATTACGCCTGTCTTGGAGTCCTTGCACTGGCTTCCGATCAGGTTTTCAGTCGACTTCAAAATTCTCATGGTCACCCACAAGGCACTACATGGCTCGGTACCTCAGGATCTGTCTAACTTATTAGCTGTCTTTCCAACCTCGCAGCCTTTGTTTGTCTGACTCTGGTCCTTCTATATGTCCCTCAAGTTTTATATTCTATGGGTGACAGGGTCTTCTTTTGCTACACCCCAAAGCTGACCATGTATCTTCTGCTGCACCTCTAACTGCTCATGTTCATTTTAGGCCTCTTTTGTAATTTTTTCCACCAACTGTAAACTGCTTTGAGATGCTACTTTTGAAGGTGCTATATAAAATAAAGTTTATTAGTGTTATTAAAGTTGAAGTATCTTTGGTTGGACTTATAGTTTTTCTTGGGAAACATCTTGTGTCTGTATTATTCTTTGTAGTCATACACTACCACAGGCAACCAGCAGATGTCTGTAGTAGTTTGCTGACTGTACAATCTGCTGAGGCATAAAGCCAAACAGTTCACTAGATAATTGTGGCACCCTTTACCGATTAAGTAGGCCTGATATCTAGGTCAGAACTGATCTTGAATCGATTTATGCTTGTTTGTACCATTTAACAGCAATTACATTTTTAATAGATGATTCATAGTGTTTCTTATTACAACTTGTCCAGTATATCAGCAGCATAATAGCCACCTTTCAAAATTCTTTTAAAGCCCAGCAAACTAAAAAATGTAGTCAGGAAATTAGTTAATACATTGCTACTATTAAAGCAGAACTTCTTTCTATTTATGTATGTAGTGAGTCCAGAGTCCAAATGATCTTCTGAAGCCCAGCAACACGAGTTTCTCTGTACCTGCAGTACCACTGAAACCAACCATAGGGGTCCTGAGGAACAATCCACCCACTGCTTTCCCACATCTCCAGACTGCCTCCGCACTTCACTTTATAGGTGTTCACATTCTCCCTGTAGGTTGGCGAGGCCACCTGCAAATATCCATTATTATAATTACTTGCAGTGCAAGAGCAGACATGCAACACTGAGGAACAATAATTGCCTACCGTGACTGATCAGACAATTAGTGGTTTTATAGCGGAGCGATTTGATGAAATTTGTGCATTGTGATGTTATTTTGTAAAACTAAGCTACAAAATTAAATAAATCAGGGACATAAAAATCTATGGCCTCATCAGTGTCTATTGTTAAACATTATGTAGGAAACTGCCTTCTATCCTGAAATGAAATATGACACCTGGCATAAAGTGGAATAAATATTTTGTAATATGGTACCTGCTTTGGAATATCAAGACCTTCTAGCCAGTCCACAGGTAACTCCTTCCAGACATCTTTATAGCTTTGTTCTGAATAAATAAATGAACAAATGAATAAAGATATAAGTAAGCAAGCAAAGCAATGTAGAGAAATGAATCGCATGCACCAGAACACTGTTCCTTCATCTTCTAAACATAATACATGAATAAAAACAGCAGGGTGAGATAACGCAAGGGTGTAAATGAATGTCTCAGGAAAGGGCCCAGAATTTGATGTCTCAGTAATGATTCTTTTCTGTACAATAAAGTGTCAGTTGTCTTAAAATCTGCTAAAATGAGCAGCAATCTATGAGAAAAACTGAGACTCCATAAAACTAATAAAACAGGACACACGTTTAACCTAAGGTCACTGTTTAATACCAAACTGCCTGTCTAAACTCTACAGCTATTTCATACGGGCTAAAAAATAATTATTATTTTAATAATCACTTAATGGATTAAAATGCAACCTATGAAAAAAAACACTTATAAATAAAATTTCTGAATTGAATGATTTGAATAGTTACAAGAACATGATATCATGACCCAGAGATAGCTTTTTAATTAAAAGAATATCAAGTTGAAGTTTTAAAACACTGTGTTAGAGACCTGAGTCATAATGAAGGTGTGATATTATTAGGATGCAATTTAATCAAGGGTCAGGTTTTTCTGCCCCTTCTAAGGAAGTTATTATTACCTTGAGGTTAATTCTATAATTAGGGGCAGAGACCAGGACAAAAAGCAGTTAGAAGATGACTAAATCTATTTAGTTTTTAATAGATACCATATTATATTTTAATAACCTTGGCATAACTTTCTTAAATGAAGGTAAGTAAAACTCGGGGGAAAAACAGGCAAGTATGTGGTAACCTTTATTTTTTAAAGCTTACTAATAAATATTTGTCATGCTTAGATAACACAATAATACATCACTGTAAACTGCATAGAGAAAAGTGGAAGTACACTTGGAACTGAGAACAGTAATGACAAATTATTAGAATTAAACTGTTTCAAATTAAATTTTCAGTTTCTCATAAATCCTCTCTCATATAATATCTCACAGCCACCAGTGGTGTTTTAAAGAACAGTATTTACATTTGTCTTTTGTTAGACGATTGTGACAAAAACCACAGATAATGCTTGTGCAACACCTTGCATTTTGCTGGATTACACACAGCCTTCTTCAGTTTCTTTGCACAGTGCAAGATGTCTACATATGAAAGATATTTAACAACTAACAAATAAATCAAATGTAAGTGTGACATGGTTCTATATTGCTCTATAGGTCAGAATGTAGATCAGATGGCAGGAAAATTGTTTTAGGATGTACTGCAAGATTGTCAGATTATTTCCTTGTAGGCAAATATATTAATGCAATCTCACACATCAATAGCTATCTACAAGCAAGACACATTGTATAATTCTTATAAAATATAGATAAATCACACTAATTTAAGGCACACAAATTAAATTTCAATTAGCACACATTTGTAATACCAGGCTTCCATTTTTAAAATGTCAGTCACCATTCTGTTAACTTAATTAATTTGTAGCAGATGACACATTTTTAAAGTTAAAGCACATAATATGGACTTGTCAAGTCTTCAGGTTTGTAACCAGTAATTATTTTGCTCTTAACTATACAGCACTTTACTTACACACATATAGCATGACGTGCACTTGTCAAATTGTTCCAAAGTGATCAGAATCTAGTTGCATAAAGGGTATTGCACTGGAAAAATCAAAAAGCTATATGTAATACATATAAATATAATACTATAGTGTAAACGAACAAGTAATAGGTTTATTCCATGCTGAAAAGAGAAGAAAGAAAACACAACGTTTCAGGTGTGGATCCTTCTTCAGGTGTTTTCTTTCTTCTCTTTTCAGCATGGAGTAAACCTATTACTTGTTCCTTTGCAGCCTATGCATGCTGACACAGCTACCCACCTGAAATACTATACTGTATATATTTTATTGTATACAATGGATATATAAAACCTTAATCACAATGGGCCTCATGTTTTCCTGTAAGCAATACTCTTGATCCAAACTGAATGTCTCAAATAAACTGCAATATTCTAATTAGTCATTTCAATTCAGAAACAACTACAGACCCATTTATGAAAATAAATTATAGGTTTTCAGCTGGCATTGGTGTCACACCAATCATACATCACTGTAAAGCTCCATAAAAACACAGTTTTTTTTTTAACCACAGAAAATTCTAATCCACAATTTTACTTTCTTTCCAGACTTCAATTCTGGGGAAAAGAATGCCCATTTTGTGTGGTGACTGAATTGAGACTCTCCTTACAGCTCCACCCGGGTGAAAGTTGCATGCATTTGTAATGCTATTTATTGAGAATTTTTCAGAGGAACAGAAAAGATGAAATGAGCACAAGGAACTGAATGTGGGAAGAAAATCATAAGGCAGTAACTGTACATAAAAACTACAGAATAGCTAATTTCTTTCGAGATGTGAAACGCATAACCTTTGTGCATACACCTGATCCTAATTACATGACTGCCTTTCAAGTCATGCATTTAATCACTGTAAAGTTAAATTATATGTGATTTTAATAGGATATAATGGAAGTGGGAGTCAAGGTCTCCTACCTCTAATGAGAGGGACTGTCTCCTGAGCATCAACAGAGTAACTAGGATGGGACTCAATGCAGACGTGTTTGACAGTATAGATGGACCGATGGAGAATATCTGATATCATGAATGTCTCAGAGTGAGAGCAAAGCTCCCCTTTGAATCCAAGAAAGCGATCAAAGAATCAAAGAGTCAAAAGAAATACAGTTAAACAAATGTACTGTAGGTACAATTTGAAGCACAGGGCTTTCTGGGCCAGAAAAGTCACTCAGCTTTGAAGCTATCCCACATTATGTTCCTTTATGTTCCTTTATGATTATGCTCCTTGGTTTGCATCAGCATCAGAATTTTCTGAATTTATTCAGTCCAAACAAAGTCCTGCTGACAAATACCATAGGTGAACAATATATTTATGGGTACAGCAGGAAAAAAAAACAGAATTGAAGAACAGAAGTGACACAAAACTATTTTCTGAGTAGGCTGTTATAACGAATGTGGGGTCACTTTTACCTCTTTGAAATTATTTATCTCAAACAATTAATTCCGTACAAACATTAAAGTACTGTTGTCACCTTATGAAGGAAATATACACTACATAAATACTTTGCATAAAACAAAGGTAAGCCCTGGTGTTATTAAGAGTGGTCTAATAACAATTGCTCAATTCCAAATTAATATAGTAACAGGAACGAAGATTAAATTATATCACTAAATATTTCAATATAGTATACTTACTGGTGATACTGGAGTAAATCGGTCTGAAATAGGTGCCTCCAAAACTACCAGCTTGGAGAACCTCCTTTGGGGTCATGTTTGGTCCAAAGGTAGGAAAATCTGGATTGCAAATAGAGATAATTCAAAATCTGAAATGTTCAGTATTTTAAAATAGTTCATGATAGGGGACAATGCAATATTCATTACATGTCAATGCCACAAAGCCCCAGAAAATGGTCTAAAATTACAGAAAACATTCATGTGTTTTATAGTTAAAATTAAATTCTAATTTTATCCTTACTCCTGGAGCCCTGGGTTTGATTCTGGCATTTGTATGTTCTCCCTGTGTTTGCATGGGTTTCCTAAAGGTCCTCTGGTTTGCTTCCGTACTCTGAAGACCTCCGGGTAGGTTTACAAGCTTCTGCCCTGCCTGTGCAATGTGTATCCGGCCTTAAACCCACTGCTTGCTGGGATAGAGTCCAGCTCTCCTGTGAACCTGAAGTGCTTAGAAAATGGATGAATGTAGCCCCTTTCACATTCAGCCATATTTTACATAAAGACTGGCACTGAATCTTAAGAGCTAAATGCTTTTTTCAGAAATTTTATTTTTCAGATTTTATAACTGAGGCTGTAGAACATACCTCCTTCAAAGGACAGTCCCATGTGATAATTTTGAGGTGTAAGTGAAGGTACGATTCAGGGGAAGGAACAAACCTATAAACCACCACTTCACAAATCACACGATTAAAGGTGTCTGATTTTTAGACTTTTCAACATTTCTGCCTCATTTGAAATAATCTTTATGGACGGCATTACGAACCACTGCGACTTGAAAGGAAAAAAAAAGTCAAGTCAATTTTACCTTTAAACACTAATTGTCCTTTATTATTTTTCTCTGGAAGGAGGGCGTTGCTGGAGCACCCCCTGGCTTCGGTTTCTGTTTTTTTCTGCTTCTTACAGTTCTGCGTCTCAGGTTTGTCCTCGGACCGGTTTTTCCGCTTCCGTGCGTCGCTCCTCTTTGTCCGTTCCGTAGATGTGGACTTAATCATTTTAAGTGCTGTTTGCCTGCTAACTACAAATAAGCCAATCAAAGATTATTATACTATGATTATGCAGCTACTCGTATGTATTCATACACGCAAATGCGTATACGCATAAGTACGTTTTGACAACAAATGCTGTCTCACAATGTGAGAGGAGTGAATTCATTGTAGCACATCTTTTTACAATTAGGATAATAGTAAAAAAAAAAATATCAATGGAATACTCAAGGTTTTTTCTGTTGATTAGATCTAGAGAGGAACCTTTTGGGATACTTCCACACCACCACTTCGACGCAAATTCACAAAAATAAGGTGAAGGAAATGAAAATGAATACACAAATACACATTTTCATTGTTACACATTTCCCTTTTCGTTTTTTTTCTCTCACAGACTTTCTCCACCTTTGAAGGTGGCTTTTTTACGAGGAATGTAAAAATTCGTCTATACGAAGAACAGGCATCGCGCGCTGCCGCATCTTAACGCGTGTAGGGGAAAAAATAGCTATTATTTTACGTTGCAGTAGAAAATGATAACTGCATAAAATTCGTTTCACGATTTAAACTACTATATATCATTCGCATTTAAAATGCATGTAGATTAAGGTCATTTTCACCGTCATAAACACTTCCCATGGTGGGTTTGAGGTTAATAAAGCACCAAAAGTTGTATAATGCATCACTGCACATGCAACAAAACGCGTCGGACGTACTTTTCAAGAAAAGAAAGGACATGTTGAGGATAGTTACAGCTGCAGAGCTGTACCGAAATACAATACATTTTGGTGTATTCAGTATATTTATAGAAACAGTGTGCTTGCAGTTGAGCGTTTAAAAAAACTTAGTTTAGAATACCTACCTAAGTCAGCTTTGATTCATTCATTACAGCTTGTTACAAAACAAGACATGTCACATGACTTAAGACTCGGTTATACAAACAGGGTGGAGTTAAAACTGCCCAACAAAATCACGCGTCTGTGTTCTCAGTACGGTACCGGTTGTGGCTGTACAGGTTGGGAAATGTGGAAGTTTTCTTCATTCAGAATATCCCTTCTTTCACTTCAGGTTTAAACCGGACAAAGAGAATAGTAAACAATACTATTTTGTCTTTGCAGGATTTGCATTCTAATTTTAAGTATACTTTAGCATTCTGCTCAGCGAAAGAGTTATCGCCTTTACAAACGAAAATCAGTTTCCAGAAAATGAGCATCTGCAATAATATTAGCAGTACAAGCAATAGGTTTAAGGTTTTAATTCAACATCCATTTAAAGGAAACATTGATTTTTATCGGCGTATAGACAGTTTGAATATTTTCTTATTGTTCATCCAAAGGATGTACCAAAGCAATAATGAACCAAACTTGAACAACTGAATCAATATATTCTGTACAGTATATCATATTGTAAGCATCTAGAGACCATGCTTACTATATCACATACAATTTCTAATTATATTACTATACAAAGTTCATGACTCCTGAGCCTTTTGTTTCTTTTTATTTGAGAGCTTGAGAATCACATCAATCAAGCTGAGTCAAGAATACACTTGATTTGAATTGGGACTTGGCTGCTGAAAATTGAGACTAGACTTCTGGCTTAATAAAAATCCAAAATGAAAAGTAAATCTTTTTACCCCAACCCTCGCTCAGCTTTAGCTATGAGCACTTTCATAAATGGATATGATCAACATCTTTAACAAGACTCCGAAAGTGACCTACTATTAAGGTGGCACTTATTTTATTTTATTTTAATCTTCTTAATAAAATTAATTGTGCTGTTAGTTGGTTGGAGTTGAAGAACGTGACACCTTTGCAATAAGAACTGGCCAAAACTCACAAGGTTTTGTAACTATTGGAAATTTTTGTATTAATACACAAAACAAAATTTCAGTTATTTACATTAAACAACGTTAACATTAAGCATTTATTAACATTTAACATGTAATAATGAGAGCTGTCTATTTGAGCAATCAAGTTCAAATCCACAAATGCGTATCTCCTTTTCTCAGTTTGAAATGCACTTCCTTTTAGTTTTCACTTGTGTCCTCTGGTTCATGTTTCACTGTTGATTATGAAGATGTTGATTGGGTTGACATTGCCTGTTCCCTTCTTCTGGATCCTTGAATCATGTCCTCTCATTGTCTTCTCTGTTCAAAATATTCATTTCCTTTAGCCTGTCAGTGTTAGACATTGCTTTGAACACAGGAAAATATCTGCTTGCTCTTCTTTGGATTAACTACAATATACAGACCATAAAAAACATGATTTTAAAGCATTAAAGCATTTGCATTTGCCACAAATTTACAAAATAATCATCAGGAAATCAGAAAATTGCAGCAGGAACTCTGCCATTTCATTGAACAGAATGTATTTTACTGTGAAAGCCAAAAACTAACCTGAAGAAATGTAATTTGTACAGTACATACAGTACTGTATGCCACACATGCTTTGCAGCAGGTTGCAGGTGCTGTCTTGTGGGATTCTGAGTCCGTTTATCACTTGCAGAGCCTTCAGGAGCATGTGTCTGCTCAGTGGTTTTTATAGCCATGGATGCTACATGCCATTCTAGCTCATCCCACAAGAGTCCGAGGGGGCTCAAATCTGTTGAGTAGATTTTCATCTTGCAAAATAGCCATTGTTACTTAAGTAACCTGAGGATGTGGTCCTGCTCTAATATCAGATCAGGATTAGCTCACAGGAGGGACAGCAAGTGTCCCAGACCTTATTGAATGAAGTTCAATGAAGTGAAGTCTCAATTGGTCACTATCAGTGGGGATCTGTAGCTGCTACAGTATATACTCCTGCTCGGACTGTTACTCCTGCTGAATAGTTATATGGAATTTGCCTTGAAGTCACTTGATGTTCTTAAGGCTTTATCACTTACAGAAACTAGACAAACTCTTCATTATTTCCTTTCAATTTTATATCTCATGATTTTTTTCTATTTTATTTTTGGATGGGATGGGGATGGGGATAGCATATGAGATTCTTTGTAAATCTCTTAACCATGATCCACAAAATGTTATTTGTTGAAAAATCCATCTGCCAACAACGAGACTCTGTTCTTGAGCTGCTGTCCACAAGTTACCAAATGCAAATACAAAATAACTTTTGTTAATAAACTGACAGAATTGGATTTTCGAAAAGGGGGGAAATAAGAACTGAGCATTACACAAGGATTGAGTTAGCTAAATAATTCAAGATATTTCAAATGATTTAAAAATGGATTTTATACAGTTTATTTCAAAACTAATAATATGGTGACCCAAATCAGCCTCTAGATATCCTTATTTTAAACATCAGGATAACAGTGTTAATGTTTTTTTGGGTTCTCCATTTACCTAAGGAAAGAAATTTTGTTTCTTTTTACATGCTGAAGGAAAACCTATTTGATCAGTTTGAGAAAGAAATGCAGCAAGAGTGTTCCTTTGGATTTTGGCATCTTTTCAGCCAAGCCAAGATTAAATCTTTAGCCATCTGTGAACTGCCATGGCGAAAAAATAGAATACATCTAAAAGCAGGTGCAGCATGTTCAGTGCTGACAAATTTTTTCCTTAAACCTAGCAGTCATAGTTCCCCACAAGTGAAAATGGAGCTCTACTTTCAGAACGACGTTCATTACAGAATCATCAGTGGAAATGCAGTGGAAATCATCATGGGAAATGTTTGAATTTTACTGGATGAGAAACGTGATTATGGGTAACCGTAAAATATCATCTGCCAATCCTCCTATAATACATGCACAAGTGGAAGTTTGCCTTAAAAACACAAGCTTGGTCTAGGGTTGTTCCCTTTGGGTTATTTAATGTACTCCACACTTACCATAGAGGGTTCATTGGCTTGTAGGCTGATCCTGCCTCTCATCCACTCTCATTGCCTAACAGAACAGAAAGCAAAATTAGTACTGTATCTACAGAATATTGGTTGTTTTCAGTGTTGGGGCAAATGAAGAGATTCATGGTTGCTGTTTTGGGTGAATATACTGTAGTTGAACACTGAGATAGGGGACAAAACAATGGAGAGTTCAGCTTAATGTGTACTGAAACTATAAATTTGGAGCTCTGATCACTTGAAGTGCAATACTGAAGCACTTCAAAAATGCCAATATATAAAATACCATGAAGCACTTAAGAAGAATCAGGAATCAGTCACTTTATCTCTTTATCCCTTTTAATGTGCTGATAAATATGACGTCCTTAACACCAAAAGTACAAATACCACCGAAAAGGAAATGTTAACACATTTTAATTAATGAAGGAATGCATCATAAGATCATTTTGAAAATATTACAGTTCAGGTTAAATAGCATTAAAATGTACACTCATGTTTTTCTTAATTGAGTCACAATATGTTTATATTGTAGTGCAACGGGGTTTCAGGTGGGCGCCCTTGCCACATTAGGTCGGCGCCGCACCGATGGGGGCTCGAACCCAGGATTCCCGCGTCACTCAACAGGGGCCCAGCCTGGTGAGCTAAAGAGAGATCTCTCCACAGCCCAGTAGCTGTAGTCCTGCTATCACAGGGAAGGGCGGCGACATCACCACTCTGGTAAGCTGGCTCTTACACACCCTGATGGCCGTATGCGTTACAATATGTTTACTGACATGTAACCTTAAAGTTTACATCATGAACTGTATGTTTTTGTATTTTGCTTTTATGGACAGCAGAACATTATTATTTGTTACAGCTGTTAAATAGATATTTGAACTCCTAATTGAATCCCAACCAGTAATCGCTTGGATGCCAAAGCGTACCTTCAGGGAAGAGAAGTAAAGTTAAATCAACCTTGTCCTAGATGTGCCACTGCCAAGTGACAGCTTTTTAACTGCTTTGTCAGAGCTGACATTTTTTCCTTAAATGACAAGGTTAGATTAAAGCATTTGCAGACTTAGTACAAAATGATGTTGTCAATTTGCTGTATAAAAAAGGTATCAGAGCCTCCCAGAATAACCAATTTTTATATTATCTTTCCTGTTCTGTCTTACACCAGATAAATCCCTTTAAAATTGCTTTGCTTTAGATTATTTTAATTTACTCTGCCCAGTTTAAATGGAATTCAAAAACTTTTGTGTGAATGTGTTTAAAGAAGTCATTCTATCCTTGATTCAATTGAACTGATTGTGATACAAGTCCCAAATTAATATAAAAGATTATGCAGAATTACCTATATATTAGATGATTAATTATTTTATGGTTGTGCAATTCGTGCCATTTCAGATATCCAAAATAGTGCTGTATTACTACAGACAAATGTTAGATCTGGCAAGTACAATAAGCCGTTGAATGTCATACTGTTATTAGTAGGCAGAATAATTTTCCTCCAAATTCTCATTTGATGTATTTGTTAAACATGTGCAATGGTGCCGCAACAAAATCATTAATCATAATACAATTAAAAAATGTGGAAGCCAAAAAAAAGAATATGAAAGATGAGAAAGAATAAAAGACACTAGTATCCAATGAGGCAATAGTCAATTTCACATAGCTGTACCTATTCACCGGCATTACAAAATGAACTGTACTTTATATACCAAACTCAAATGCCTTCCTTCAAACCCCTCCCTTCACATTCATCTTAAGCATCCCTCCCTCCAATCCCTCTCCATTGCGCATTTATGCTTTGGTTCACTACTTCTGAATGGGGTTCAAGCCTTCCCATTCTGTGATCCAGGGGGCTAGCTATTAACCATGCAGGCTAAACCAAACTGATCTCATCATGCATTCAATTCTTGGATGTCGTTGTCCCTAGTGAAATGATAGTTTAGCTGTATGCGTGTACTATGGACTATGGACCAATGTATGAGAAAATCAGAAACAAATTTCACCTACAAATTGTGTATAGTCTTATATAGAAGGCACAATTATGGAAATTGAAATCCATATCTACATGTTATATAAACTGAGAGTATGTTGCTCTTATCCAAATATTATAATTTACAGAGTGACCTTGATTCGCTGTTAAATATATCTTATGTTTAGAATTACTTCCTGAACTGCTATAATAGGTCACTGTTGAGATGTGGAGTAACATTGATGTGGAGAACTGATCTGCTTGCAGACTCCCTTATTTCAAAGAACAAAGGAACAAAGGAAAACTTTTAAGGCTAACAAATATCCCTTTTATCCTTAATTCATTCAAATATATGGTAATCAAGTAGTTTATAGTATAATTCCTATGTATGTGCTACCTTAATGCATTTCTCAGTTTCTAGGAAATCCTATTATTCACTAAACTATGATTGCAATTGTGTTATATATCTCTCAGAGAAGTGACTTTCTGTTGACTTTCATAACAATAGAAATTGAATTCCATTTGGAAGAAACTTTCCACACAGTTAAAAATGCTAAATTATATAACAGAAATAGATTGTTAAAAAAAGCAGCTATGACATCTCAAAAATGTTTTTCCAGATCACCTTTTCTCTCGACGTGCAACACAGAATTTGAATTTCAGTAAGAATAGTAAGATATATTGGCCTGCATTGTCCAGCCAAATCATCTTCTCTCATCTGACAAATTATATCAGAAGCTATTTCCGAGCTGTTAACGTGAACTGAAAGTTTTGCATTTGTGTAAGATTTTATAATTGGCTGAAATACATAGCAATGGAAAATCTTGGGCTGAAATCACAACATTACATATTTAATTTTTCCCTATTCCCATTACTTCAATTCTTCAATTCAACCATTGTCACCAGGTAAAAAATATGATGCAGTCTTTCAGAACTTTGAATATTTTCTGCAAATCTATTATACTTTGAGAGAACAAGTCTGTTTAATGTATCATATGTTTAACATTGAACTAATGTGATGAGTCAGTTCTCCCTGCCCTTGCCAGGGGCAGAAAGAAAATAATGTATTTCTAAATGTTATAACATTATACATATTCCATTATTTCAAAATTTTAATATTTGAACTTTATTTTAGCTTAGCATAAACAGGAATACGTATTTTGTTTTACTGATGATCCATTAGTTACAGGGCTAAAGTTCTTCTCAAATTTGTGAGACAGGACAAAGTTTCTTATTGTTACTTTTGAATTCATGTTTGTATGTTCTAACATTGTGACAACAAAAAGAAGATTGTTACACAGATATAAAGATAACAGTGCTTTGTGCCAAGTGCTGACCCATAGCACTTGGCACATGACCCATGTGTCCTGCAGCCTCCCAAAGACTTTGATATATTAATTGGGAATTTAAAATATCCATTTCCATGATGAGCAGGAGAGAGAGACCTTCCAGGCTGTCAGGAACAGATTGAAATGAAGAAGAGTAAGAAAATTATGATCCAATAGTATTTAAAGACTTTTATTTTTCATCACAATGCAGGGATGTCTCTAGGACATATCAGCAAGAAAATAAATATATTTTCTCTTGATTGTTGTCTATATATTAGCAAATAACCAGAAACTGCTTGGCCTGCACTTATAGATTTCAGGAGGTGCTAGCTTTTTTCATCAATATCAGCTTTCCAAAGTATTGAAAGTGTCTTGATGACACAGTGGCATATGTATTTGGAGCATACTGATGCAGAAATGTGGTTTTCTGAATATTGTGTGTAAATCTCCTTCTTCAATGCCTTACTATATATGCTGACAATTCTGTGGAGGTCAATTTTTGGCACAGTATATACTGCATCATCGGCATACTAGTCAGGGTAAAGGTTTTGGTCTGTAGTCATTGAAGATTTAACATACCAGTTTGGGAGGTCATCTGCACTCCAGTAGGACGTTTGTCTTATTTCAAACAGGCAGAGCATGGCTCTAAGACATTTTTATGATAGATGTGGGCTGATAAGACTTACTTACTGACTCCTGTCCAGACTTCAAACTGCTCTGTAATGCATCCATTAGTAAGGATTATTTCACCTACATAGTCATGATGCAGGTGACGATTGCTGATGGATTTTGGAGGACATACTTCAGGAGGATCTTTTGACATCTATTGCAATTATGAAAGTAAATTGCAAATTGCAAGCTGGGTGAATAGAGATTTGACTGCAATTCGCTCAGTAAATTTCCTCATTTTCGCCCTCAAGAAAACACCAGTTTGGATGGTGTTAGTGTGTACTTAGTGTTTGTGCCCATAGGTTTTCATATCGTGTCTGGAAATTAAGTACCAGAATTCAAGTCATACTGGAGTGTTTTGTGGGTCTCAGAAGCATGTTGTGCCAGGCCTAACTGAATTTATATGGTGAGTCAGATTTTATGATGGAAAACCTCAGAGGCATTTTTCATTTCTAAAGGCTTCTATGCTATTATTGAAATGTTATCAAGACTCCTTAGTAATCAGCATGCAGATCACTCTGTCAGTTATTTTATAAGAGTGCCCTTTCTTTCTGAAAATCAACTGAATTTGTTTAGCTGCTTTACAATATGAAATACTGTGGTAAAAATGGATTATCAATCAGACACCTAAACCTGAGACTATAAAGAAGAGTGAGGCTTGGTATGAAATATGACCAACTGTGCCTTCATACAGTTTGCAACCAGATAGCAGGTTATGAAAATCTTAATGGTCAGGGCATAATCATGAGATGCTTAAATATCTTCCATTTAGCTTCGAACAGGAACTAAAAAATGTGACTCAAAAATACAAATAAAATAGGAAAACTTTGTAAAACCGGTTGCTTTAAGGATGACAACAGAGGTCAAACTTCAGTTTTAACATTTCTTGAGTCTTGATATGACTACGGTGATATCTTACTTTTTTCCAGTTCATGCCTAGAAAATAATGCTGTTAACTTAATTTGAATTCAGGTGCAATGCATTAACCCATATACTGATATTGAGTAATATGGTAGGTACCCCCCTTTTAAAAATCAAAATCAATATTGAATATGTATTAAATCAACTGAGTTTGATACTTGGATATAGTCCTACTGTTATAAAATGTTGGTGTATCTAAAATATGTAAATCTGACAGAGGAAGAAAATCATGAGATTGAACAAAGTTGAGTATGGTTAAACTTCCATACTTAACTAATGCTAGAGGCTTTCTGCCAAAAGGATATAAGAAAACAGGGATGTGAGCTCTGAGTTCAAAGTATTGGCTTTCAAAATGAGTAGATCACGATCAAGACTGGGCACAGCAAGTGCAGTACTGCAAATACTGTGATTAAAAATAACGGACAAGGGTGGTACAAATCTGCTTATGGTTCACATGGTGAACAAATTGTGTAAATTTAAATGACCATAAGTGATGCTTTTTCAATATCATGCTGTTATTAAAAACCTTATTCAAAATGTCTGATATAGCTTTAAAGCTTTTCATTTTTTTACCTGTTTGGGGTACTTAGGAATTACTGTAATTTGGACAATTCAGGGAACTGCATTGTGAAGGCTGTCCACTGTGGAATAATAGAATTGGTCAACAATGTGCATACAAAATATATTTAATCTTTTTCCATGGAGAGCAGCGGTCTATAATAATGTGACACTACCATTGCCATTGACCACTTAAGGTGTAATGTACATACTGTAAATGGTGGTCATATTGAGCTGACATACAGCCATCAGGTGGGTACCATGCTTATGTTGCTGGTCATATGTATATTTCTCATAATTCAATTTGTACATTGTATTTCTCTATAGTGTATACTTTCCATGATAAAGTTGCAGAATGTTATAGCCAGGAGCAGCATTACCACCCTGTAGTCTGAACTCATCAGATCTCAGAAGCCAAGCAAGTCTGGGCTTGGTAAGGAGGCTGGGATAGGAGACCTCAGAAGAAATTCAGGTCATGGATGCAAGTGGAGTTGGGCCAGTAAATTGAACTCTTCTTTCTGGAACACAATTTCCAAACTAATGCCCTAGTCTGGAGTTAGGGTCGTTAACACTTGTGTCCTGACTACCTTCCACATATTCCATGTCAGTTCAGGTCCTGAATTTTCCCACATCTCAAGCTTATATTGTGGGCCTACTCGCGTATAATAGCAGCCACTCAGGTGGGTGTTACACTTTAGTGATAAAGTGGGTTTCCTCCTATATGTAAAGTTATTTGGGATGAAAAGTACTGATAGAAATTTATATAATTCATATAACCAGACCACGTCGCATGAGAATTTGAAAACGAACCCATTTGTAGAATTGGTTTGTTAATTGTCCTCCTCTCTGTTATTTTTAACGTTTTTTTTAATCTCATGTGTGTGCTATGTATCTTGTATGGAAAATAATTTTTCTTTCCCTTTAACAAATTTTACATTTTGTTAAGTGCATGTCGTGTGATGGCGCTGTTACACAAACAATGGCAAGCGAAAGACAGTGTAAGTGTCCGAATTGAAACTAGAGAATGAGGCAAAAGACTTGCATTAGCAGTTCCCAAGAGGTTAATGCAATGACACCGAGGACAAAGGTTTGCCGGGTCAGGGGTTTGGAAGTAGTGTCATAGGTACCTGACAGATCGAAGATCATTTGGGAAAGGGAATTTCACCTTTAGCTCGATTAAACGGTTAAATCAAGATTTTTGATGAAAAAATAACGACTTGGTTCATGTGTTGCCTGTTGTAATGTGGTTGCTACTGTACTGCATGTGAAGAAGAGGAAAGGACTTCGCCACCGAATGCAACAAAAAGGATTTCTTCTTTAATTCCTTCAAGACTGTTATAGTTTAAATTTAAAAACGGTAAGGCTAGTAAAGAAGAAGCAACGTTTTTTAAAGCTATACAATCCAAACCGAGGAGTGGTTTAAATTATCTATCAGTTTCAAATTCGAATACCGGTGTCATCATAATTTTAAAAAGTTTACTTCACCGAATGCCAAAAAGAGACTCAAATTAAGGGAAACACGATTGGATTCTTCCGAGGGACTTTAATTACAAGAAAATGAAAAATGTTCTAAATCCTCAAGAATGTTGCTGATACTGTGCTAAAGCATATTTCAGTGCCTTGTCTTCTTAAATATTATGTTTCGTATCTGGAAGGCGTGGGTAATCGCCGTGATGACTTACAGTTTCTCAAGTGACTGACCCGAAAAAAAAAGGCAGTTGCACTAATCAGGTGTCTAAATGAATGACAGGTTAGTCGTTTACTCCCTGCAATGGAAAACAATATTAACTTGAGAACCTGGTGATAATGATTGTTCTTGTGCTGTAGACGGGCTGTAGCCTATATGTAGGTACATTGCTACAGTGTCTGATTTAAAACTTGCAACTTGCGTACAGTTCTATTTGAGACGGGATTCTCGGCTACAGTATGTTCCTACCTTCAACATCTATGAAGATTTAGCAAACAACCACCCCCAGCGTGCGTCCTCGCCACAAGAGAAGACGATGTGAAAAAAAACATTTTTTTTTACGTTTTAGAGCTGACACCATATCAAAAATATGGGAAAATGCGATGTTTTGTTGCTAAGATGTGAGTCTTATTTCAAGATATGCCGATATGCTGTTACGACAAATTCAACAATCTATCCGGACACGCTTCAAAATAAAATGAAGTTATCTCAATAATTAAAAATGTCAAGTAAATTGAAGTCTCGGTCACTTGGAAGTCGCATGTACCGTAGTCTCCTGATAAAAGAAAGTCATTCGTAGTTGCACTTCATGGTACCAATTAGTTGTGGGGCTGGTTACGTGTATTTGTGTTTTTTATGGGGTTTCAAGCTTGTAGCGAATATGGAGTTGTCTGAAGTGAACGTGAGCTGTATCGATTGCGGGTCCCAAGGTCCAAATCAGAGCAGTCTGCCAGCGCAGAACCCATCCGCTGGAATGACCACAGCGCTAGCCAGCGTGCTGATATTCACCATCGTAGTTGACATCCTGGGAAACATGCTTGTCATCTTGTCAGTATTTAGGAACAAGAAGCTCAGGAATGCAGGTAAGGAGACACTGCTGTTTGTTCACCGCCACTACCTCCCACCCTCACTTTTTTTGATAAATATAAAATATTCATCTGTTGTATTAATCGTTCAGTAACCTGTATTTATTATGTACAATCACCTGTATTGTACAGTATTTCTTATTCCACTAGGCCATTGAAATAGTGCCCTTATTAATATCCCGCAACTTGTTGCACTATGTAACTTCGTTAACAGTTTCAGAAATACGTGATAGCTTATTGTACGAATTGTAGTTATTTTATGTAAGATGCCTCAGATAAAGGCGTCTGCTAATTCATGATAATCCAAATAAACGGATTTCAGGTTTAGTTTAAGGTTTTAGATTTGTGTCTTAATGGTGTAATAAAAGTACCCCAAAAGTTAGTTATTTTTTCTTATTTTTGTTAATGTTTTTATTATCCATTATTTAATGCTAATAATAGTAATTGTGGGCGCAGTGGCAGCTCCGTTAATTATTTTTTAAGATCATTAATGTTAAATGGGTTGGTTGAGCTAAGTTAATGCACGTGTATTATAGCAGACTTATCCATGAAAGTACAAGATGACAACAGGTATGAATAATTTCTACATATAGTGAGTGTTTTATACAAAAAAAAACTAATTTAATGTTATCAAATACCACAAAAGAATATAGAATGTTGTAAAGAACTGTACGTCAGTTTACAGTAATTAATTAAACACGAAGTGGAATTATACCAATACTTTGTGAATAGAGGGCTACTGACAAGGATTGGCAAATGAAACGTATTATCCGACTGGAGTCATAATATTGGAAAGAGTTTAGTGGTGAATCCGAAGTAGTGGCAATCTGTTATGTAATTTCTCGATTCAGTAAATTAAATGTCACCTTTACTTTCGGCTGACCGATCATCTTGAATGTAGGTCAAACATCTTTTGTATATGGTACAGTGTATGCTGTAAAGAATCATGAAATGCTCCGTGACTACATCGTTTTGAAAGCAGAAAGTTCATTAATTTTATCACGCAGTTACAAATTCCAAAATGAATACAATAATTTATTTCAAAGGACAGGAAATACACTATATAGTAATTTTAAAGGTCTTGCTTATCAGTTATAACTCTTTGAAGCTAAATGTTGTATCGATGAATATGCCAAGTCGCTCGTTCAATTCTGTCCGGAGTGGCCACATTTCATTACTGAGACTTGCAGTGTGAAAATGATTCAAAATTAACTCTAAAGGCCATTTGAGTGACATATTCATTGAAAAGATGACATACTGAACTGTCTGGTTTGGAATGTTTCAAGAACTCCAGATGTTGATCCAACAAATATTTACTGTATAAGTCCTTTTGCAAAGCCTTGGATGTAGAAGGAAAGGAATACATCTAAAAACATATACTGTATGCACAAATTTAATAAGCTTAATTTACTTTCTAGAAATACATTTTTGATTTTATATGATATAAAATAACATGGACTCTAATTTTAAGTCTAATCTCAATATATTGTACACTTTGGCATATTCATAGGATGGGCAAGAAAATGCAAAAATGTATTTCTGTCATTGAATAATTGAATAATTTTCAAATACTTTTTTACTCCTGGTATGTAATCATTAGTGTTTACTGGAGCTGACAATCAGTCAGTTGTAACTTACACATACGTTGTGAATCTATATTGATTCTAATAGAAGATCTTGAAGATGTTAACACTAGGTATAGCAAATATGAACCAGCCACACTTATTATGAGATTCCTTATAATCTACCATGTAGGAACCATTCCACTGTGTTTAAAAGTGTTGCTAAAGAAAAAAATAGCTGAAATTGTCATTTTCATTTAAGAAAGGTTTATGGAGAGATTTGGGCTTATTATGAAAGCATGATAAATGGTTGCAATTTTAATAAAACAAATGCAAATGTACTAGTTTCAGATGTAGTGACTATTAGATTAAGGAATTCTGGGTGCAGCTACTAGGGCTTTGTGTGTGCTATATTTCAAAGGGCAGAAATATATTTTGAGGAAACTGAATATAATTTATTCCAGTACAATTGTTTTAGATGCAAATGTTATGTTTAAAAGAAAATACTAAGGTCCATATTCATAGTTGAATGGGGTTTATTTATTGAAATTATTGATAGGCATGGTACTTAAGAGTCACCAACTTCCATGGAAACAATCTGATGTCCTCCCAGGTCACTAAATTGATCACTAAAGTTCAGCTTGATTTAAATAACTATAACCTGAAGCAACTATCTTAAAAATATAGTCTTAAAACTGAAAACAATCTCGAACTTCAAACAGAATACTCAATTGCAGTTTTTCTGATTTGCTTATCTCTTTTGAGGTAAACCATTGCGTTGATACATACAAAAGCCCTTTTCTTTCTTGCTGTACAGATACTGCTTTATATTGAGTCTTAAGGAAATATACCCTGATTGGTCATCTTTCTGGGGTTATAAATATGTGTGTAAAAAAGCTATTTAGTCTTCGATTCAACAGTTGTGGTTTGACTAGTGAGACCAGTTTAACTTATAAAAAAAAATTAAAATAAAACAGAAACTAATGTTTTATAATGCAATATCCATCATCTTGGACTAAGGTACATCTTATCTCCAGTTGTCTCCAGCCTGCAAGAACTTACATATTTATTTTATGTCAAGAAATAAAATTATCTAGGAAGCAAAATTATATTAACTTATTAAAATTGAGATTTCTCCCAAAGAAATATATCCTGAAAAAGTTGGAGCACAGTATTTTATTTCCATTACTAAAAACCAACAGAAATGTAACCCAACAATTATCACAAAATTGTCAAGTCCGATTTACTATATTATAATTACAACCAGCAATAAAAATGGGCTGTAAAGCCTGTTAATTTACAGTTAACTGAGTTTGTATTAATTCAGTTAAATAATTCATGAATACAGTTAATCCTATTATGAAATGTATGAACTGAATTGTAATACTCACTGCCAGGATGTGGTATATGCAGGAGTATAGAAATAAATAATAATAATTCTTTGTTGAATATTCAATTCGAATCTTGCACAGTTTCCTTTTCAGAATAATATGACTTTGTATTTAGGTTTTCCGCTCTTATTTGGACCAGTTTGGTATAGAAATGTTGAAAACCATCCCAAAACTGTTTTGGAGAGACTTGTGCACACACGCGCCACTTAAAAGCCAGCAAAGTGGATATTGCCCATTAAGCGCAAGGAAGATCCTCTTGTTTTGCTGTCAAGTTGGAACTTCATTGTCTTAATCTTCAAAGTATTGGATTCTGCCCCTTTCATCTTCTTTATCCTTTTTTCCTCTATCACGTGAAACCAATTTTTGGGTTTAGGCATGCAAATAAGGAACATTCAACTTGTCAGACTTAATGTTAACTTGAACAGGAAACTATAAAAATGTACTAATTTAATTTGTGCTCTGCCTCCTTTTAATTAAGCCCAAGCTCTTTTCTCAGTACAGAGCAGTGATTTCATTGAAATGATTTATCCTTTTTAGCACAGCACAGAGTTACCTTCTCAAGATGTAGGATTTGTAGCCTCCTAAAATATTATGACGTTTCAAGAAAATCGTACAAGCTTTTTTTTCATTTACTTCCTGTAACACGTTAAAGAAATATAAAAATGAAATCTTTGAGTAATAAAAGACGACAGAAAAATGCTTGCCTGAAACTTTGGGTGTACAGATGAAAGTTTCTGTCCAAATTCTGGGCAAGCAAAGCATTGTTTACTAAAATATGTAAGACTTTAAGTAGTTTCAGTAGTAGTAATAGTGTAAGGAGTAGCTGTAGATTAAATTTTTATTTGTGGTTTATTTAAACTGTCAGGCATTCAAATGGTACTTTAAAGTGTACTGCAAAAGAACAAGTTTATTCCATACTGAAATGTGAGAACACACCTGAAGAAGGCTCCACAGCCAAAATGTTGCATTTTCTTTCTTCTCTTTTAAGCATGGAATAAACCTATTACTTGTTCCTTTGCAACCTACGCATGCTGACACAGCTACCCACCTGAACCTTTAAAGTGTTATGTTGACTGCTAGTGAATATAAACCAAGATGTGATGGCTTTTGAATTCACAGTAAGTAGTTTTGCACATCAAATGTTATCCCGTGTGTAGCTTACCTAAGCTTATTTTTCTGTTCTGTGAAAAATATTTTGGATTCAAATCACACTGTATATCAATAAATGGATAATAACACTTAAATGACAGCATTTTTCTTTATCTTTACATCAGTGGCTTGCTTGCTGTTGCTGTGACTGCCCACTTAAGAGTTCTATGACTATATTGAAAGCCTGGAAAAGAGAGCTCCTTTCCTTAGGTTATATTAATTGTATTGTAGAGATAAGGTTCAGGCCAGTTATTAAGTTGATAACCCCCATGAGGAATTACAGTCTTACTGCACCAAAGCGGTTTGCCAGAGCATTCTTATCTAAGAACAAATAATCTCTTTTTTCCGCCTGTGTTCATCATCTGAGGAAAGAGCAGCAATAAATTATATGAAATTCTTTGATCAAGACTTGTAATGTGACAAACAAACACCCGGGGTTAGACATCTGTTTATCTGAGCTTTCCATTCTGATAAATGTGGCATGTTTTCTTCCAGATAAAAATATAGTATCAAACATATCAGAAACATCCAAAGGAAATACAAATTGGAATTGGTTGATTCGTATGATACTTTGAATTTAAAAAGACAAAGATCAACTACAGCGACTAAAAGTGAAGGATTGTGCTAGGCTACTGCTGCTTTTTAAGCTTTTTTCCTTTAAGCTATTGTTCGGATTTTCACTTATGTAGTTGTTGGCAATTAATTTTGTTACTGTGACTGAAAAATTCATGTAAGTTTTAAGATAATAAAAATGATGAAAATCGGTATCTTGACATGTTCAGATAAAGTAAACCAATGTAAAACTAAGGTCATGCAAAACATTCATAAAGCACAACATACTGAGAGGCATTAAAAATGCAACAGACAGAAGTTTTTAAACTAATAGTAGGTATTT